ACAGTTTTGGTAGAGCAAGAAAGTAAAAACAGTATAAAGACCATCTCCAAAATTATTAAAGCATCCCAATGAATTTCGATACATGGTTTTGCGACACATCTGCAGGAAAAAACAAAGGTCTCTACTGCAGATTTCAATTGCAATTTAGTTTTGCCAGTGATGCAGCCTGTGCATGGAAACCGCACCGAAGACCCAGGTATAATACGGAGGAGGGAGTCCGTGAGACTCATCCCTTGCTTAACTCATGGAGTTTTTTTGCAGGGCTCAGCCTCGTTTCCGATACGCTTATATTTGGATGGCCATTGTTAAAGGTCTTTGCTTAGGCAGACCCAAAACAATGGCCTACCTTTTTGCTAATAGCAGAATGTCTCAAGGAGATGAAAAATATTATTCTAATAGAAACCAGACTTAATTTTTACATTTGATGCTAAAAATCATTCCTGAAAGTATGGAAAATCAAAAGCCACTGTAAAATATCAAAATGTAGTTACTATTTGTTGATAGAAAATGCCACTTGAGTTGAAAATAAGGGCGATGGCTGTTGAACTGGAATTGTATTGGCATTTTTCTGTGTCCAGGCTTGAGAAACTTTTTGGATTATGACTTTGGTAAAGCAATTCAATGGGCTAAGGTTCCCCTAAAAGACCTGTCTTCAGAGGTACAAAGGCATTTGGATCCAGATAAAAAGACCGGAGATAATATAACTACTATAACAACTCAGTTAAATGCGATTGTTTGAATAATTTTTTTTAACAACTAGGAAAAGTTTTTCTTAAATGAGGTCTTTCTTAAAAAACATGCACAAATCAAATGTCAGCATTTCTTTAGATTTGTTCTTTCGGGGACGCTTCGGGTAAACATTGGTTTACAAAGGAATTTATATCCCACCTGTTTTGAAAATCTTCGATGACTCACATGGAAGATATGTTTTACGTGTTAATCCTTAACTATAAGAATATTGATCTCCTGGTCCCCACCAAAATGCCCCTGCAATCATAGTCCTTTTATCTCGTGAACAATCGAGATTATTGAAGTCATTTTCACAATATCGAGATGTAGAAAGAGTTCATCTTGAGAGAAGACTCGGATTAATTCATCATTATTATGTATATAGTCTCGATAATCGGTTTTCAAAAAATGAAACCAAATTTGAAAATTCAAGCCAGTAAGGCTATGTAACATGACACTTGACATCTCCCAGGATAAGCTGGAGCTTATAAACCATTCCCTGATTTAAAAATCTCGTTTTTAGCTATTTATGAAAATTCATTTTCCAATTAAGTTTGTAAACAACTTGCTTTAAAATTCCACCCAGGATTTGGTAAAATGACTATTCATAAACTAGTATAAGGTCAAAGTGAACTACGTTTTGTTGAATGATGAGATCTTGTTTTGAGTCGCATCAAGCTGGCTTACAAGAATGCTGGCTGCTAACACGTTTCTAGATAAACTTGCTTATGTTTAAGAGAGTGGGCGAAACATAAAGATAGGCCTTCTCCCCTCTCTGTGGGAAAACCTTTCAGGGGGTCAATGGCCCATAGAGATTGCTTTCAAGGGTACATAATTAGCCAACAGCGAAATCAAACATTTTCCATAAATTTCTATTCAGCTTTTTTTCAAATCTGTTATATCTTACAGGCTTTTGAAAACCCCCCAGTAAGAATTTTCAGTGGCCTACCCAAGTAAACTCCAAAGTAAACACTGTAGAAAGAGACGTTCAAATGAAGATTATATTTCTTTGGTTGATACAGCTTACTAAATGCGACCTTTTGCAAACCGGCACATTTTTTTAAACTAAATTTGTTTTTGCCGCTTTTTTTGTATGATATGCAATTTTTTTACAATAACATTCAATAAACTGCAAAAACACTACAAACTCGGCATTTCCTATTCAATCAAATTTTTTCAATGTCATACTTAAACATTGCCGAGTGCACTAGCTCACTTTGGTTATGAAGAGTTCTTTCTTCATGCTTTCGGTGAAGACAAAGGCAGAAAAGTAGTCATTTTTATACAACGAGAAAGCATCAATGCCCTTTCATTTTCATATTTAGAAATTATTTACTTTAGAGGTAATATGTCAATTCTTATCATTGGAATCAATTGACCAAAACATCAATATCATCTAGTCGGTAAGCAACCTTGTGGGAGTTCAATATCGTCTTTAGTGTATATTTTACATATGCTTTTGTGACTTTTATTTCAATACGATCATCAGCTTTGGTCTCTCAAGAAAGTTTCGGCTTGGTCCACAAAATCAACATAAAAATTGAAAAGAAAACCGAATAAGATTATACCGTGCCTAATCTAGGAACATGAGCTAGAATTACACTAAGCAAAATTTGGAGATCTATTCAAATTCTCCACTCATAAAACGAATGGTCTGATTCTTTTTACTATGCAAGGAGCTAAAGTGGATAATATCTACATGCTGCAATGAGATTTTCAAAACATTCCGGGATATCACATTGTACTTACTCAGAAGTTATTTGCACCTTAAAAAGTACCTTCAAGTATCCTTACAGAGCATTCAAGGTTCCATGTTCTTATGTCTTTAGTGTTCCCAAAGAGTAACACGACAATAGTCAAGTCTTCGTTGCTTCAAAATTTCTGAATGCTGCTTTCAAAAGTTTTGTATACATTGCTAACGTTTGAACCTTTAGCAATGCTAGGCCACTCCTAACAATTCGAGTTCTATCATTTCCTTTTGAATTTCTGGACGCCATATTATATCAAAATGGAAGAACCTTTAGTAATGCTAGGCCACTGCTAACAATTCGAGTTCTATCATTTCCTTTTGAATTTCTGGACGCCATCCCGACAAATTAAGCATATTTAGGATAAGAATTTTACGTTTTACAAAATAATAGAGATCAATAATATCGAAAGCAGTTCATTCTTAAGAAGCGAGTGTATCATACTGCTAACGTGCATTTCTTCCTCATTTTCGTCATTCCAATATGGAAAACTTTGAATATTTCCGTTTAAATGCTTCAGTGGTCTAACAAAGATTTTTGATACTAAAATTGGTTTCTGTAAAATTGCATAACCAAAGCTTGCAAGATTACTTAGATAGCTTTGAAACCATTAATAAAGTTTACTGGCAGCGGATAAGAGAAGCAGGTATTGCCAAATACAAGTTGCCACTTATTTTGATCTTCTAACTTTTTGCTGTTTACCATTTAGACATCAAGTATATGGTAAATTAACCGTGTGAGGTTATTGGCCTCGCTTCAAAGTTATGTTGTGCGTGCGCGCTTGAGACAAGTTATGTTATTGACCGATTTAACGAATAAAATGTTGACACCTTTAATTGATTGAGCGAAGTCTAAGAAATCTTACATCTGCAATCTTCTTGTATGTCAGTTTCTTGCGTAAAACCTAGCCTATAAAACTGCAATCACAATCTGCTTAATGAAGAATTCAATTATTTTCCTCGCTTTACATTTGACAAAGGAAGAAAGATAAATGCATTGCTGAGTGTCGTAATGTGTTTTATATGCTGACATTAGCGTTTTATACCATATGACATTAGCATTTACAAAACTTCAGAAGATATTCTTTCTCTTAAATGCCTCACCCATAGGATGATTCATCATACTCTACAAATGTTCAATGAATGTTTGGTTTTGCCATTATCTTTATTTGGAAAATAATAGCGTGGCGTTCCATTACATTCTTTCATTAAAAGATCGTTATCGTAATATAAACTATGAGATTCTTAAATAGCAATCGAACAATTATCAAGGCCTTTTTGATTGATAAATCACATAAACTAAGAGTCTGTTTGAAGCAGTTTGAATACTTTGTAATCAATAAGAATATCATTATGTTTGTTGTGATTTAAAACATAGTCGGCCGTGGTCGTCTTGTTCAAAGATTAACAATTAATAATTCATGATCAATAAAGGGTTTTTCAAATCGTTGCTTAGTGATTGTGGAAATTCGCAGATAATGTTGATCCTATGATTATCGCTCTTATGTCGTTAGTATCAACAAAACGCTTTTGATTTTTATTACGTTGTCATTTGAGATTTCAGAACGTAATACTGAGCAGCGTTTGTTGGCGATACTCGTTTGTGGAAGATTAAGTGATCGATATATCTGGCACATACTGACACATGTGAGATGAGTGATGAACCACAAGCATAGTTTTCTTCACTCGTAACCCCAAATTAATAGTTTTTTGGAGAACTATCAGTCCATCTTGCAAAGCTACAAAGGAGCATCAGTGCAGCAAATGAGAAATTGAAAGGTTTGATAGCGTTTTATCTTTTTATTAAAAAAGATACATTAATCATTATTGCCGAAAAATATCACAAAAGTGGAAACATAGCATATTAGACTTAATAAGCGCGGAGTGTCTGGGGGTAGAGCTTTTAAGCATATTGTGGTCTGTTTCCAGCTTTATCGTGCAATTATGAATACAGTTTTAGTATTGCATTTGAAGCTCAATGACATACGTATTTTAACGGGTGATAATGAAAAAATATTCAGTTGGCAATAAACAGACTTACGGCATTCTTGTTAAGCCCTGCAAATATCTTTACTCTTTTTAGCGATTATCCGTGGACTTAGAAATCAAGAAAAATGGCTTTACCAGAAACCCAGACCAAGAATATTCACTCGTCATTAAATCAACTTCTTTGCTCACTGTGGCTTAAATAAAGTTGCTTACCAGAACAGTTTAATGTTTTCTCAATACTTACACCTGATATTGTCAATAAGCTTCTTGTGATCAAATTGGAAAGAACTTGAATTTTTCAACTAAAAACTGGAATTTTTCCTCATAATAGTGAGAAGGCGAATCCTGAAAATAAATGAAGTTTGATTGTGATAATCAATAACAAAGCTAACTTATCTTGATAGATTATTTACGATCAGACGCCAGAAATAACAGGGCTTTGCTTGACGATCGCCTTAAGTGTGAAACTCGGAGTTGCAACTGACAACTATCCTTATATACCAAAGTATGTATAGCTCTGTACGGCATCGACTGCTATGTGACAGACCGATATGGCAGTAATTTTTACAGAATAAGCAATTAAATATTTAAACATTCTGTCAAGTAATCAGTAAAGATGCAATAAAGGAAATAGATAGAAACCTTCTAAGTTTCTATAGTTTTTGTTATGAGTTTCGATATTTGCAAAACTTTACTTTTCAGGCTGTCCATAAATAAAACCTTTTAACACTTTGCCATTAGGTCCCTTCCCATTTTCCTTCGCAATTTCCATCCCCGGTTTTGAAGCTCTAACGCTCAGGGTAGCAAGAATACAATGATTACCGAGTTGTTCTGTCATTTAATTCTAAATAGATTAATTCACTTCCACTTCCGTGTTATTCATATTGGCACTTCACTTCTGCTTCCAAACAGTGGGGGATGAACACACGTGCCTCTTTTGTCCTCTAGTTCCTACATTTGTGCTTCAAACCCCTTTGGAAAAACCCGATTTAAGAAAATCCGTGAAAACCAGCTTATATTTGTAGGGGTGCACCCTTTTTTTCAAAAAGACACCCATTTAAAAGCATTTGCCCGGTCTAAGAAAATTCATGATTTTCTGTGAAAAAAGTTGATTATTATTAAAGCAATCTTGGGGATTGGCTTTGTGCCTCAGTCTTGATGCCAGATACATAGTTCATGATTCTGTTATCTCAACTGCATTTAAACAAAGTAAACATACTAGTTTTGAATGTGCTATATTGATAGAGTATTGTCCATTTTTTTGCGAACTACATAAATCTTTAAACAACATCTTGTGCATTATCAGATCCTGACATACATTCAGGAGACAATTCAGATAATGTTGAAGCCTGAGGGCGTCGAAGATCATAAACGTGCATTTCATACTTGATTATGTCTGTCTCCAATAAAGATGTATTTTTCTGTTAAGCATTAGTGTACATCCTTTGTAAATTCACCTAACCTTTCGAGCTAACTGGTCGGATGATCACTCTATGAATTTTTAATTTAGCGTATACAAAGTAGTCCTGTATGAGCCTCGTCGCCTAGAGCCAAGCTAAACGCGCTATTTATAGCCATGGAAAAAGGCTTTGAAAAAATCACAAGCTAAAAACCATCAGTGATTTGCGTTTCATTTTAGCAATGAAATCCGGAGGAAGGTTTCCAGATGTATTGGGCTTTATAAGAAGAGGTACTCATGAGGTATACAGTAAAACGATTCCTGAAATCAAAGCTTCATAGTCAATGTTGTAGCATATTCATATTCACACATCATACAGTATACTATGTAAAAGTAAAGTATTAAAAAATAAAGTTGGAGCTCTTTTAATAAATATCTAGAGAAGAATTGGTAAAAAGCAAAAATGGTCACAGTAACATGTTAGCAAGAAGGGCAATAACCACCTGCTTCTTATAAAACCATATATAAAACATCATTTCGAAATGGCAAAGCTCGCTTGCTTTTAAGAGGAAGATAATAGCTCTCCAGAAAATAGCTCTTGCTTCTATCACTTATGTTTCTAGATAAAGAGTGCTCAATTTTACAGTCTAAGCTCGTAAGATATCTTCAATATATAGACAAAGGAAAATGTACCTCATGCGGTTTCTTACAGGCAGATAAAGTGACTTTCTCCCATTGACTCCTGAAGAATCTACAATCCTTTAGGCTGTATTACTTAAAGTGTCAAGTGCCTACACCTATGTACGCATGCTTGTATCTGACAAATTATAGCGTATCTATGCATCTATGCTAAGCTATATTTTCCCCTAGATCATCAATTTCAATAGCTTATTAAGCTAAAACTCTAAAATGTACCTTATTGTAACATGCACTTTACTGTTATATGCATCTTGGTGTAATTAGTGTTAATGCTTAATCAGCCACTTGTCTAGATTGTGTATAAACTTGCAGAATAACGGTGAATACCATAGAATTTTTAGCATGTCACTGGTAGGTGTTTTAAGAACTAGAAGGATTTCGTGACAATGTGATATCGACCTGCAAAGTTTATTGCTGGGTGAAATCGAAGGATTCTATCTTTATTTATTTATCTAAACAAGCCATGAAATGAAAGCTTTTCTTTGAATTCTTGACGTGTTTTTGTTCTTTGCAGGTTTAGCTCAAAGATATTCTGCTATTTTTGCTTAAAAATATATAGAGAAGCTTATATCATGTTTTAGGCGGCTTAAACATATACAACTAAGCATAGACAGGGGCGTAGCTAGTAGGGGGTGTAGGGGGGGGGGTGTAATTCCTCATGAAGTCGTCGGTAAATCTTCAGTTTGTCTACGAAACCCTTAGTTTGTCGGTAAAATCAGCTATAAATAGGTGAAATAGTACCTAAATTCTTCTCAATCTCTGTCTTCGTTGGTAAATTTTTTCTATTGATGACCCTCCACCCCCCTAATCTGGAAGGTCAAGCGACGCCACTGTAAGACACGTAAGTAAGAGAAATAAAATAAGTAACAAGAAAAATAAAGTAAGAGCAATAAAATGCAAATTAGGCAAGCATTTTTCTTTTTCAAATTGAAGATGATTCATCATGTTTTATGAATATTATTGTGGTGACGGAAAATGTCAGCTTTGCTTCTTGAACAAGATAGACTCCTAAACAATTCAATCACTCACGACAAGAGAAACATAATTGCCACCAGCTGTTCGTATACAAATGATTTGCTTAAAATCAAATGGCTTGATGCCAAAGAATAAGTAAACTATTTGGCTTTGCTTTCCAATTTTAAATTGTTATTTCATATACAGAATTGAAACAATCCATAAACAGAAGCAGGTAGTCGCTTAAAGAATGTATTATGAAAGCTTTGTTTTTAAGATACGTGGAGAGGAGTTGGCCTATGCGTTTAAAAATGGGCTATAGTCTATTTCTCTTCCAGAATGCTGAAAAAAGTTCTGCTAACTGAATCATGCTGGCATCAATAGCTTTATGGTTGGTCCTTTGTGGAGGAGTTCGTGTTAGCCACTGCAAAGGTAAGCTGGCCCTTGCAATAATAATCTATTTTCAATGTCGCATGTCGCATATGGCGTTCGTGAAATCAGAAAAATCGTTAACGTTCTGTAAAGATAGCTGCACGGGAAATGCCCTAGTGAGGTTCAAAAGATTCAAAAGACGGGAAATGCACTAGGTTTTTGTAGCTGAAGTTCCCTTGCATCAGTGCTTGACAATATAGTTTAATTTTTGTGTTGTGTTTCTTTACGAGAAAGACATTCAAAAATTATCCTTGTAACAACATAAGCAATGTTGCATTGACAAAATAGGCAATTTGGAGCATTCATTATATACATTAGATTACTGATATGCATTTTTATAGTAAATAGGATTGTTCAATGTTCGCATTTCACAGCCTTTGCATGTTTGCATTGAAAGCTTGTGCCTGCTTGGTTAGGTTGCCCTGTCCACAATCTAGTTAAATGCACTTCATTAGCGATGCCTGCGGACATTACGGAAATCAATAATTGATGGCAGTGTCAATGTAAAACACCTTTGCTGGACAGTCAAATCTAGTTTTTTAAAGACGAATAAGAAACCATTCCATTCCTTTAGTTTTTCAAATTTCAGATTTTACATATATAAAATTTTGCTTTTTTGTCATTTGGTAAGGTATCATGTTATTTTGCATACCTATTACCAAATATGGAATTTTTGTTGTCTAATAACACAAATATAGTTCACGAATAAATATTTTTCATTAAAACAACATTAGTCCTCGAAGTGTTGAAAGAACAAACTTTGTAAAAAATTGAAAATGTAAGAAGTGGACACCTTGAAATACTCTAAGATATTAGTATTCCCAAATCATCTCTTTTAGTAAATTTTGTATCATTAAAAGTAGTACAATGTCTAGGTTTTCAAACAGCATTCCAAGTTAAATTTGTTAGAAATATAAGTTTTAGATCATTTGATGACAGTTCTGATAAAGACATCTCTTGATTACCATTATATAAAGATATCCTCCTTTCCAGTGAGATTACCATCGACACCAGAGGCTCGTCTATTACATCATCTCTTTAATGACTATGACAATCAGGTTCGGCCGGTTTACAACAGAACTGATGTAGTAAATGTTCAATTCAGCTTGAGTCTTATTCAAATTGTCAACGTGGTAAGTAACACAAAGCTGGATATTCAGTAAGAGAGTTTGCGCCTTAAAACAAAGGAGAAACCAGATGTTACATTTCACATCTGAGGAACGCTCTTGTTTAATTTTTTACTTCTTATATTTTTTGTCCCCTCTTTACTTGGTATACCTTGTTATAGGCATAGGTAAAGATATGGTTGTTCTGTGTTTCTGTGTTAGTCCTTCCATTGGTTGAATACTAACTTTATGACAAACTTTGGTTTATTGCAACCGATGCTTCGTCATGCTAGACAATTCTTTTGAAGACCACAACCGCAATCTTAGCTGGTTTCATGCCACACTAGCAATTCTGCTTGCACTAGCAATTTTGTAATGACTTTCTTTTTGAAATCTTGCCATGTTAGATATCGGTAGGATGAAAATGGAAGATATTTCTTCATCGGGGTATTTGAAAACCGTTTATCGTTTTCCACCATCAATTATATATGAAACGGGACATTGCTTTTCAGAACAGCAAGTCGCAACTGCTATCAACCAGTGTTTGGATACGTCAGGTATGTAATGCTACAAGCTATGCATCGATGCTAACAAATCAAGTTCAATTTTTTTACAATATGTTACTTTTGCTGGCTTGTTATCTAGATAGCTAGACAAAATTCTGCCTTTTCATTTAGTTTCGGAAAAGGCTAGTTATATTTATAAATGGCTTTGAAAAAAGCAAACATTTAGTGCATTTAGTGTGTTAGCGTTTGAAAAAAGCAAACATTTACAAGTTTTGTACCACCAAAAGATTGTTTGCTAGTTATATTTAGCCAGTTAGTTAGTTAGTTAGTTAGTTAGTTAGTTAGTTAGTTAGTTAGTTAGTTAGTTATTTAGTTAGTTAGTTAGTTATTTAGTTAGTTAGTTAGTTAGTTAGTTAGTTAGTTAGTTAGTTAGTTAGTTAGTTAGTTAGTTAGTCAGTTAGTTAGTTAGTTAGTTAGTTAGTTAGTTAGTTAGTTAGTTAGTTAGTTAGTTAGTTAGTTAGTTAGTTAGTTAGTTAGTTAGTTAGTTAGTTAGTTAGTTAGTTAGTTAGCTAATTGGTTACATTCAATTCACGGCAGGTCTGTCAATTTTCAGAAATGGAAGAATCCATTTTTGACGTGGAATCCAAGACGTTATGGAGGTATTGACCAAATAAACGTTGATCCTGCGAAAGTTTGGATACCAGATATCATACTCTATGACAAGTAAGTCTACATTTCCTTTCTACAGTCTACATCTAATGAAATAATGAAAATTATTTACATAATCTGATTGCCATTTCGTGTTTTTTTGGTACATTAATTGACTTGATAGAGTACAGTAATCCACTCATTAAGGGACAAAATAAGATCTGCTATGCTGTGAGAAAAAATGAACTTATGTTTTGTTTATTTATAATCATTACAGTCAAATTAACAGTCAAATGAATCAAATAAAGTGTCTAGTAAATGCAATATAGAACGGTAAAGATGCCCAAGTATTTATAGATGGTGCTAATATTCAATTGATTTGCGAGTTTTCCAAAGCTTCCTTAAAATATGACTGAGTTAGTATCAAACGTACTATGAACAGTGAATTAAAGGGTAAGCTTAAGGTCAGTGGCCGTTTGTCATAAAAAAAGCCTAACCACAGTACTTGTATAAAATTGTCATCAAAGTTTTTGAATAAAAGGTCCTCACGCAGACAAATTTACAAAAAAACCGTTTAGATATGCTGAGTATAAACGAGATGAATAGAAGGCTCCAGATTGAAATGAATCGTATACTTTGTTTTTAAGATATTTTACAGTTCCTTTCTCGTGATTTCATTTACTTGCAATTTGGCTAAAATCATTAAAAACGACTCAAATCTTGCGCTATCGGAGGATCTATGTAATTGGGGTTGTAAACTACGGACCGTTTTGTGTAATTCTAATGTAGATCAGTCTGCCAAGATTTTCGTGATTATTACAAGAATGAGATATAGAGATTTGAAAATTCATGTTTTGATTAATACAAGGCTTAACTCAATCTAATTAAGACAAGAAACCAATACGCTTTCAATTAAGGATGACGCAACAGCTAATGCATGATGTTGTTACATTATTTCTTAATCACTAACCAAAAGTTTCTCGTCACATGACCAGCCTCATGTCGATAACATGCTTCTCCCCATTGTGCTAAACCACGCATTATAGCCACTGCATTGCTACCACAGCAAGTACACGACGTGTTGCATAAGGGCAACAGAAAAACACCCATAAAGAGTAATTTGAAGGCTATCTTGACAGTCTCTTCAGTATGACAGTTTGAATTAAGAAGAAATACAGCGACGTTTCTGAGACCCTGATTTAAAACAACTTTCGTGCTCTACTACACCATATTTAATGTTTCCTTCGGAATTCTAAAAAACATCAAACCATTGGGCTGTAGTTTCATAACAGTAATGCAATATCATATGCCAAAGAAATACCAACTGGCCCCATCGAAAACTTTTAAACAATCTAGAACATAGAGAGATTTCCATTGTGTCAACGCTAGACAATCCCTTCCATGACCACCATAGCCACAGCCAAAGCTATAAAACATTTATGTCGACATGTCAAAAAACTTAATGGATACCATATCTAAAACGGTTTTGGCTGGAGTTGCAATATTGTCCTATCGTATTTTGCTGCACGTGCGTTTTCAACAACAGCCTTTCATGATGCAACATGTTTAATGATTGATATGTTAAAGCAATTACATTCAACTCTGATTTGGTAGTCTAAACAATCCTTAATTTCTTTTTAAATGTCAGGATTAAGTCGTCCAATTATCCTCTTTTCAAGAGACTATTCTATCTTCGACTCAGCTTGCTTGATCAAAATCGTAGTCAAGTAAGACATATTCTGACGCTCGTTATAAAAAGAGATAACTCGAAATCGTGACGCTATGTCTACTTTTTTATGCCTAATTTTCAAACCTACACTTTATAGGAACATTTACCCAAATATCTTGACATTTTGGTAAAATTGTCTTAATAATATTGGATTCTCGGTTTTAAAAATGACAAAATCAAAATATAAAAGACAAAGAGAGACTAAAAAGAGATTACAGAATGGAAAATTCTTATTTAAAGTCTTTCTTAATTATTACAAACTGCTTAAATATTTACTATAAACGGCTTTACGGTTACATTTTCTTGAAAATTAACAAAAAGGGTCATAAATTTTCCTTGCTCTATTATATTTTCTAAGTAGAAATCTCCTTTAAAATATTTAACTTAATTTTAAAAATTCGAATTCACTTTGTTGCTCCTGTTTTATGCTGCTGCCACTGCTTTTGCTACTGATGTTGCTGTTGTTGTTACTGCTGTTGCTGTTGCTGCGACTGCAATTGCGATGATGAGAGTATCTTATTGGTTTGCAAAAAGAAAGGTAGTCATTTGTTTCCATACTTTTATTGTTTGTATATCATTGCAGTGCTGATGATACTTACGGAGGAGGATTGGAAAAGTACAAAACAAAAGTCATTGTGAATTCAGACGGAAACAGCAGTTGGTTTTCACCAGCCTCTTTTACGAGCACTTGCAAAATAAATGTGAAGTTGTTTCCTTTCGATTGGCAAACATGTGTTATGAAGTTTGGATCCTGGACGTTTGGAGGTGATCGCCTCACTATGACGTCAGCCTCTGATTCAGCAGATATCTCAAAATATGTGACAAATGGAGAATGGGACCTAGTGGAGATGCGAGCAAAGTTGAATAAGATGAAATACAATTGTTGCGATTATTTTTTTTATGACGTCACATTTTATCTTACAATCAAACGGAAACCATTATACTACATATTCAACCTTATTGTTCCTTGTGCTTTGATCGCTACCTTGACTTTGATCAAGTTCTTTTTACCTCCTGAATCGGGGGAGAAAATCGGGCTTGGCATCACCGTGCTTCTAGCTATGACTGTCTTTCTATTAATAGTAGCTGACAGTCTTCCGTCAACTTCGGAGAATATTCCTTTACTTGGCGCGTACTTCATCGCTATTATGTTCGATACTGCTCTCTCACTTGTGGCATCATGCATCATTCTAAACTTTTTTCATCGTAACCCCTCGATGTCTCCAATGCCTAAATGGGTACGAAAATATATTCTCGGCTACATGGCTTGGCTGTTATGCTTTCCAGATCACAAGAAGTATGTCGAAAGAAAGATCAGCCGCCTCTCATCGCCGAGAGCATCAAAATATTTCACGGCGAACGGGGGACCAGATTACGATGGAAACGAGGCTCGATATAGTATCGAGATGGAGAGATTGCAATCTACTTCAAATCATGACTATAATGATATAAGTAGATCGGAAAGCTACGAAACGCTTATGGACCCAGTGTCTTACAAGATACTAGAGGGAATCGGGACACTTGCAGATAGTGTTCGCAGAGAAGAAGAAGAAGAATTCTTGCGAGATGAATGGAGAAGGGCAGCTTTAATACTGGATAGATTTTTCTTCTTCTTGTTCTTGATATCGACTATACTGACAGCTGCATCTCTGTTCTTACAAGACCAAGTCATAAACAGTGGTCCTCCCGAAAATGTGAAGAAGTTTGCGGCTTAAGGCTTTTATCAGGTGAGAAATCTTCGTTTTGGTAACCCGTACTCTGCTTATGGGTAATTTGCTACAAGATGTGCGAAACATTATTTAGAAAATTGCTTGATAGAGCAATTTTACTAAAAATTTTGAACGTGATAGCAGGTTTGGAAGCAATCTATAAAGGGATTGCACTTGAAGCGATGTTAAAGTGAAACTCTGTCAAAGTGAATCGATGGCAATTTGTACCAAAGCCCAAGAAGCCATGGGCTATCTACTGCTGAGAACGGTACGTTTCCTTCCAACAGGAAAGCATATCTTGAAGCCCATTGTGCTTTTCATCTACATATCATTGTAGCTATATTTGACAAATAGATCTGCCTGTTACTCATTAGAGATGACATTAGCAGGGGTACATGATTCATAGAACCAGCCAATCTGTTCGTCATTTAAAATTGATTAATCGACTGGTTCAGCTGGCTTGAAAATGCTTATTTTCAAAACTGTCTGTTTCCTTGTATTTGCTTCATTCAATTTTTTCTACATGTATCCTGTGGCATAGCATGACCTTTCTCGCTTTAAGGGGGGGGGGGGGTGTGAGAGATGCACAATCATATTTAACCGACATAAATTCTTTTGTTACAGTTGGCATAAATGTCTTTTGTTAAAAATGTGAATCTACCGACGATTTCTCTGAAAGTTGGGGGGTGTGATACCTCCCAACATCCCAGCACGCTACGCCCCTGCATGTATCAAATTGCTGTGAAACGTGACATAACTTTCTTTAGTTCTTATTTCGCTAGCCTTCTTAACCACTCCATCCATTTTGACGACATTTTTCCAGTCCTTGTACACAGTAAGAATCTGATTTTGCCCGGGATATAAACGCTTATGATTGCGATTCCAGAATTCCAGAGAAAACCATACAGAAAGATGCTTCAAGAGTGTGCTGCGGCAACCTGCCAGGGGGCATTTTCTATTTCTGGATGATCTTTTCATTCATTTGATACAATAGGAATTATCCAGATACAGATATGTCATGGCATACAGTAAAAGCAAATGCATTAAACTCCAAGCAGGCCTTTACTTTTTCCAGACATAAGTTGAAAATAAGCACCTTTTTTATCGAACGAGTCGCGGTCTCTTGTACACATATAAACATAGGAACCGGGGATACAGGGGGCATATCAACCCTCACCTTACAGAAAAAAGGTAAAATGCCTATTTTTAGCTCACGAGTTTGCCCCTTTATGTTTATATCCCCTCCTCTCCCATTTCTGAACTTTTTCCTACGTCTGTGTGTACAAACCTCGACTGGAAAGGTATTTAAAAGCAAACTATATAATCTAGACATCGTAAATGCAAAATAATTAGGTAAAGCCAGTGAGAGACATATTATTATTTTAGCAACCCTTCTCTTGTTGTGCATAATGAAAAAGAAAGATGTAGCCAAAACGAGATCGACAGGTCTCAAAACCAAGCAGGGCCTGGGGCACTACAGAATTTTCAATACCAAAGTAAGTGAATGAAGCCCAGACTAAGTGTGTTTGGGATTAGAATGCTTTCATATAAATCAAAGGCTTATGTTTAAGTGAACAATTTTACATGCCGTTCGTCAAATGAAGACGTTTAAATAGCTAATGATTAAAAAACTAGCGTACTAGAGGATTTTAAAAAGTTCCATAATACAACTATTGTTGTCATGATCGCCACTACTATCAGGCTTATGGGCACTTTAACTTCTTCAGACTTGTCGGCAAATGAAGGACGGCTTACCGACTCTTTCGGCAAATGGCAAATGAAAACCACCCTTGAAAACAATAGTTTTTATATTTTTCTTATATGAGCATTCAGTTTCATTAAGTTCTAGGCCCTTAATAGATACCCGATTCTTATTAAAGCCTCAACGCGAGATGTAAGGTAAAAGCTAGGCTTCTGTACAAGTGTAGCTGATGCTAAGTAGCTGTGTACCTTCAAGGTAGTTTCTAGGAGGCATTATTGTGCCTACCACAATAGTCTATCTTTATGATATACAACCAGATTCACAAATTAAAAACCAGTTTATGTTTTGATGTCAAAATCAAATGTTATTACCTATAAAGAAAGGACAGGACGTATTTTCATTGTAATTGTCAGTAACATTCTTGTAGTCAGGCTGTTTTTAACAAAGTCCATATTGGGCCTTGGAAATGGCTGCAGCCATCTTGCACCATCGCTTCAAATGGACCTGTGTAGTTGAATCCTTTAAATTGTCATTATTTTGTTAAACATGTTATTTCTTAGAAAATGATCTACAGTTTGAATTTTGAAGTAAGAAAAATGTAAGTTGAGCGACTTGTTCCAGTGATGCGTTTTCATAGAAAATCTCAGATCAGATTAAAAAATTTCATACATATATGATTGTTCTTCTTATGTTTAATTTTTGAATAAATATCATTAAGAGGAAATTCACCATTTAATAACCAGCCATTCGTAACCTCCAGCCCGCGAGCCAACTGCGGCCACAGCAAGATTTCATTTGCCCCACCGAAATGCTTTTACCTCAAATATATTTAGCCTGGTAGGTATAAGATCTGTATTTCATTTTCAGCAGCTTCTTTAAAATAATCTACCGTGAATTATCTTTTTAGCCCCCTTCTCTCAATTAAGCCTCCCTCTCTTACTAGCTCCTCTTTTCAGAATAAAATATTTAATTAGCCCCCCTCTCAATTTAGCCCCCTCCCCAATTTTCACTGATGCCAAAATAAGTAAACTTGACAAAAACAAAGATTTTCATTTTATTCATTGCTCATCATACTTCGCATCAAATCAAGATTCACACCATGTCCCTTCCAGTCCTCCAGATCCAAAGACAAAGATTTAATGTGCATTAAGCACGGCCATGTTAGAGCCTGTTACCAAAATTACAGGCCGTTGGTACCCCGAGGGATGAAGTTGACCTTTCCGAATGCTCGATTTTAGAAGGCGACATGGCATGGCCCCAAAGGATAATTTAAATTAGTAATTGACTATTATTGACTATCAGTTTACTATATATTTTTGAAAATTAGTTTACCACTATAAATGATTTTTTATTACAAAATATTTATTAAGCCCCCTGTCTCAATTTAACCCCCTCTCTTATAAGCCCCCCTTGAAGAGCTGTGAAATAACAAGCCCCTCCCCTGGGGGGGGGGCTAAAAAGAGAATTTACGGTATGTAAAAGTTGAAAAGTCAGTAGCCCCCAAAATGATTTGACAGCAACATAGAGCTTGATCTGAATTACGAAAAGATTAGATAATTAGAAAGTTTCTTGCCTTTGGAATTAGAATTGCTCTCCCTAAGAATACTCAAGCTTAAATATTTTTCCCATGCATTTAAAAAAAGATAAATCATGGTTAATCCAAAACTTAATAAACCAGAACAATATTTCCGTAAAGATTAACACGAAAAACGGTTAACTTAATATACAGGCAAGAATAACAGACAATATCAAACTTGCCAAATAAAATACAGAAACTAAAAAAACTATTGGTGCAGGGAGGCTGGTATTTTCGATACAGTGAAGATTTTAAGGAAAACGTAAAAATCCTCAAGTTTTCTTGACTTAATGAACGGCAAGTCAAAACGATACTCACTGTGGACTAATTGTTTTGATGCGTTTACTTGTCAATTTACAGACATCAAGATGCAAAATTAAGATCTTGCAAATAATACGAAATCTTTTATCGCAATTTTCTTATCTTAGTTTTTGAGCCACCCCTGAGAAAACTGATACACACGCCTATGATGAGAATGCTACGGAGTTGGTGCAAGTAATAAAGAAAGCCACATGCATTCGAAATTCCCTTTTTAAAGGGCTCTTTCTGTTTGTGACACGTCAAAATGGTCCAATATTGCTCTTCCTATCAGAATTTGTCACATTACACCCATTTTGTAAAAGAACCCTCAATGATAGAAATGGTATCTTCCCAAGATGGGATAGAATCTAGAATTCGGTTACCGCTACGATTCATATCACTACTACATTAGAATATAGCTCTTTATCAAGTAAAAACAACAGAAAGTGTATGGTTAAATAGAGAGTACAAGAGTAGAATAGAATGATGGGGGTAAAAATTACCCGCAAAGAATAATGTGGCGGTTTTGAAAGTTTTCCTTGATAGAGGTTTCAAGAATCAATTCTTGAAAAGGAACGTTGTCATGCTAAAGGATCCATTTTGGGAAATTTCAATTACTTTTCTGATATTTTCATTTTGAAACTTCCAGAGACGCCGGAGAGGAGGGTCACGGGGGTCAACCGCCCCCGTTGCTTTTTGATAGGAGGGGCAAGGAGGGCTAACGTGCCCCTTTCATAGAAGTGCCCTTGACGCCGGCCTTTTGTAGGAAATCCATGAGAATCATATAAAATCCTGACTATATTGCCTTATTCATGACGACATTTCTCGAAACTTATGAAGAAATTTCTTATACCAAAATTCAGCCGATTTTTGAGATACCGACAGAAGATCGAAAGAAAACGACAGTTACGCAAGAATTGTTGGTAGCTGGGAATTAATTTTTCCAATGTCTTTTTACTCAAGCCCCTTGCTCCTTCCGGCGTCCCTGGAAACTTCTTAACACATAGAGTTGGTGAAAAAACCCACAGGAAATATACCTCAATTATTGTAACCTGCTTCACAAACAAACTCATCGTGGTTATCGAGGCCACAGAATGTCGGGGCTGTAACATGGCGAAATCGAGGTTGTTGTAAGATGGTGTTTAAATTCTGATTTTAACCACATGCATCTCTTGATCAACGCACCGTGGAAGATCACATAATATAAATGTAATGGTCAGGGAACAACTGAGTCTCATTTGTGCCTGGAAAATGAAAGTTCTTGTAAATTAAACATTTAAATCGTCTGTTTTTGGACTCGAAGTGTATCAGTGTCAAAGAAATCAACTTTGTTTTAGGCTGTAAAACTTTGTTGTACACAGACTGGGTATCATTTTCGTTAATGCTTGCAAATCGTATTTCATCAATTTGGGGATATTTTAATTTACAAAATAGTGGCTAAACATGGAAACTGGTTTAGATCAGCTCTTTTTCATCGACAAAACGCCCAAACTTGATGCAAATGAGTCGGCGTGTATTCATGATTCTGCTGAAGAAAAGGATGAAGGACGAATACGAAAAAGATCCAATTCAGTTAAGAAGAAATCTGACATTGTATTAGGGCTAGATGACGAAGAAGCCGAGCTAGAAAGACTTGTTTTGGGGGGAAGGCCGGATAATCTTTTTTTGGATGACGATAATCAGCAAATATCTACTAAAGAAGTTTTGCATGTTGAATCGGATGACCAACAAAGCGATGATCAATTGGAACCCTTGGAAACGGTCTGTAAAATAATTGTAGTTATAGTTCATTAAAATCACTCTTTTTGTTTCACTTTTCAATCATCTTTTGTTTTTTGCACAATATCATTTGGTTTTTAACACTTGCTGCACAAACAGGACCTCCTGTTTTGAACTGAATCGAAGTTGAGTTATGAATCATTGAACACAACATTTAATATTTGTATATAAATACAAACATATATCTATTCCTTTTCACATGTTGTCATTTCTAAATTTTTTTTCTTTAAAATTGTTTTATCTTAGGATTCTAGTTCAAAACTATTAGCAAAGAAGAGAAAACCAGCATGGGTTGATGAAGATGACAATGATGTTAGGTAAAATACCAAGATCTCCAAATAAGCTGTCATTACTTTTAGCTCACTCAATTTTTTTAAAAAAATTAGCAATTTGATAGGTTGCCTATATGCCAGCTGCTACCTTATTTTGTTTCATAAAGGCTTATTTTCACATTATGTTATTCTTTGGCGATCATCACAGAACTCTGACTGCTGTAATCAGTGGTGGTGAAAGTAAAGGTATATCTGGCTTTTTAGAAACAAAACTCAGTGAACAAAAATATTAGCCTGTGGATAGCCAGATAAAAAAAGAAATTTTTGATATTGCAATGGAAAAGAAAGAGGGAAGATTGGGTAAAGCCTGTATAAACAAGCGTTAAAAATGAATTCCACATACCTGATGTAAGGTATATAGATCTGACAGGTTGATATTGTATTTCATAAATCTGATTTGTCTTGATAAGCAACATATCATGTTAAAGTTCATAATGACAGACAGAGGTAGGAGCTGCCATGAAGTTTTAACTTTTCTTTGTTTCTAGATCTCTAATATATCCCCTAGTTTCTTTTTTTACCTTCAGTGGAGATATGATTTGAACCTACCCATTTGCAGTTTGTCAAGACCATGGGCACATCAGTCTGCAAAAAACACTGCACAAATGAATCTATATGACATAAAGTGTTACACAAGGAAACACTACAAAAAAGCATAGTTTTGTAATGAAAACACTGATACAAAAATAATTCTAAAATGTTTGCATAAGGTCCATATTAAGCAACCATAATTGTGTTGATGAAATGGCTGTTAAAGCATTCCCCCTGTACACAAATGTAAGCTTTTTGACTAATGTCCCCTCCCCCCTGTATTGCACACAAACTTTATAATTAGCTCCTTATTGTAAATCTGTCTTTACATTATGAGTTACTTTTTCATGATACAAGTCTTAGTAATTGAGATACTTGTTGGGTTGCCAGAACAGAAGGAAAACAGTGAGTAGCACCCCCCCCACCCCCCTATTCTAGTTAATTGAAGGATGAAAAAAGCTAAAAACACTCTTTTATTATATTTGTTACATAGAAAATTAGAATACAGAAAAATTAAAATAAATCTTCACAAAAAGTCCATTTAATGCTCAACATTCTTGTTCCATCCAGCATTGATATCAAACGCGAAAAAAGGTTAAGGAAGTTGAGAAAGACAGTACAAGATTCAAAAATTGATGGCAAAGATTATGAGAAACGTCTAAGGTCCCAGTAAGTGAACTTTTCTCAAATTAATTGTTATTTTTCAGCTTCATTTTTTTAAAGTAATGAGAAATTTGCATTATAATATTTTGTAGTTAGAGACAATGTGAATTTATTCTGTGAATTTTTCAAAAGATCCAAATTCTTGAGAAGTATTTTGGTTATACAAACAGCTTTATCTTGGATGTATATTGACAAATCTATGATGAAAGTTTCTTGTTTTGTATTTTTGTGTTTATTATTTGGTATTTATATGTTCTTGTTTCAAAATAGGTATGAAAAACTAGTTGGTTGTCCTGAGTGGGCAAAAGCGACTGACAAGAAAATTGATAGTGATGATGAAGGTGAGATATAAGGCATATGTTTTGTCTATCTATGAACTTTTCTTCAATGTTTATTGACATTGAGAGATTTTTGCTTTGACATTCAACAAAGTGTTGTTAAAGCCAAAATAAGTACTTACTAATTTGATTTTCTATCTTGTTTTAGAATAAAAAGTTTGTTTGTCATTCAAAGTCAAAATTATAACCCACATGTATAGTATGAATATAAAATTTGATTTTTGTATCAAAGGTGGGCACAAGGTGATATTTTAGGCTTGATAAATTTGTAATTTGAAGACAGAAAACTAGTCCAGGGTTACGATCTACTAGTTTAAAGGGATCTTCAACATCCTCTAAGACAATTTGTAGAGACAATCCTCAATATTCATCGCATTTTTAACATCTAATTTCTTTTCAGTTTATTTTTAAAACAATATTTCGATCTTTTTTCTTTGTCTAAAAAAAGTGTTTGTTCTTAACATTTTATTAACTTAACCTGTGTAAAAAATGTAGAATAATGCAAAATTGCTATAATTTGTTATGTATTAACATCAGCTATAGCCAGAGAATCATTCACAAAATGTCACACTTTTGCTGCTATAAGAACTTTGAGCAATTAGTATATAACTTGCAATATTTGATTCTTTGATTTGATTTGATTTGATTTGATTTGATTTGATTTTATTTTATTTTATTTTATTTTATTTTATTTTATTTTATTTTATTTTATTTATTTTATTTAATTCAAATTCTGTTACAAAAACTAGTTATATGAAATATAAATATATCAATAACAGAACACAACAATGACAATTAAAGTTGTTAAAAACACAAGTTGATTCTGAATTCCTCAAGGACTTGTAATATGTTTCTGCTTTCCAGATGAATTCTTTAGAAGCACTAGAACTTACCTTGGTAGATCAGAAAATCTACCACAAACAACTATATCAATAAGAAAAGTGAAGGATGCAAATGCTGCTAAGCACAGTACTGCTTCATTGAAATGTTTAGAGTTTCACCCATCTTCAAAAGTTGTGCTAACAGCTGGGTTGAACAAGACTCTCAGTTTATTCCAGGTAAATAATATTATCAGATGATTTTCAAAGTTGTTGTCACAGTAATGCCTCCAGATAAACAAGAAATTGTATGGTTTTTTCCATTAGTGTGATTAAAGATATGACTTAGTACTATTTTCAGTAGAGTATAAACTGTCTCTCTTTTGTTGCTAAGAAACTTGAATTGGCCCCTTTACCAATCAAGTCTCATGATTATTATTTAATGTTTCCCTCGCCTAACAGTTAAAATGAATGAAGATATTCAAGAAGGTTTATTGCATTATCTTTTTTTAAAACTCTATCTGAAATATACTGTACTCAAAAGAGACTAAAAATTGATGCAAGCTTATTCTCTCTGGATTTGCAGCTATCTATCTTTTTGGCAGGTTGATTGTGAAACCAACCCTTGCATCCAGAGTGTATTTGTGGATAGATTTCCAGTTTACACTGCACATTTCACTCCAGATGGTCAGAAAATATTAATTTCTTCAAAGCAAAGACATTTTTATGTGTTTGATATGTTTTCTGCTGAGATAAAGAAAATACCTGGAATAAAGGGTAGGTCTGATCATGATAATTATAATTTTCTGGATCTATTTTAATTTATGAAAATGGAATCTAACTATTATCAGAGCTATTTGAAGGGGATTTTGATGAGACTGTCTCTACAAACAGTTTAGAAACTATAGTTCAAGAGCTGCTCAAGCTGCTGATGTGAATTTTTGTTTGCACAACTAAGTGCATACATACTTAGTATAAGAATGTAAAAGTGTGACTTATAATAATAACTAACAAACAATGATCAAAATTTTGGGGAAGAACATAAAGACTAACTTAATAAAGAAGTAAAAACATGAATGCAATAAATATAACATTTAATGCAATTCATCAGTCTTACTATGAGATCAAGTTGGGTTTCAAAGCAAATGAGTTAAAGAAAAGCTTCTGTTCCTAACCAGCTGATGTTTTTAACATGTATGGAAAATAGCAGGTCCCAGCCCGTTTCTTTGCTTTATTCATTTTTCAAATTTTTCTTAACTTCAGGCACTAAAGACAAAAGTTTAGAGAAGTTTGTTGTGTCCCCTGATGGTTCTTGTGTTGCATTTCTGGCCAGTAGTGGATACATACATCTTGTTTCTTTAAAAGTAAGATACATTGTTATATACACAATGCTTAATTTTTATGCAATGTCATTTTGTTTCTGCATTAGTTAGCTTATAAGTGACTCCAACCTGCTAACTATCTAGTTCATACAGTACCTCTTATCATCAAGTAGCAAGTCTAATAAATCAAAAATGGTTTGGAAAAATGATTGATGCAAACAAGAAAATCATCGCAATATGCTTTGCAAGAGCTTAACAGGCAGGAATCATCTCTACTTTTTAATGTAATGTCATTCAAAGGTGCCTTTGCTTTTACTTTTTTTCTTATAATTCTTTAACTCAACCCTGAGTTTTCCTTCTCTTTCATTGTCATTATCATATATATGGTGGTAATGATTTTTTGTAATGATGTTAACTTTCTTTATACGTCTTTCACATGAGGTTATATGCTTTTCCTCCAAGCATTTTTGCTTTATTTTTGTCTTCATTAATTCTATTTACCGTATTCTCTTTTGTAATCCCACCCTCTTTTCTATTCCCGTCTCTCTAATACTCCCACCTTTTCTCTATACTTAGAACAATTAGTCCCGCCTCTCTGATAATCCTGCATGCGGGTTTGATTAAAAGAAAGAAATCAATGAATCGCAAATGTGCTCGTTTTGAATAATTGCGGATATTCAGCGTAGTGTCTTGTCCTTCTCCAGAAGGAAAGGTGTCAACTTTCGTCAATGTTATTTGCAGATTACATGCAAAGTTTCCACGCGAAATCAGAGGAGAACATTTTGAAATGTAAGCCCGCTTTAAAAGCACGCTGAAAAATTAATCCCGCCTCTCTGGTAATCCCGCATTAAGTTTGGAGGTTGAATCAATAACCCGCAGCGGGAATGCAAGAGAGAATACGATATTGCATTTTCCACTTCTTTCCTTGAAGTTGCTCCTATTTATTTTCTTATGTTCTTGTAGTTTCAATTGACTTTATATGCATCCCTGTATTACCCTAGACTCTCCAGCTCATATGCTCGATGAAAATGAATGGGAGTGTGCTGTGTGCTGCTTTTTCAGCAGATGGATCATACCTGTACACATTTGGAGGTTGGTTTTTCGCTGTTCCATATATTGTTCACTTTACTTTCCAGGGATCAATGAATGTCTGATCTCTGTTGTATAAAATTATTATGATAAATGTGACTATACTTTGCCCAAGCTTTGCCCAAGCTTTGCCCAAGCTTTGCCCAATTGATAATTAACCAGCCAGTAAGGAAACCTGAAAAATTAATACTCTCTGCTTATACCCAAAGAATCACTCTAAAACTATGGAGTAAGGTTTGCCTAGCCTTAGACATATGTGAGTTTAACATTTTGTTTTTCAGTTCGTAAATTATTTTTCTAACTACACATGATTAGCTTCTTAATAGATGTTACCTAAATGTAGGCCTAATTTGAGACGAGATAGTAAACCGTGTTTATTTACATTCATCTCAGGAGACGGAGAAGTGTATGTTTGGGACATGCAGACTAAAAGGTGCAAACATCGCTTTCGTGACGAAGGCTGCCTCGTAGGAACTTGCATTGATGCTTCCAAGGATGGAAGATATATTGCTTGCGGGTAAATGAACTATTCGCTGTTTTTTAGATACTTTGTTGGCACCAAACATTCTGAAAAAGAAGAGGCAAAGAGTTGAAAAATGCTGAATAATCGACCCCCTCTTTTGCATTCTATTTTTCAGATATATTTAGATGAAGAAAATATCGTCAAGGTTGATGATTCAAAAAATTGCTTTCTAGTTTTAAGAAAGTCTTGATCATATTTTTGTGTCAAAGTAAGTTAATTCACAATTTTTATTGTATTGTTGAACCCTGATATCTTTTATATTATTTTTCGTTTATCAGGTCAAGAAGTGGAGTTGTCAACATCTACAATGAAGACTGCCTCTCAAATCGGAACCCAAAGCCAATAAAGACAGTTATGAATTTAACGACGTCAATAGACGATATGAAATTTAATCCGACAAGGTGCAGTCTTAAGTCTTTTTTATAGTTAGAAGCTTTGCATGCTTTTATTACAGTTAAACTCGAATAATGCAGATATTCCATAACTCGGAAAAAATGCTTGATCTCAGTCCCCAGTTTATTTAGAAAAACAGCTTAAAAAAACAGGATGGCAAGTTTATTAAGCCGTGGACGACCATGCATCTTCAGAAAAGATGATAGCTTTAGGATCTTAGAATTAGAAATCGAATAATAAGATAAATTCCGAAGCGTTTGCATTAAAGCAACAGTCAGTGACTATTTATAGGCTAAACAGGCATTTGATTATTTTTGTACCTGTGATGACAGATTTATTCTATGCTGTATTCTATGCTTGTAAATTTTTCAAACGTTGCATAAGTCAGAGAAAATCTGACTTACCTGTAAGTCCGACTTAGCATATATCGGGAACTATTTTTTATGGTCCAAGGAGATCCAACTTATGCGACTTTGACTGTATCACCTTCCACGATAGATTGGAGGTGTCAACTTTTCTAACTATGTAATTTATTAAAATAATTTTGCATTGACTCCCCGTCTCCCCACAAATGAATTTGGAAAGCCTAAAAAGTTGTAGAAAATATGAGGCAGTTTACAAAGAACAGGGGTATTTTGGGAGAAGATGCATTATAGAGGATCCTAAGTCTAGAAAATATGGTGCCAGAGCATCCAAAAAGCTAGTGCAATGACATTTTTTGAAAATGTTGCGAGAGTTTTGAACGGCTTTATCAGAAGATCGAGATATTTAAAGCATATAGTGTTATAAGAAAAGGAAAAAGTACTCAAATCTTTCGGTATTTCGATGGGAATTGTCACAGCAACAATGAAAACCTGAAAGGCCCACAGAATCATTGAAATTATAAAAATACTTGAACATGTAGTTTCAACGTATGTCTTATGACAGTATTGATTCATAAATATGAATCTGTATGATACAGACCATAATATATTTATATCCACATTTCATCTAATTTGGCAAGAACAATACATGGTTGTGCACGGTAATGCGTAGGTTGCCGCATGTTTACAGGCATTGCACGCTAAAGTGCCAAATTGAAATTTATTTTTGTAGTGAAATTCTCGCCATCTCGTCAAGAGCGGTCAAGGATTCGCTGAAGCTGGTACGATATCTTCATTTACAATTTTGACTAATATTCATGTTATAAAGTTTAGGCCAGTCGAGCTTTTCTTCCATATTCCTATATTTCAGATGAAAATGTATGTTCTTATTTACTTATGTTCCCTAGTTTGCATTTTTGATGATATTCTTTGTGTTTCCGTCATTGTATATAATACGAAATATTGAGCGATTTTAGCCAGGCTGTGTAGAAAGGAACGTACAAATTGCTTCAATACATGTCCAGGGTTTTTTTTTTAATTTCATGTCCGAACAAAAGGGGAACGAATACAGTCGTCCAGAAACCATTGCAGTGTGAGCAAGGGAACAGGAAAATTTTCGAGTATTCAAGTTTTTCAAGTTATTTTTAAGTTTTAAAGGATTCTAGTTCCAAGTTCTTTGTTTCAATTAAAAACATTCTATGTTAAAGTTCAATTTCCAAAAACATTTTATTTTCAGCTTCACATATCATCGTTAACTGTATTTTCAAATTGGCCAACGAGAAAGGGCACATTAGGATATATACAGTCGTTGGCATTCTCGCCACAAAGTGGTTACCTGGCTATTGGCAATGATGCAGGCAAGGCACTCCTCTTCAGGTATGTAGAAGACACTACTCTCCTTAAGAAGAAAGCACTTATCCCCAGCTCATTTGAAATATGTATTGAATACTTTCTAGACACCCTTGTCTAGCAAGTATACAATGCATATTTCTAAATATTCAATAATGTCCAAGTTTATGACACTTATGGGAAGAATAGGCCCATATTTGGAGATACAAATGGCCGCTATTTGTTTGCTCTCATTGTTAGCATAAATCTAAACTGCATTAGCCTAGTGGAAAGTTATTTTGCCCCTGGGAGGAGAATACTTTTTTTTACAATAAGGCTTGTAGGCCGAAATGGCCCTTCGCCAACACAATTAATGCAGTGATTGGTGAAGTTTGTCTACTGTCTTGGAATGTCTGATTACGACCTGCAGGCAGCCAGGACCGTATAAAGAGGTGAACTGAGCCAAGCTACCTTGGTATAATCAGGTTATTGAAAATTTTGCCAGCTCCTTACTATCACACTTCACAAATTATCTTCTGTTGTCTCATAAGAACCCTGGTCGTTTTCATTTCGGTAGGCCAGGGATAGGGTTTATAGAACTTCACTTGTGTCTTTCACAAAATGATTTTGCAAGAGAATGTAGTGTACAAAAATTGTTTATCTCTTTCTAAAAATATTCTCCAAAATGTAAAAGAAAGGAATTTTTTCTTGTTTACATTTTAAACCAAAACCTTTTTGTAAACTGACTGCTCTTCGATCATTTTTCAGGTTACTCCATTATCCTAATGAATAATAATTGAAGACATAGCGGTTTTCAACAGAACGCGCAGGACAAAAGTACGACATTGTGACAGCAATGGCAGAATTATCTTTTCCCGTAACTTACGTTTAACATTATACATTGTTATATTTAGACTGAAATCTTGTGTTGTTTTTTCTCTTTCTTGTTGATCTTCAATGTTGTAACGAATAGAAGAATTTTGCAGTACGCAAATTTAAATTCATTGGGCACAATTTTCCATTCATATTTGTTTTTCTAAACTTCAAGTAAATACTAATCTTTACTTAATTGACAATTTTTCGTCAATCAGGTATTCGACACCAACCTTGGCTTTGAATATTCAATTTATTATAGATAAGTTATTTAAAAATAGGTACCCCTCATCCTGGATCTCTATCATAGGAATGATGCTTTAAACTGTATTATAGGTAAATTTTTCTATTCAAAAGACAGTATGCACTTTAACGAGTTTCTTCTTGCCACATCACCAACCTTTTTTCGAATCCTGTGATATTAAATTCCCTTGGTAAAGCTTTGATAAATATAATAACTTTCAGTTGTTTTATCAACAATAAGTCGCATAAAAGGATATAAGAGCATGCTTCTACGTTATGAAGATTACTGTAAATCGATCTGATTCCGCATAGGTAGTGCTGTGCAAGCTAACAGAAGTGTTGTAAGTTGTTGCTAGTTGCTTTGCCTGATGACCGCATGATAAACCCGCCTAGGAGAGGCCCTCCGAAACAGTAAACTGCATTGTTCACCGGGGTGGATTCAGAGCGATTTTGAAGGAGGGCAGTTGATAGCGAGGACGCTGAAAAATTTTCAAAAATTAGCGACGAGAGTACGCTGTATACAAATACTTCCGATCCTAACTACTGACAGAAGGCTCTCTTTTTCCTTTCTAAGAAATTTTGCCCAATAATTGTGTTAAAGCAATGATGTATAGTCTGAGTATGGCTGAAGGTCTCTAATTAAAGTTTCACTCCTAATAGATAAATTTCATGTTAGAGTACTTTGCTACAGGGTTGGACTGGATTGCTCTTTCTTTACCAGAAAATTAAACTTTTTGGGGGCCCAGAAAGTTTGCCTCTTGCACTCATGGTTTAATTGTCAATTGAAGTATGACTTTATGCTTAGGCCATAGTTTAAAGTATGTACCCAAAGTTCAGTAGGTTTTGGGAAAGGTAAAATTGATTGTTCAAGGCTTTGATGAAGGCCGCCACCCAGGTGTGAGGAACAAAAGAATTGCAACTATTATACTCTAGAGATAGAAATTGGTTTTGGGTATTTACAACATCAATGAGTACCAAGGACCATAGGCACAACGGACAAACATTTTATCATAATTATGCTCCATAGTGCTATTTGGTTTAGTTATGATATGAAGTTAGGAAAAGTTTCACGAGTAAGAAATTTAACACGGTTGGAATGAAGGCAGGAATTGAAAACCAAATTCATGGATTGCCTCTCCTCTGATGTCTTCCAAAGCGTGACAGTCCAGCAAAACATGTTCCATCTTCGAACGAAATAAACAGGTCAACTCTAAAGTAGTCCTTGAAGTAAATTAGCCTTTATGTCTCAGAAACTTCTTCACCTGATTCTAATTCTTTAAAAGGGGTGCACGATTTCTAAAAATGGGTGCCAGATTTGCCTCATTTTGGCGAAGGCCCCTGTCCCCAGTTGCCCTTCTAAATCCGGCACTGATTCTTAGCAACTGGAGTGTAGTGCTAGCATGCTCAGGGGGCTGGGCCTCCCTTATTGATGCCAAAAATTCGCAAATTGCTTCTCTTGTTATTGTTTTTGGCAACATTTTGTGCAAGAACCCCCCTTTTAATTTTCATAGCACTACATCACAGGTTAGCAAGCTTCTCTTTTTATACAAGTTTGTGGCTAGCCTGGTAAAGCGAGGGCCGCGAGAGACGGATATCCGGCGGCAGATATTTTTGAGAACAATATCTTATTTTGCTTTTCATTGAAAAATTTATATGAGAGCCGTGTTGGCACACTTAAGCGAGACAACTATTGGCAGATATGTCGACAAAAGCTAGCTCGGGTGACTGGGGTGGAGATTTTTCCTGTGTAAAGAATGAAAACATTATCCCAATTAGGTTTCCTTGTTCATCCTCGAGGCTTATATTATTTTCTGTGAGTCGAATTTCCCCTGACATGTGTTAAATTCTCACGAATCTTCAGTGAATAAACCGATATATGCGAATTGTTATCTGATCGGACAATTTTATTTTGAACAGATGTGACCTCTTATTGCGTGTAGCCTCTATTCCAAACATTAGTATAAATAGTCCGTGCGCACGTGGAGAGATCAGGTGTGGTAGGGTTTACATTCACTTCGGTGAGTGTACCCTAACCCTAACCTGGAAGTTGCTCTAATCAGTTCAAAACTTCCTCAGGCCTTGTATTGCACCTCTTGGAGTTTTTGTAACGTATTTTCTTCACAGAGACAAGGCCAAAACTTGCAAAAAAGTACGTCCTGCCTACCTGCTATGGCTGCCGATACTTGAACGGTTCACAAGTTGAACCAGATTGTGTTCTCGCCAGATCTCGTCTCTAAGCGCATTGGGTAGCTTCAATAGTGAGTTCTGCTCACAAGGTTGATGCGAAGGGGTTAGTCCCCACCTCCCATGAGCATTGACGAGGTTGATCGTACGCCATTAGCGGAGAGAAATCGCGAGGTAGCTCCTTTTTCGGGTGATGTCAATTACCATCATTCGAGAAGGCTTTTGCCACATTTTGTTTCTCCAAATTGCTTGTTATGTCCAAAATTTTACTGCACAATGTGACCCTCTTTACCTCTTTAGAATTGCTTGCAATTATTAAATTATAACCACGTTGTTAACATGTGCTGTTAAACATTTTCGGAAGTTTTTTAGGTGACATGGGTTAGTCATTTCAGTTTTTATAGCCAACATTTCCCCCTTACTTGTGAATTTCGGTTAACTGTAATTTTTTGTAGTCTACAGGTCTATGTATGTGAAAATTTAGACTAATTTAAACCATAAATTTTGTGAACATTTAAAGTTGTTACATGAGCCCTATTGGTACTTATACTTTTATCTGATTGAGATTGGCTAGAATGAACTGAAAATAAAGAATTTCGACCATAGAATATGCATTGTATAGCACCTGCCAGAAAACGAATAGCTGGGATCTAGAAGCCAAAAAGCTTTGTATGGATAATACAAAACACTTTATGTTATCCAGACTGTAATACATGTAATTTTTGCAGAGACATCTTTGGAATGGGCCACTTGCTGAGCCTGATTTTAGGTATATGAATGTACCTAAGCTTATCTAAGTCAGACCTATGATGGCTTTTTTGTCGATTATGGTAAATGAAGTTTGCAAAATTGCCACAAGAATGTGCTAGGATGTGAATGTCATCCATTTTGAATTTGATCAGGATCACAAGTGTATTTGGGTGAATTTTTCAAAAATTCATCCAAATATTTTGAAAAAATTCAAATATAACTGCTCACCATCCATCCACATCCTCTGCCTGGTTGTTCTTTTTTTATTTTGGAAAATTGCACTGCACCTTGATATGTCCTTTGCATGCTACAGCTGTTTGGCACCCTGATTTGAATCATAAAAACCAGCTGATAAAGAAGTTGGTTGAGCTTACATCATATAAATCAAACTGTTTTTGCTGACTTTCTGGAAATAGTTTTAGCAATCATAATCTCAGCAGTGTCTTGCATCACAACATTTTTCTGACTCAGTGAACTAAATTCCAGAAGAACAAGGTTTTACAAATTATTTTGACTATGTTCAAAAGTATCTATGCCGCTGAATAAAGAGCACTCTTTCCTTACCCTCTGCTACCCATGAATAAGCTGCAGAAAAATGCTTTATAAGATAAAAATGACTTGGTTAAGACAGCTGGTTCACAACAGATAAGTAGATCAGTCCAAGTTTCTCTTGAAGAGAGCTGAAGTTAAAATCAAATTCATACAAATTTGAAATGTTATCAGAAAATCTTTGCTATGAATCTTTAGCATATCAATAAAAGTGTTGAATATAGATTAATGCAGCTTGATTTCCAGGAAAAACACATAATCACAGTTAATTAATTTGTTTGTTTGTAAATTTTTTTGGAGAAATACTACAAAGTACAGAAAGAAACAAAATTAGAAGTCAGAATATCATCTGGCAACAAGGAGACCAAAAGCTAAAATTTGTACCAATATTTACTAAATTCCAGCAAGGAATGGATAGTAACCTGCTTGTTTTATAATTTTTATGGGAATTTCAAAATCTACCACTTCAGTTATTGCTTTCAAACCACAGCTTCAGGCTGTAGGTTGGGTTAGTTGGGTAGTTGCTGTAGTGGAGCAAAGGCCTTAACAGCAAGAGGAGCCTATGTGCAGTAAGAAGTGAAAAAGAAATCTATGAAAGAATCATTGACTATTTTCACAGTAAATTTAGCAGTAGCTCACTTTTTATTGCTTGCATATTCAAGTTTTTGGTAGATTTTGGGCCTGGATATATCAAAATGTATTAGGTTATATGTTTTGCTTAGTTTGATGTGAATTTTTGTTCAGATTTTTGAAAAAGCAAATTAAAATGAAAGACAATGACTTTTCTTTCTTCACTGTCAAAGTATGTATGACCCAGCTAAAACCCGATTTCACAAACTACATGATCAACCTTAACAGCGATCAGCTGGGGAACTGGGGCCCCCAATAATTGTCAAGCTATACTATATTTCCTTTATAACAGTGTAGTTTAGAGGTGCGTTGCTAGGGGGCTGAGCATTGGCCGTGCAAAGGGGGGTATGGGGGATAATCCCCCCACTTTTTCAAAACATGGTCTACATATTTTTTCTAAGAAAGGATACAAAAAGCGCCAAGTAGGGGTATATCCTATTTCCTAAGGAAAATTAGCCTGGTACAAAGCACTGAAACGAGGCAAACTAGGCGTGTTTTCTCTGGCCACGCCCATTACCCTCCCACTCTGTAGTAGACGGCGCCGCCACTGGGGCTGAGCCCCCCCCCTGTTGATGCCAAAATTTGGCAATTTTCTGCCTTTAATATTGTTTTTCGCAACATTTTGTGCAAGATAAGACAACAATAAGATGAACCAAAACGTTTCCAATCAAGACGAACTGCTACTACTTAGGATCCATTTAAGAAAACTCCCCAAAGTTGTGTTAGAGTAGACTTTCTCAAAATGTTCTAAACTATTTTTGCAAAGAAGTGGGGGGCTATAGCCCTTGCTAGCCCAATGGCTCCGCGGTGCCTGGAAATTTTTATTTCCCAAAGCAAGTTTTCATGAATGATACCCACAAAGCAGCTGTTGTAAAAGACACGGAAGATTGCCGCGAAAGCAGAGATCTCGAACATCAGTGACTGGCTTAGGAAAAAGCAATTGAGCCTCTACTTTCGTAAAACTGTGCAGTGCGTGAGCACCAACGGAAGCGTAATAAATTTGAGTCCCCTTTTCTCATCTGAACTGAAAAATATTAAAAAGCATTTAGATTAAGAGAATCTATTGATATGATATAGATTGCCGTACGGTAAAACAGCTGGTGCTTCGTCAACTCTGATGATTCTAAAGTATTTCTCCAACAATCAGAGTTATGTGATTAATATCGCCTGCTCTTTAAAAGCCAAGTTGCAGAAATTTTTTAAAGGGAACCTTTGCAAAGATATCCTTCAAAGAATTCATTACAGAGCAATTTTCAGAGGAGTAAGGGCAATAACAATTATCGAAATAAAGCTTGTTCAAAATAGACAATGTCACAGGCACGGCGGAACAGGAGGGCTAGGGGGCCTCAGCCCCCCTCAACTTTTTGTAAAAAATGCCAAACCTTTAGTAATAAACTACTAGTAAAGCCTCTTTTTACATGGTTCTAGCCTCCACTATTTTCAGAGTCCCATTTTTCTCAACATTCCGCGGTGCCTGTGTCAATCGGTGATGACATTAAAAATTGTAAGCACAGTTCAGAAAGCCTATAAGATGTGTATGAAAAAGCCCCCAATTAAAGAATGACATGTGAAAATTAATTAAGACATCCATATCACAAAAGTAAAAAAACGAAATGTTGTAGACTTTTGCTTTCGCAAAACGCCTGGCTCATTTCTGTCAATTACTTCATACTTTTATTTCTAAGAAGCAATTCTCGATGCATCTTACTAGCTTTCTGTATCATTTTTAATAAAAGCTGTGTCGATGACACGAGATTTTTAATATTTCACAGGTCTTAGGTCTTAGTAGATGACATGAGAAAGTTGTTCTCTAGATTATGGCATCGTCAGACCCTTGCAACAATAGTTTATTGATTTTCTGAAAAAACTGAACATTTACTTTTAAAGCAGTTTCTAATGAACAATTTTTCAGCTCGTCTTAAATGCAAGTTCCAGGAAATTAAATTTTCCGCTGTTCATTCGGCTGTTATTATTTTGGGCCTCTTTATGATAAAAACATCCCACCTTCCAGTCTGTGGGCTGAGAGGTGAGATCCCACACTTTTATAGAATCCTTTGCATTTATAGGGAAAACAAGCTGGCCCGTTAAGTGAGATTCCACTGCATGAGAGGTAGGATCTCACTGAGATAGAATAAATTTTTCCCATATGAACGCTGCAACGTGGGATGAAGATAAAAGATGGGATGAAATGTTAATATAAATGTGATCAAATTCCGTCCCGTTGGTCAGCACACGGGCTGGAAGGTGGGACGATTTTCTTCATATAAAGCTGGAACGTGGGATAAAATCTGCCTGTAAACATTTGAAGATTTCATTCCGCCGGCCAGTTTATAGGCTGAGAGGTGGAATAAATTTTGTCATAAAAACAGACCCTTCGTTGCCCGGAAAGATTAACAAAAGTAACAGAAGCGCCACTCTAGTAGAAGAGACCTTTAATAATCTTTTTCTGGACAGTCTTTCGCAAACAGAGCTATTTACTACAGCTCAAATCTGCCTCTTCCTTGGTGTCTTGAATTCTGACAATAAGACCATGCTTCATGCTCTCATCATCTACCAAAAGCACTGGAAAATTTGAGTTGTAAAGCCGGAGGGGGCTCAAGGAGACTTTCAACAGAGCCGCTTAGTGGTTTCGGAGGCTCTGGGGGAAAACCACAAAAAGGAGGCCTTTATGTGGTCCCCTAGACCTCGAGGCCTTGGGGCAATTTGCCCTCTTGCCTCCTTCTCGGTGGTCCTGCCTGTTAATACAAATTGGGGGCACATTTCTTTTTAAAAGTGTCATTTACTAATTTTCTAGCCCCAGCTCCTACAACTTTGCGTTGGAAAGTATGGGCGGCAGGCAGCGAGCAGCCATTGGGCTAACAGTGACTATAGCACTCCCCATTTTTTGGAATCATGTGTTAGGACATTTTAGAAAGTTAACTCTAACGGATCCTAAGTAGTTTATAAGTCATAAGTGGAAAAAAGCAAGTAAAAGCAAGTAGGGACCTAAAAAATGTTGGCAATGCCCTTTTCAGCCCACCTACTCTTAGAATGGTGTGTGGTGCCTGGGGAGGGGGCAAGGGAAAACTTAACACCCATATCAAAGTATTTTGTGAAAAGCTCTATTGTTTTGGAAAAAGGGAGCATGACGCCTGTGTCATTACAGGTATACTAACTGCTCATATTTTTGGTGTACCTAAACAAATGCCCCAATGGACCTTGGGCGTACATGAAATGCACCCTGGCATCTCTTCTGTTGAACGTGAACCTGAATAAAGTTTCCTTAGTGCCCTTTTATGTCTTGGACCCCTGCCCTCTGAAATTCCTGGTTGCGCGCCTGAGTTCCTTGTTAGTAGAAACTGACACGGAAAAATGGAAATCAAGGAAAATTGCCTCAATAAAGAAAGGGGACAGCCCCTCTCCTTCACGGCGTCAGTGTATTCCTTCACAGTGTTCGCTGGTAGTAGGCCTCATCGAATAGCGTTCTTTAGCTGTGTGGAGCATTTCGAAAGCTGCAGGGTTTGTTTTTAAAGGCAATACACGCAACATTTTGTACAGAATCTAATATAGTACATAGAACAGAGTGTATTGTATCTCATTTTATTTGCGGAGCAAAATATGCATATCTTGGAAGTTGTTCATGGCTAGGCCGCTGCCAGATCCCTTTCGCACAAGGAAGGAAATGACATGTCTTGAGTAAACTAAGAAATAGAGTAAACGATTCATTTGCAGTGGAATATTTTTGAATGCAGATCGTAGATTGGTTAAATCTTGCACAAGAAAGTGGTTCTGAGTGATTTACCAACGTTTTAGTTTTGGTCATGTATTTCAGTCCAAGTAATCAACAAACCCTGAAACAAGGCGTGCTTACTAAAAGATCTCAAGGCAAAAGCAAAATTCTTACAACTTGTAACTACAAATCTAGACTGTTCGTTTTGACTCCAGAAGAGCTATCATATTATGATGGCACAGAGGAGGTAATACAGTGTTTTTGTGGTATTAAATGTATCAGCATTTGTATTTAGGTATCAGCCAGTATGGATTCCATGGCAGCTTCACTCCCGAGATATTTTTGTATAATAATGGGTGCACTTTTGCACACCCGAAAAATGGGCGTGGTTTGGGGTTTTTTTGGAAGTTGACTCAAATTAAAACGTTTTTTTCAAATATGGTAAAATGACTTTTTAAATTTGTCCACAACTGAGATTGGAAAAGAATGTGTCATTCCAAATTGAGTGATCCACTTTAGATTAGGACCGGCAAACAATTTTCAGTGGGGCTGAGGAAAAACTGAAAAAGAAAGGCACCCTTGCGAGTGTAGGGAGCAGGAAATTTTTGTGACCCCTTTCTTTAGATTGGCTGCAGAATACCCTGCAGAATATTGTTTGCCGTCATTTTCTTGCAATTGTTTCAATATTACTTTGTTTCATTGTCACATTTTACTATTATTTCCGGTTACGGATTACTATCATTCAACTATAAACAAATAAATTCCATTCTTAAAATGGAATTCCTTTTTTTGAGGTCCCTCCCTCTCCATGGCCCTGCTTGTGAGATCATTGGCCTTTTTAAATATCTTTTTTTTTAAATTATCTTTTTACTTGCCAAATCTTTAGGAATTTAAATAACACACACTGATGGTAGCGATAGGTAAGTATAGTTCAACTTTGAATCATGAATTTCCCAGAGATGTAAAATTGGTGTTAACAGGAAAAGTGCTGGACAAAATATGCACACACACTTTAGAATCACTGAGAAATTTGATGCACACTTATCACAAATGCACTCTTGCACTCCCGGGTAATATCTTGTGCACTCTCAAGATCTCATTAAAACTGCCATGAAATCCAGACCAGGGTATCAGGCTTATTTGGAAAGAAATGGAGTGTGGCATTTCACACCCCTAGAGTGTGATGATGCTTATCTGTTGATGTCTGATGTTTATTTTGTCCATGAGATTTTTCCATTGTTTTGAATTCAGCCAATGTAAACTGGTAAATCAAGTGGGGCTGTGCCTTCTCAATGAAGTAAAAATTTAGGAAATGAAAATTTTTGGTGAAAACTATGAATTTTATAAGCAAAGTCAAAATAAGATTAGGAGAGCTGGAATAACTGTAGCTAGACTAGTTTTTTGTTCGTCTTCTGGAAAATCTAATTTATTGGAATATTGGAATCTTTAATCAATTTACCACATTATTATCTTGTAATAAGGTAGCTTTTGTACTTTGTATTTAAATTTATAATACTGTCCCATAAAATTTTTTAGCAGTGTATACTGTTAACATCACAATCTCTTCTTCACAGAAAAAAGGCAAACAAAAAGGAACCATTGCATTATCAAAGATTAAAGTTGTAGAGAGTGTGGATGATGATGCCTTGGATCGAAAATTCTGTTTTCAGGTCTATCTCTTTTATTTTTCCGAACTGTCTAAAAATGGCTCAGAAGCAGTGGCATGAGATAAAAAAGCCAAACAATGATTATCAAAAATGTTATATAAATATAATTGAAACCTAGAATAGAAGTAAAAGATTGCTTTTCTCTCAGCACCACATATGATGATTATGCCTTTGATGGATAAAGATATTTGTTGATTTTGTTGCTACCTAACTTCCAAAGGTAGTTTCAGGCAACTGTGAAATCATGCTTATTTAGCAGTGTCTTGTTTCTTCGTGGTGAAGTGACTGCACCTCATGAACCTGGATGCCTTGAACTTCAGTTTTTATGATGGTTCAATAGATGCAGCATGCATGTATATTGAAATTAGGAATTGACATTTTATGGTATTTTCAATAAGCCACACATTTCTTTGCAATTTTACAACCAGAACAACAAGAACAGAAAAACCATAATCTTAAAGTGGGAGGATTAGTTGGTTTGACAAGATATAAAAAGATGTGTCATGCAAAAAGCTGAAAAAACTTAGATTTGAACTATTATTAGCACTGCAAGGTTCTGTTGTTATCATCCAGAGTTACCTCTTTTTGTGATGTTTATGTTTTTTTATTAAACAGGTCTTTATTATCTTTCTTGTGAAAAGCCTTTCCCAAACTGTTTAGCAAACAAAATTTTAACTTTTAGTGAACATATTGATGAACTGAATTATTGTTACATTATACCCTGATGGCTCCAGCTTTTTTTGTCTATTTAGGTCCAGCATGACAATTTAATACTTTACATCATTGCAAATAGTGAAGAAGAAAGAAATGAATGGGTCACTTCACTGCGATATGGTAACCAAGCAAACTTTTTTCTTACACCTGATATTAAGCAAAAGGAGTTCATTTTATGATAACTTGAGCACATGAGCTTTTTTGTCATCAGGCAAAAGATATTGGACCAATTAGCATTTTCCTGTGAAATTTGATTGAATGAATCTTTAAACAGTGCACTTCTGTGATACTGCAATCCTGATCAAGATTCTGACTATTTTACTCACCTCAAATAAATGGGTTTGTCATAAATAAGGCATAATTTTTAGTTTTATTTGGTTTAATGTAACAGTCTTGACAGACTGCATAGTAGTTTTTTGCTATCTTTATAGATTTAAATGACCAGCCCCTGACAATTAGATAATTATCTAAGTTGTTCGATTGAAATGCCATAAGACCAGAAAACAATACAATGTCTCTTTTTACAGAAATTTCCCAGCAGAATCGTCTTCTTCTGGAGAACTTTCATTCTGGACTCTATATTAATGGTAGCTGGTCCTGCTGCAAATGCGGCAAAAATTCCCAAGGCTGCAAGAAGACCCATTTTGCAACAAATGTATTTGATCCTAGCCAAGGTTAGCATGGCTTCCAAATTTTCTTTCAATTATTTATGGGTTTGTAAGGCTATGCATGAATAGTCAAAGTATTTTCTGGTGTTGAGTTAGATAGACTAAGGCATTAGTTTGAGAAGGCAGAAAGACCGCAAAACAAATGGGAGGGATCCAATGAAAGTGAAAGATATTTTTTTGAAAGTAATGTAACAATAAAACAAAGCATGTTGAGTATCTTTGTCTCAAAGACTGTTAGTAATTTCTTTTTATATTTTTTTCTCTCATTATCGATGGAAGATTGCATCCTTTCTCTCATTATTGTTGCAAGATTTAGACTCAAGAAGACAGCCTATTAGTGTCTTTTTGTCTCTATTTACTTTTGAGTTCTGTAGGCTAGTTAATGGTACCCTGAAAATGAAAAATGATTGACAATACCATGATATTGCTGTGTATCTAGTATTGCAAGTATTCTGAAAGGGTACTTTTTGTTCCTATCATAGAAAATAGAATAGAGAAAAGGAAGACAATTTTTATCTTCTGCCAGCTAGGCCTATTCTTAACATTTATCCAAAGCTGCTTTCATATAAAATTTGGTTTGAAGTAGTAAAATATATGTAAAAAATAAATATGAAACATCCAAATAGAAAGAAAGTCAAAAAGGGCCAAAATGGGTTGAAAAGGTCCTTGTCTAAAGTGTTTGTTTTCACTCTTGGCCTCCAGTGGTAAATAGGTAACAGAACTGATTTCATAACTTTAGTGTTCACAGGTTTGGTTTTTTTTTCTGATAGTCCTATTTCCATCCACAGCAGGGTATATATTTTCGACCCTGATTCCGACATTTTACACTCTGAGGAATGTCAGACGACAAGCTGTAGAATGTTGTAAAATGTTTGCTTTTTCCATTCTGTACCACTAGCCATTTTCAAATTCTGTACCACTAGAAAATTATTCAAAAAATATTTGAAAAATTAATTGGAATCTATATTTCTATCTTCTTTCAACATTGTTATTGCTTTTGGTTTTTGTTATTTGGGATATTTTATTTCTTATCATTTCATTCTAGGTGCTGACATACCAAAGCCACCAAGCATGCCTTTACCACCTGTACCGGTAAGATTTTCTCTCTTGGCATTTTCTAAAACAATCAAGGTTTTAATTCATTTTTCTCTATAGAAATTCCATATTTTGTGAGCATTTAACCAAAAGTGTTAGGTGGAAACTGTCTTAATCTTCACATTGTATTAAGACTTTTGAAGAAAATGGTCCATTCAAGTCCATTTTTTAGCCATGAATCATCAATATCAAAAGAAAACAAGGAACAACACAATCTGCTGAGATTTAACAGAAAAAGGCAATTAATGAGCTATTTCATGTTCTGATATTTTGCTCCAGCATCCAGAGCTTTGGAAGAGCTGCTAAATACAAAAGCATGTGTGTAAAAAAATTTATAATTTCTTTTGATTCAGCAAAGGCTTGAAGTTATTTAATAAGATAATTCATCTTTGATATAGCATACGGTAAATCCTCAATTTTATCCCCTTGATATAGGCCCACACATCATCTCCTAAATCTAAAAACTTATAAGCCTCCAGGGTGTCTAATTCAAGGATTTGCGGTTTGTTATTGCAGCTCCTTCTTTGGGGAACCATGGTCCTTGCCTACACGCATACTGTTTCCATGCGAAGTTATGCAGGTTTTGTTCGACATATTATTCATTTTTCACCAGTTTCAATAAATGAAATATTTTGAACGCAGGATGAAAAGAAAAATGGCGACGCTGTAGATGAATCGAAATTTATGAAAGTTATGGCTGTTTTTGACTTCAAAGCGTTGCAGCCAGGGGATTTATCACTTACCAAGGTAATTTTTATTAGTTTTACAGTTTTTACTTTTCCAAACAAATAAAAGCTGGACACACATAAGAGAAACAAGTGGGATGTTAACGAGCCTGAATAAGCTACGTAGAATAGTTCGTATGTAAGACAGAAGAAGCGCAGGTTAGGCTGCTACCGGATTCTGTGAATTTGGCAATGAGTAATAATATAGTACAAGGTAATAGTCAAGAACAATTCAAAACGACAACGAATATCCAATGTTGTATAATAGAATTCCAAAATAAATTTAATATTACTAGTATTTCGCCCCAACACACAGGGCTGCATCAGTTTGGATGTGAATCGTTCTAGAGACATCTTTGCTTTCCTGTCACCATTTGGACTGTGTTCCTGCCTGCTTGCACGATTACAAGTTCAGCTGGTTTTTGCCAATAGTTAATGCCTCTAGATTTCTAAATCTACATTTAGGTAGATTTGAGCACTTAATGACCTTAGATAAAGCTCTCTAGTACTGTCATCTTCATTTGCTAAGATAGACCATCTTCTGATTGCTGATCGAAAAACCGAAAAAGTAGTGCTATCATCTGCTTTTTTTCACGAACTCACTATTTATTTCTTTCAGAGCTGATAACCTTGTCTGTTTAACAACGATACTTAATGAGTGATAAGGAAATAGCGACTGTAGGCTATTTTTAAAAATTTCAGGACCAGGAGTACACAATCTTGGATAAAGCACAGCCACATTGGTGGATGGCAAGAGATTCTATGGGGTTGGTTGAAACTTTTCTGACCGATGCAAACTACTATATTTTTCTAACTAAAGTTTCGCCTACGTGTTTGCCTTTTTTGTGGGAGAATGAGGGTGTAGTATTCACTGCCGAGGTGACAATTTTCAAAGGTTTTAGTATAAACTTATGCTAAAAAAGTTTAGGTATACCGAAATTAAATCTCATTTCTATTAAGCGTGAGATTTTTTATTGTCTTTTTATAAAAATTCATTTTATTTATACGATTGAAATCAAATCATGTTGAGTTGCATTCGAGTATATGTAATTCAATTTATTTATGTGAATACGGAATTAACTCTTTTACAGGAATGAAGGATTCATACCAAGTAACTATGTGCGCATGGAAATTGGCCTTGAAGGTCAAAGGTAGTGTTGCTTTGTATCACATGTGTTACACAACATTTAATTCCGTCATCCAGGACCAACTACATACATTTGATCCAAGTATATGCATGTATTTTAAAAAATTCTTCGTCTGCGCTATCTAGCTTGAAGTGTTGGTTCAGACTCTTTATTTTGTAGCTTAATTATGTCCTCTTTTCATTATTGTTGTTTGAGATATGTGAATAGATATGCACCTATCCTGCGATCTTTCTTTTTAAGCCACCTATTATTTATGACACATATGCCGCCATAGAAACTTTAGTTTGGGCACCAGGACTTTTTCACAGTGACCAACAGACCGTTCAACTGCACCACTGTGTAAAATTTATCTCTTTCTTTTTCATATCTAACGCTTTATTTATACGAACAAATATTAAAAAAGTCAATTTATTTCATTAGGTGGTTTCACGGCGATCTCTCCAGGCAAGAAACTGAAGACTTGCTGAAGCTTGAGGTATGTCTAAGGCGTTAAGACGAGCTAAACATGGGTTTCTTTGTTTATTAGCCTTAAATTCCTTGCTGTTATTTTAATCCAACCATATGCTCGTTTATTTAGTGAATGTTTTGCCTAGAAGCCAATAAAATCTTGCCATTCTTTCAACTCGAGTGAGCAGATTAATAATACCTAGCTCATTGAACCTGACTCTGTGTCTATGACATATTGTTATAATTTTGTTATTTACAGATCATGGCATTTCTTTCCATATCTTGATCAAAACCTTTTGTTCAAAAATGCATTCAGTATTCAAGCTTTAAAATGGTCTGCCACAGAAAAATGAGCTGATATGCTCATGTTTATATATTAAGCAATATAACCCCGGTTCCATATTTGCTACTTTACTGAAATATTGTTTATTTCTTATATGCAGGGAAAAGACGGTGTATTTCTCGTTAAAAATTCCAGCCGTCCTGGCATGTACACACTTTCACTTAGGTATGACTTACGATATCGTACAGTAGTAAACTTTGCGATTTGTTAGATACAATCCATGTAATTTTTAATAGTTCCCAGCTTCCATTAGTACGAGGAATGGTGTATCAAAAACAACGTTGGTTGTTAGAACGGAGGGGACAGGCAAGGCACTTTCAGGCTAACCTGGAGACCTTTAGACGACAGTATGACTATTTTCAGAATATGAACCTGTGGAAGGTAAACTAAACCCTAGGCTTAGTTAATCGAGTTAGACAAATTTAACCATCCACATATTTGATCATTATATAAGTTTTTAAATCTTTCATGTCCGTGTACGTTTTTCCGCATTGTTTGTTGTTGTTGTTTATTTCGCATTTCTTTTCACCCATGTCTAATTGAAGCTTTCAAATCTGTTTGGGGTCAATATTTTGCACGAAAATATCGCACGAAAATATTTTGGCCTGGCTCAATTTTTTTGTATTTCTCTTACCTTTTCCGGTTTTCCAGAATAATTTTCTACTTCTCCCTTTCCTAGACTTCTCCAATCCTAATTCAATTTTCAATACCCATGATTAAGTTAAAGTATCCTGCTATTAATTTTATGCAGGCAAAATATGATGCAATGGCGTTCCTTTGTTATAGTTTCATAGTGTAGCAAAGAACCAAGTTGAAGACATTACGTTTTGTATTAAACAAGTTATTAATTATAACATCCCAAATTGTATATTAATATTGTGTAATTAGTTTCCAGGGTGACGTAAAACATTACCATATCAAGCTAACCGATGAGGGTAAATACTTCGTGTCTCCAAGACATGCATTTGAGAATATAATCAAACTTGTGGAGTACCACAAACTCAACTGTGCTGGTGAGTTTTATTCACCCACTTGATCTGGTATTGTTTATTACCCACGTCTGTTAAGCGATCTTCTTATAGTATCCATTATGGGTTTCTACGAGCGAAAGTGTTTTGTGAAGATGATGCAAAATGATTTCTCCCATTTTAATTTATCAACGACCAACCAAATATAACAATATAACAATAAAATTTTTACTTTTTTCTCTATTGCTTGTTAAATTATCCTATCCTACTATTTACACCCGTTATTAGGTCAGATGGTTTTGTCAATATTAATAATTTGCGTGGTAAAAGATAAAGGAATATGAAAAAACATTTAATATTCTCAAAATGGTTATTATTTCCATCACTTACTTGTTTATTTTTGTTAGACGTTTTACCTACAATTTTTTACAATTTTCGAATACATTTTTGTTCGATAAAGCCAGAGCCTGCCGCCTATACCTCTATTCCTATTTATTTGCCTTGAGTTGTTTTTTTAAATTTGTTTGGAGAAAATTCCTTTTGGTGCTCTTTATGTAATTTCTTGAAATCATTTTGCTGTAGCAATTTTCATTTGTTCCAAAGCTTCAGCATTTTTGTTGAGGAAGAGTTTTTTCGTTAAAGAATTTCGATAAATTTCCCTTACATTTAGGTCTTGTAACAAGACTCCGGTTTCCTTATACAAACCAGGGTGGTGGACCACCAACACCAGTTCTTGGTCATGGTAAGTCAGTTTGCAAAGCCATATGCTGTGTTATTAGATTTACCGAACAGAATTTTTTCCTTCCCTTTTGCTTTTTATCTCTGTTGTACTTTTCCTATATATACATCTTTTCTTTAAAGATGAATAGCTGTAAATTCGGGTCTTTTTGATAATCAAGGAAAATTTTCATAATCATGCTAGATAACCTCCTTTCAGGTCATTCATTGTTTGCGCGATGCCAAGGAGAGCTAATTTACACTGGTTTTTTAGCTGCTTTTATTAACATTTGATTTTCTCGCTTTTTGCTTCATTTGCAATCATAGCTTCGCTAATTGCAGTTATTGCTGTTGAAATAGCCCTTGCTAGGATGTTTATATTAATATATTTTCCTCTTATAACAGATATTTTTGAGATTGCTCGAGAAGAGATAAGTTTTGGTAGACAACTTGGCGCCGGACAGTTTGGGGTAGGCGTTCAAAGCTCGTTTTCGACTTACTTTAGTGTTGATATGCTTTGAAGTTGTCGTTTACAGAATCTTAAATTGAACATCAAAGTGCAGTCTACATTCTAGCCCTATCATTGTTTGATTAACCTTTGTTCGTCCTTAACTTAGGCCCCTGCGGCGTAAATCGTTCGTTGTAGTTATAATGACGTAATCGTTTGGTAACCTCACTGTGGTATCCTCGTTTTGATATCCTTTGTTACCATCCTTTGTTGCGAGTTATCCGCACAAACAACTGCCTGATACCTAGCTACATCTAGTATTAACATTAATATGCTTTTTTCGTTTGTTTTATTTGGCAGACTGTCTATGAAGGTGTCTGGAAAGGCAACCACCGAATCGCCATTAAGATGATGAAAGAAGGCACTATGTCTGAGGATGATTTTATTGAAGAAGCCAAAGTGATGTCGTAAGTCTTCATCAAAACAGCTCCAGCATTTGTTCCTAAGATTATTGTCAAACGTATTTTCTGCAGATTAGATTAAAATTATTTTTCGCATTCATAAATTTAAGTTTCTTTTTCAAAAATTTCGCTTTCCTTGAATCATTTTCATTTGCTGGTGACAAAAAAGGCTCAAAAAGAAGGGGTCAAATAATGGGGAGGGTGCTGGGCATCCCAATTTAATGTTCAATTGGTGGGTGTTTAAGTAATGGCCAAGAGAGATGCAAATTCAATTAGGCAAAGAGTTCACTGATGTCTGACTTTGTGTATTGGAAAACAAAATGGAAGTCGATACCTGTTTGGATCAAATATAATTTCAAATTTTATTTTCTACACAAATCTGAGATAGTAGCTTGTTAAAAGATCAGTAAAAAGTACAATATTAAAGGCAGGAGTTTATGATATTTTCGTTTAGAGTCAATTGTATTTTGGTCTAGTGCTATTTGTATTGGCATGAATCTACTGTCTGTTGTTTAGAACAATGGTAAGGCATCAATATTTTTATTTCCAGGAAATTTTATCATAAAAACCTAGTGAAACTATTTGGTGTCTGCAGCAAAGCGAGGCCGATATGCATTGTTACAGAGTTGATGACGAATGGTGAGTATTTTCACATCATGATGGTCTAGAGATAGACTTTTTTAATGGCATTTTCAATTATTTGAGAGCCAATCTGTAAAAAAAGCTTGCCTGGTGTAAAATGAAATTTGCTAATAAACTATGTAACCAATATTGACACTTGGATCCCAGTGTATTATTAGGCCCTTAGAATGTGAGTAATAAAAGTTTATGATTAAGAATGGTTCATTTTTAGGATCGCTGTTGGAATATTTGCGAAATAATCGAATGCTGCTAGATCAATTGAATACGATATTGAACATCATTTTTCAAGTTGTTTGTGCTATGGAATATTTGGAGGAGCAGCAATTCATCCATAGAGATCTGGTATGGCTACAGACAGAATGTTGCATTTAAGTCTGCTTAGCATTCTTTTGAAAGACACCATAAAATAGGGCAGATATGACGTATCATGAGAAAAATTATAGCTGCAGTATCAGATATGAAATGTCATGACAAAAGTAAATATGAGATTTTTAAAAATAGGTTGATGAAAGTTGGAGCATACGGGCTTGAGACCTGTAATCTCAAGAAATATATGTTGCATGAAATATTTTTTGCGAATCAACTTCTGCTGAGAAAATTTTATCGAGAAAACTAGAAATGCCATTCGTCTAATATTGCATACTCAACTAAAAGTCGTATACAGATTTGAATTTTTTGCCAAAATGTTAATAATGTTTTGTAAATGGTTATCTCTCATTTTGTCTTCATGTTGCCATTTAATTTACATTGTGATAATGATATCTAGTAAATTCCAAGCATTTTTCTGTATAAAAACCTTTGTATCTTGTATATATCCTGACGATTCAATTTTTATTCTAAATAAGGCTGCAAGAAATTGTTTGGTTGGAGAGAGAAATATTGTAAAGGTTGCCGATTTTGGGTTAGCGAGGTAGGCAATAAATTTATTGCAAATTTATTTGAATTGCAAAAGAGTTTAGCTAAACTTTTGAGGAAAGCTCATGGTTTTAGCTTACGATTCTTTGTTATTCTATTTATCCAAAGATGCGCTTTTGACTCAGCCTTTCAGTGAGATTCTCTCGACTAAATCTATTGTAAATTCTGAATATTCAAAATGGCAGGCTTATATTTGCAAAACAAAGCAAAGATAGAGAGAATTATTAAAGTAGAGGCCTCTTTATCTTTGATCTAACTGGCTATCTAACTGATCTAACGATAAACCTTAACAGGATTTTGGTATAGCTTTTGGTTATACTGTATTATTTTGGTCAATGGGTAACCATGCCTATGATGCTCCCATTGGCATTGTCTTTGTAATTTCGTTCTTGTAAGATATGCATTTTTTAGACTGAGTATGAAAAAGAAAGATAGAGATGCAAAGAACAGGAATATTTAGAGAGTAAGACTCTGTCTTGCAATGGCCTGTGTGTAAAATCATCCTTTTTCTCATTCAGGCATGTCACTGATGACGAATATACTGCTTCAGAAGGAACGAAATTTCCTATCAAATGGGCAGCACCTGAGGTTATTCACTATACACGATTTAGCAGCAAATCAGATGTATGGGCCTATGGTATGTTTTGATGCTTTTCACATTGGACGTTCGAGTAAGATAATAAGCAAGACCTTCTAGAACGTCGACCTTAGGATAATGTTACTCTGTTATGGATACGTGAAATGGCATCATTAATGCTTTTGCCTTGATTTTTTTAGAATCAGGGTTGAATCAGTTTTTAGAAGCATCGCACGCTTAAGGTGTTGATTTTGCATGAGGGCCTATACATTAAACAACACATACTTGCATTTCACTGTTTCCACGTTGTGTTTCTGTGGTCGCAAAAAAGAGATTATTTAATTTTTCAAAAACACCATTTGTAAAGAGTTTAAAGACCGGATTAAAATGTTTTCTTTTTTCATAGCTATTTTTAAATTCTGTACCACGCAAAAATTTTTGCAATTTGAGAATTTTCCATTGTTTTCCAGCATCAAACAATGATTTTTCTCTTTCATATATTTGGTATAATGCTAAAATGCTAAAGGCAGCAATTATGTTCGATATTGTTAAATGCTTTCATTTGGACCCTAAACAATTCGAAAAGAGTGAAGGTTGCTTTATTTTTGTCAAAACTCTTTACATTTTACGGCTTTCACAAGTATTTGCTGGGATTTCTGTCATTTCCCAGAAAAGAATCATTGTTTGCCCTAAATCTATGTTTTTTCAAACTCTCCTAGGAATACTGTGCTGGGAAGTGTTTTCAGGCGGAAAAACTCCATACCCTGGTAGACAAAACATTCAAGTCGCTGAAGATGTGAGTTTCTGATTGTTTGAAGTAAAGCTCTGCTTATTCAATTATATTGCTCGTTTGCCTCCCGTTCCCTTTGGCGTTTTGTGCCCTCTACATGAAACTGTACCTCCGAATCTTTTAAAATCATCTTAAATTAGCCATGAGATTATATTCGTACGATTCCAGTCGCTTGTTGTTTTTCTTAGATCATGACGGGGTACAGAATGGAAATACCTGCAAAATGCCCGCGATATGTCTATGATATTGTCACACGATGCTGGGAAGCTGTAAGTCGTTATACTATTACTTTTATTTGCCAATATTTGGACCGTCCAGTATTCGGATGCATTTGTATGCAACTGTGGTTTTGCTGTATTTAAATTGAAAGGCTCGCCTATTGGCTACTTGATTGACGGCAAGTATACATTTGGGCTGATTTTTGCCCGAAAATCCGCAAAGCATGTAATGTTTTTCTAAAGTTTGGTATAGAAAATTGATTCCTTTTTTAAAAGAAAGCCCTATGGTCCTAACTCTTTGGCTCTTTACACTTGCAAAATGTTTCATCATTTTCTTGGCATGTAAGCTGCATGCCTATAGTTCATATCGACAGGCCGTTAACCGTAAAACATGCCGTGTTTCTTGCAAGAAGTAGCCGCTTATTTAAATTAGAAAACACCATCTTAAGCACATGCCCTCCTCTTTCTGGCCATCGTATTCAAAATATATTTCAGTTTCTTGTTGTAATAAACAGTGCAGTAATAGAACCTGTTTTCGTACTTATAGGAACCAGACCAACGACCATCTTTTAGCCAGCTGTTTTCTGAACTCCAGGTGCTAATTGAAGACTACACAGAAACCTGATAAGTGCTCATTAGACCTTTTGGTCGTTAATAGTGGAATTTTTTAACCAATTTAATGCAATAAGAATTATCTAAAATTTATGTAAATAAACGAAATCACATAATCCAAGTTAACCATTTACGGAAATTAAAATGTTAGACTGTAGTCTTTCTTTCTACGTTGGGTTTATGAGAAATCCATCACTTTCGACAAAAGTCACATTTCATCAAATGATGCATCGAACGAACGGATGAAGTGCCTCTAATTTTTTTGCAACCCTTCAGCCGTAGATATGTGCCTTGAATACTCTGAAATCTTGTGATCAAATTTCACAAAAGCAATGCAATTGAACGATAAACAAACGATTTTGAACTGCCTTCGTGATATAAAACCGAAATGGACATGCATCAACCCTCGATGTCCAGTGCTTACCCAGAATAGATCAAAGGTTTTACCTAACCGTGCAATAGTCCTCCGCCCTCACTTCCTCCTATACCATTTTTTCTATCTCACCTTCTCTACCATAACTGTCACCTCCTCCAACGGTATCGCACCCTTTCCTTTTATCCCTCTCTTTTCTCTGTCTCACCTCCCATGGAAATTTTAACGCTAAATAGAGAGCTTCAAATCAAATAAAAATTTTAGTTTTACAGTCCAGATTTAGGCCTTATCCTCCCTTTTGCGGATATTTTTGAATCCCAAATCATCTCTATGCGGATACAAAAAAGGTCGCGTCCACACGTAGCATATTTAAATAGAATCCAGCTATCCACACGATTTCAGCTTCAATGTTGTTTTCGCAGCTCCTTTTTGAATATTTCTGTCAGGGCATGTGCCATGACACAGTTGAGGCAGTGTTACATCATTGGATTAGAATATATCCGGATTCGAGCGTCCACACGTAATGGGATTCGTAGCTTTTATACAGATTTCCACTATGGAGACCGAACTCGAAAAGTTGCGGATACGATAGCGTATTCGTCGATTGCGTGTAGACGTGAGCCCTATCCGCAATGAAAAGTTTGCGGATTCAAAAATGCCCGTATACGCGTGGATATGGCCTTAGACACACGGGGACCTCTGTAATATACTTCAGTCTTTGAAAATTGCTCATTTAAAAAGCCTGAAGACTAGGTAATCAGTGAATTTTGATAACTCGTTTAAGTTGTTTTGATGAAAATTTTTAGTAGTCGACTTATATACTTGATTGGACCAAGAGTTTAGGATAAATGTTAAAAACTTTTGATTGCACCTTAGGTAGTTTCCGTCTCTGAATTTTTAACGTCGCAATTTTTTATTAGAAGTAGATTAAGCAGTTTTCATACCAATGAAAGAATCTGAATTACTTTAAGTGTCTATTACATTTAAATGGCTGCCGTTGGTTCTATCTGCCGCTATTCATTTCAAAACTATGCCCTGAAGGGAGAAGAGAGGAAGGCACCCTGCACTTTGAGTCTGTTAGGAAGAACTATTGTAGCGGTATAAGTCAGTTCACTGGTCCCGAATCAAATCCGTTTCTTTTTGACTTAATGAAAAAAATTAATGATAAGAATTGATTATGAATGATTATGAATTTATTATTGAAAATTAGTAATAAAAAATCTGTTAATTATTTTGAATTTGTTATATTAATGACATAAAATGTTTGCCTAAGTTATAAAGCCTTTTGGTATACACTTCTTTAGCATTTTGTGACCACGACTTTTTTCTGTACAATATACTTAGTTTTAGGTGGCACTTGTCTTATAAAAGTACCTTTCTTCATCCATCTCTTCTAATGCTACCCGTGCCATATCTGTAGGTATTTACCCTTCTTGCCAGTCACAAAATATGTGCTCGGTCGGGTATGATGTAAAAACAGTAGGCATTCTAGTATTTTGGCATAATTATCAGCAAATTTTTAGTTTTATCATTCAGATACAGGCGTATTTTTGAATTTAGTATTTTGAACTTGGTGTGTAGTTATCTATAAGCCAATTTGCCATTCAATAAAATTGTACCATTGAATATATTTTGCTTTATGATATATTAACTGGTTTTGTAGATGCCTTTTCAAGGTATATATCTATTCATAAATGGATTTTATGTTCTTTTAGCAACGAGAATGGTTACTGTAACCTTTTTTAGATTCATAGTTTTCAAAGCTTTATTCATATGAGTGTAAATTCCAATGGCAGAGTACCCGATACTACCTCATTACACGAAATTACGGGTGCGACCAAAGTAAGGAATTGGAAATTAGGGAATATTTATTTAAGGAATTTGTTCAAAGAAATTGAGTTTCAGTAACATCAATTAAGGAAATCTTTCCTCTCAATGCATTTTCAGTTACGTTGATTGAAGAACTTTTTTTGCTAAATTTTTGTTTTGAGGATTGATCATACAGAGGCTTTCTTAAGGAAATATCACATTTTTAATGACATTTTGAACGGGATGGTGCTAAAAGCTATCAATTTGAAAAAAGAAGGTCGAAAGTATAGACTTTACTGCGTTCGTCGATGAAAGCCAGGACATTTTAAATTGCCTTTGTTTGGAAGAAGAAGAAGAGGAAGAAACGGAAAAAGATGATGAATGTGAAGAATGTTAGACTTATGAAAAATTTTAAAGCTAAAAGTGAAAATGAGTTTACTTTACATAAAATATACTGTTTTTGTCTGAATTCTTTTTCAAAAATTATTAATGATAATAATTATTATTATTACTATATCCGCTGTATAAATATAAAAATTAAGAAATCGTAAATTTGGGGTTACCAAAAAATAAGGCATGGGAAATGAAGGATATCCAAAGTTTGGTTCTTTTAAGGAATGTTTATAGAAGCATTCCTTAATAAAGTCGCACCCGTAATTTCGTCTTATAAGGTAACCTTAAGATGACTAGGTAGAATCAAGATGAAATATTTTGTCTTGGTAAGATTAAGCCTAATTGTAAAGTGGTTAAGGGGCATAATAGTATTTATATTTGAATATGTATCTTTAGAATTTTTCTACTGAAACACTACTTGCAAAATCTTTTTCATCTGTTTCAAAATTATTGAAATTTAGCGAGTTAGCTTACCTTTGTTAATGGATTACTGTTGTTTTGGCCTGGTTCATAAATTTTAAAAGCAATATAAAATTACGCTCATTTGATGCGATAGGGATTGAGCATGTGTTTCTGTGATTTTATCTCGGCCAATTCTAATAAATTTGAATGGCATTTTTAGAGGTATATTATATGCTATATCTAGTTATGTTATCAGAGGTAAATATTCTATGGGTATAACCGATTTTTGTGACGTCATCACTTTAGAACTCTTTTACAACCTCTTACATCAAGAGGCCCAAAGGTATTTTTCATTTTTCGTTTTGATGATCTTGTGTTTTTTAATTAATTTTGAAACCCAATGTTTAACAAATTGCAATGTTAAATTCTGTATATTTGTTCTCAACGCTCGAAACGATTCTTTTTTCAAAAATTTACAATTTATATTTATATTTGCGATATAAGATTTTCTATAGAAATAAAATGTTCAGCAATATTAAATTTTTTAGTTTTAGCATTTGATACATTGCAGTGGCGTAGATTAGGGGGGTTGGGGTTGGTGGAGGATGACTGCCCCTTAGATTCATGAAGAGCCGACATAGCATTTGTCGAATTGTTTGTATAAACATAGAGCATCGGGGCATGATCAGTTGCGTAGCATTTTAATCTTTCTTTCCATAATAATAATTGTTCTATCCACCTATGATAGCAGAAGCAAATGAATGCAAAAATTTGAAGTCACACTATGATTATGATTGAAATTGTAACAGTCAATATCTCACTGTAGATAATGAATATCGTAGAACATCGCAGATAAATTTTGGACCTCGTCTGGCAATTTGATCAATGCTGCTGATCTTTGCAGTAAGAAATCAAAGGATAGGTACAATCTTCACCCTTGAACCTCTAAACAATTAACGCAGATTTGCATGGTTCTGTGGTTACATGCCACAAAAACTTCAGTTAGGCAATTTTTGCATGCAAAGCCATCACGAATAGGAAAATACGCGAAGTTGTTTTGCGAGACAGAAAGCCTTGCCGATAGCTATTTGTTTAACGCAGATTTGCATGATTCTGTGGTTATCCGTCACAAAAACTTCAGTTAGGCAATGTTTGCATGCAGAGCCATCACGAATAGGAAAATACGTGATCTTATTTTGGGAGACAAAAAGACTTGCCGATATGTATGATTAAATTTTAATTTGATTTATAGAAATGAAACATTGACGGAAGATATTTGATATTGGAAAGAATTTTTTAATTTGGTTTTTTGAAGGACTAAGCATAATGTAATGCCTCCAATTTTGCAAAATCAGTTCAAGGTAATACAAATGGGTTAAGATATGGCTTCCCATCAGCCCTCTGTAATTTGGCCTCTGTTCATGACTTTTAGAACAGAACGAAAATGATAGTAATCTGTTGGCAAACTTAAAATCTCTGACTGGCATTATCTTATTCGATTTTTGACATATTTAACGGACTTTGCATATTAAAAAGAATTTTACAATGTGTTTTTAGGCTATGTAGCCAAAATTGAAAAGTTCTAAAAATACATATTTTATGATTTCAAACTTATAAGCTCTACTTGAAGAATGAAATGTAAGACACATGGTGCTTCCAGTTTATAAAGAAAGCTGAAGCAGATGTCATAATCAAAGAGCGAATTGTGCAATCCAAACTCTTAGCCTAGTTGCTATTTTCAAAGATGAGAATACTTGATGACAGAAATCAACCTTAAAAAGATACGCTGTTCAAAAAGCTACCCGAACCTTTCTTGATTGCCGAACCATGGCAATACTCTCACGAATATAAAAGTTTTAACGTTTTACTTGCATTTTCATGATGCGGTTAATCAAATTGGTTAGTTATGTTCTTTATATTGAGTATGTCAGATAATGCTTCTCGATAGGGTTTTTAATCAGGCGCTGCGAGCAAGGGGAATCGGGGGAAGGACGCATTGACCCACTTGAACTACCAGAAAAGCCTGTTTTTATTTGGTTTCAGCCTCCCTCACATTTTTAGACTCCCTACTTTTTAACACGCTATGGTGGCTTTTGATAGATGATTGTAACGTTTCAATGTTAGCGCATACACTTATGGAAGTTGCTGCGAAGGAGCACACCTGGCTACTCTTGAATGCTTACTGAGTTGGTATGCTAACCAGTTGATCTTATGAACAGGTACCGACGTCTGTGTAAAACGTGATATGAAACTTCGATGCATGCATGCACGTTAAAATCAAAACGTTATACACTTAATCGATGTCCTTGGCAGTTGTCGGAGAGTTCGCAATGATACAGGCAGCTTTTAAAGCAAGTGGTATGTCGTAATGTAATCATCTTTGTAATTCAAAATTTAGTGAGCGATTTTAAATTCATCGCGCAAAATCGTCGTTGCTGAATCAAATGCTTCATTTGTAAAGTTTTTAGAGCTACACTTGTAAAACAATTTACCCCGTACTTGTATGCTGGGAAAGTAACCGTCTTGCAATCGGCAATTCAGTGTTTGAAGTGTTTCGATTGGCTAAACACAAAAGCGAGAGTTTCAATCTTAACCGTTACAAAAACGTTGACAAAAGCGTGATTCTGGCTTGCAACCACAACCTTTTGGGAAAATCTTTAAAACATTTCGCACAAAAGCATGAATTAAGATTTGGAAGGCCCTTCACTTACCTCTCAGCATCCACTTAATCTTTTAGTGCGTGAATTTTTACTACATACAGTTTATTTCCAATTTTCATCAATAGAAGGTTAATTCGTTTTACGATGAGAACTTAAAAAACATCATTGTTAGAAGAGAAGCATATACCAAAAAAAGAAGAAAACATCCTGTAAGCTTATTTATCTTCTGGAAGTTCAGAAGAATACTGCTGTTTCAAGTCTCCATATTTAGCGTTATTACGCGTTTTTCTTTTCTCTAAGCGTTTGCATTTGCAGCCAGCTTCATATGCAAAGGCTCCTTTCTCCAAAAATAAACCTCACCCTCCACTCCCTAAGTTCTTGCTCCCCTCCCTTAGCTCTTGCAGTAAAAGGTGCTAAAGAAGGTGCTAATGTTCCGTCGCAAATGTTCCGTAGCTCACAAAACCCTCCTGCCATAACCTGCACTTTGAGGTTAACGCAAGAAAAACAACTACAATTTCTCAAACAAAACATAATATAAGCAGCGTAAGAACGATACAGCCAACAGCATTCTCGTTACAATAAGCTTTCTAACTATCGTCTTTGCTCGAATAGATCTTACAAGTCTGGAAACATTTATTGACAGATCGCTGGTTTGCTAGTTTTCAGAATCCCTCTTTTCTTTGTTGTGAGTTGAATTTTGTTGTGAGAAGACATGCCAAAATTAAAACGTTTGTGGACAAACTTTATACAAATTTACTTTTTACCGTACCTCAGCACGTTCATTCCCTTTGACCAATTTTGAACATTGTGTTCTTATGAAAAGGAGTGTACAACAATATCTTTTTACCATGTAACCAAAGTTGAGAAACTGTCTATCTTTCTCAGAAAAGCAATAAAAAGGATGAGTTTGGGTGTGGCACAAGTTTATTCTATTGGCTCGTTAGCCTTCCTCGCGTGTTTGGCCACCATTGTTTCTGGACTTTGGATACAACACAAACATATTACCATTGTTCGCTTTTCCAACGCTTTTCCAGTGTCAAATATTTTTGCACCACCTTCATCTACCTTGGTTACGACAAAGTAAAACCCGTAGACCAAACACCAGATGTACGTATATTGAATTATTATGAACAAGGCCGTGTTCGAAGGTACGGGGACGTGATCATGTTTGTGGAATTATGGGTCACATTTTTTCAGACATTTGCGGGATTATGGGTCCAAATGTTTTTACCAAAATGGCACGTCCCCGTCAAAAATTAGGCTTAGTTTACCCCCCCCCCCCCGAGGTCTTGAGTGAGAAATACCATGTTGTCGGGTACTTCTAAATCTAGGTAACAATCAGCATTGGTTGTCAATTTAGATCCCTCTTTCCATCTTAGCATGCCTTTTAAATGTGACCCATATTTAACTAACAGAACAACTACCTTTGCTTGATCTTTTATTGGTTTTATGACAGGAAGGTCTCTGATATACCTACAACATTTCTTCCACCGAGCGGATTCTACCTCAAAATTTCCTATGGAGATACTATTGGGGGGTGTGACACCCCCACACAACCCTGGTCGCGACGCCCCTGATTAAGAACCATGTTACATACTACCGCAATTCTCGAGGATATTTGAATTGTTGCGCAGTCTGACCATCAGATAAAAAACAGTTGAGACAGACAAACGAAGAAACGTTTTTATGGCTAACTTTTATGAGAATTCCAAAACATCTAACAATTAAAACGAGATGTTTTTAATTTTTAAAATTCCACTGCTTTTAAGATGAAGTGGAAAGTCTAGCAAATAAGATGTCCTTCAGTAACAATGTCATGCTATGTCTGTTGATTTTTGTAAACAATTACAAAGTTGCAGGTTGATTGCTTTTTATATTATCTGAAATTCTCTATCATTATGTCAAATTTCAACAATGTTTTAAAAACAATTTTTCTAATATGGTTATTACAAAGATAAAAAGGCAGTCACCAAAAGCACTTCAATATTAAAAGCATCTTTTCTTTTGTTTCCAGAATTAAACACATTCTGATTTCAAATAACTACAGTTCAAACTTGTCACCCTACTTGTTTAATAATATTCTATCAATTATGCAACATCCAAGTGTCAAATTGCTCAAAATTTCCATCATTCGAACAGAAACTTGATGTTGACAGTAATTGTGTAGAAAGCACAACGTAAAGAACACAGGAAGAAAGGGCACTGAGAGTAACATTGCTTTCAGGTAAAATTTCAAAGACTTTCCTTTCGATTGTTTACCATTAAGACAGTAAAATTTTCGAGAAATAGTCTTGACAATGTTTTGTGCTGAAGGGTGTATGCTAATTGTAGTCTAGCTAGCATTGAATCTACTATACACAGTTTATAATCACCAGACACTCCAGCAAACAATTTCTATGATAGCTTGTTGCACATATCTTCATAGTCAAAAAAAATAATTCTTTCAGTTTATTTGAAAAATATAGCTTAAGACAACACTATTTCTTAGCTAAGATAAAACAATACTGCATCTCTTGTTTCTAAGGGCTTTGGCACCCAGGGTACCTCTTTACTTGTTTTGGCACCAAATTAACGCCCTGTGGCTAAATAAACTTTAATTGGAAAGTAACCTACTGAATGAATGGCTGAAAACAAATTCAAAGAATCAGATATTTCCAAGAAAGAACCTTAATTGCAAAATGAATGATTAAAGCATCACTAGCCAGGAAAGTATTTTTAATTGCTTTCCTTACGTTAATTAAATATCGATATATAACTAAAATCTTTTAAAATGTGCATGCTCAAAACTTTTAATATATTAGATATTGATTTTATCAGTGGAGAATACTAGTATGTTTGAAACTTAACGAAAGTGAGTAGGCAGAATCCTTGCAGAGTGTACATATATTTGTTGTTGTAATCTATCAGGCTGTTGTTATGGTGGGGAGCTTGAGGGGTGTGGCACCCACTTGAAGGGTGTCAAACCCTTTGTTTTGCATTTGTGTCGAAAGTTTTCTGTTGTGCATATGAAATCATCCACACTGTTCACCGACTCTAAAAGGCTTGCAGAAATTGATCATTCATGAAAAAAACAACTGCATAATTTAGGTTTAATTTGGATTGCTAAGTAAGGAATTTGCTCAACGGAACATGCACTGGCTTGCTAAAGGGGGCTGAGCCTTCCCAAAGTCTTTCTTAATCAAAACAAATGGGGCTTTGCACCGAAGCCCCCCCTACGTCGGGGGCGCTTGCCCGAGCAGAGGGGGCAAGAAGGCCCTGAAATGTAAGAATCTTATATAATCTTATCGACGAGGCTCTTGGACTAACACTGGATTACTGTGCTGGTATTATCCTATTATAGAATCTTATCGATAATTGATGACCACGTTGACCACATTATGTTAATTTCTTTAGAAATATTAAAAAGATGATAATACCAGCACAGCAATGCAAAGGTTGAAGAGTTTGGCCTAAGTTAAACGTCGCTCTTTTCATGCGCCGAACCGAATACAATTCGATGCGACTGGAGCGCGACTGTGGAGGACACGGACTTAGACGCCGCTCTTTACATATCGTATCTTGGTAATTGTCAATTCAAAAATCACCCCTGCTCATGCCTGCCCCGTTTAAGCCAAAATAAATTACCAACCTTTTAGTAATTTATGCATTGAGTTTGGCGCATCAAAAGCAACGTTTAATTTGAGGCCGTTCCAGGGCCGCATAATGCGACAGGGTCAGTCGCTCCAACTACTTTCTGCTGCAATGAATCAAATCAGTCGATTTCAATCAAGTTTAACGTCGCTCTTTTCATGCGCCTAATTTTAATAGGTTCAGCACATGAGTAGTTCGACGTTCAACCTAAGCCTTTGCCTGTGATAAGGTGCGCCACAAGAGGGAGAGCGGCAAGGATAATAAATAGTAAATAAGCAAATAACTTGTTCCCTCAGAAGTACTCAACGAACCTAAGGAGGATGAATCGGTATTAAAACTTAGCGGGCAATCAACATTTTACAATTAGCCTATTTATAACAGCCATGATTTTTATAAATCCAAATACTTTATAAATCCAAATACAAGGCCATTTAATACCCATTTTTATGATGTTTGGATAATTTCGTCAACATTTTCTCTATGTTTAGAATCATTGATGGTAAAAAAACCCAGCTGTATGGGTGGCACATATTCATGTTAATATGTTATTATGTGACCCCACTCTCGCCCCCCAACCCAACCAGGAATACTCGATCATATTAGTACAAAAGTTTTACGATTTGCCCTCAGCAGCAACACTGCCCCTCCTGCCCTAATTTTGCGCAGGCGTCCCTGTACACGGCACCACTAGTTATCTGAAGCTGCTCTGTGAACTTTAGGGCATCAAGTTGTTTAATCTGTGATTTCGGCACATGACCATTGAAGAAAGACCTATCCTGCCTGATAAGAAGCTGCTGCATACCAGATAAATCAAATGAAAAAGTAAAAGTTGACTTTCAGGTTTCTGAAAATACTAAGAAAATATTTATAAAGATAGAAATATGAAGACTGAGGTTTGAGAATTACAGACTACTTATACATCTGGCTCTAAAATTTACTCATGGTCCAGTACCCATGTCAGTTCAACAGTTTGTCATTGGCACAAGTGAATTCTCTGGCCACTTTCCGAAGAAAGAAATTTCGGCAAAGCTGCCTGCTTCATTGTCCGAAGCATCTGGTTGTTGACACACGGACAAACGGAACCTAATTCTCCTCATATTACTTAAACTTCTGTTAAAGGTAATGTGTCCATATAAAAGGACTGCGTATACCCAACTTGTCAAGCCACCCATCAAAATAACGGTTTGCGATTGGTTAGTATTCTTGCGATGCAAAACTGCTCACATGAAAAGCTAACCTCGCAGCAGTATAGATAAACAAAACGACCGTAATGGCTGGGGCGATGACATGAAAAATTACATGATTCTAAAAACGCCGCAGAGTCGCTTGCTTTAGTTGGACACATTACCTTTAACTGTTATTACTGTAGCAAGATATGCATGCATTTTAATTAAAATATTTCCTCTCAGGATACCCTGGATGGGCTTATTAAGGACTGAAAACTGGACTAGAATATGATAAAAATATTGCTACCAGTTTTCATTTATTTGCCTAAAGCTTTTGAGAGTCTCCCGAAATTTTCCTTATGACAAGACTTCATGCATATTGTATACAGAAAAACTACTCTTCTATAATGAAGATCATGTTACTATCAGGATACAAAATTAAAAGTTAAAGTGAAATAAAGCTCTTAGGAAACCCTAGACAATGCGTACCGTAGGGATCACTACTTGGTCTCCTTCTGTTCAATATATTCGTAAAAGATCGACAAAATATATGTCGGTACAGAATTTAAAAATTGCCTTGAAAAATATTTAAGCTTTTACCAGACAAATTTTGAGAGTATAAAGGTAAGAATTTTGATTTTAAGTTCTAGTCTTAGTAGTTAGGAATCATGCAAGTTAGAACACGTCATACATTGAATAGCAACGTGTTTATCGGCAACAAGCATATGCACACGTCTATAGGTCACGTGGGCTATGCAAATGAGGGAGCAGGTTCACAGGGAAGCATACACAAGGTGGCTTGTCAATATGGCGGCTAGAAGCGACGAAATAGGTGAGTCAATTGCTCATGAAAATAGCTCATTTTACGTCGTTAATGGGGAAGAAAAACAACTAAGTAATAATTCTCAAGGTGACGGTGGTCATCTTCCAACTTTGGAGAGCATGCTAGAAGCTGCGACTGATCTTCAAAGCGACCATATCGATCAACCAACTAGCAAAATTTCTGGGCGTCTTGAGATGAGGCATGATATTGTTGAAAACCACCCAGCAGTACCAAATGCAGGTAGGGTAAATTCCGCAAAATATTTCTGGACAATTTTTTACAAATTTTACCGGATTGTAGGTCTCTATTAAAGTCGAATTCGTCAATCGAGGCACGTTTGCGGCATCAACTGCATCAGAAAAGGAACTTAGAATGATAGGATCTTCGATTTGGGACAACAAAGCTGCATTCTTGGTTTCCTAATATCTCTGGTAATTGTCAATTTCCTATTTAGTTTGCGTTAAGCCATCAGTCGTGTTATTTAGGGACGTCTTTTAGAAGTACTTACACCTAAAAGGTTCTAGTACTGTGCAGAGCGACTGAGACCGCGAAACAACAACGGTTACAACATTGAGCAATTCAGTAATGGTTATGACACCGCACTGGCCATCATCCCATCAACTTTAGATAGTAAGCGGAAAGACTTTACCATGCGAACGGGCCTGTCGCTCCGCAGGACCTTAGTTTCTTATAAAAAATAATTGTGGAAGCCCAATCAAAAGTCAGTTGATAAAAGCAGGCCATTGACACCTTCACCTCCACATATCAAGGAAGAACCACTATACTTAGAAACTGCTTTGCATACCTTAATTTTAATCAACAGACATTTCCTTGTGGAGTCTTCAGAGAGAAGATTTCTGCAACACGCCAGCAATACTTTAGTGCTAAACATAAAATCCGTATTTAATGCAAAATAGGTATGATAAGTCTATGGTTTTGATTAGTTTACAAGGTATTCAGTGCAAAAAATTAGCATTCTCACTGCTGCATCGTTTGTGCTAGGGACAGGGACAGTAATACAAACATGGGGAGAAACACCAGACACACCTGTCCAACTTGAATACCCCTTGTCCATCTTTGAAGTAAAAATCAAAGCAATATTGTCTGCTTCAGATTTTATATTGTATCATTTCCAAAGTGAAGTTCACTCTTGTATTTTTAAAGTCAAAATGATTTGTATAAACAGGCTGGATCTTCTTTTTCATAAAACTAAACAAGTAATCCTTGAGAAACTTTCTCAGTTATACCTGTCAAATTTTGTTTCAACATCTTCAATTCACCTAGGTTGATTTGTCTTTATTTCTGTTTGCTTTATGCTTCCAAGAGCATCAAGCTATTCCTAAGCTTAAGCTCTTTTGAGGTAAACCCTACTAGCAGCTATCATATCAGCTAGAACTGTTTCACAGTCCTGGTAATATTTGGCATGCACACGCCTCCACACACGCCTAAGACTCCTGAGGTGTGCTTTCTTTCCCAGGCACAGTTCCACGTTTTTAATTACTATTCTTTTTTGTTTTTGTTAATTTCTTGCTTTATTTTTTTAAAGTAATTTCCAATTTATTTTGTGTGCATTATCTTGATGGCATTTGCGTTAGGGGGGGCATTGTAACTTTTAAGGCAAAGGTGGAAAAAGTATTGGAACCTGGGAACTTTTGTGCAATTATTTACACTCATCATCTCACAGAAATCTCAACCAATCACCAAAGTTTTTTTGGTAGCCGAGCTTTTGAGACAAACCATGGTTCAGACTGAGATTATTATAGGGACTGGCATCTACTTTCATGGAAAATATTTATTGCACTATGGCGTGAGCAGCATTGATCATAAATTGATATTATATGCTTGGTTCAATTAATTTGTTGCATGTTAGGACTCCATTAAAATGCACCATACAATTCAAATGATTTTGCCCCTGACTCTTCTGAAACTATGTTTGGAGATTATTGCATGGATTTTCCTTTTGATTTTGGGTTTTCCATCATGATGATTGACTAAATGAACCAATTTCTGGTTACAGTTGATTTCCCTTTTCTGTACATTTATGCATTAAGTAAAGTCATATCTAATATGTTGAGTAAGGCCTACTCAGAGTTAGTTTCATATAAACATGCCTTGAATTTCTTCAGCTAAATACAGTATTGTAGTTACAAACAGAAATTTTTTTGTCTACCCCTTAAAATCTTGCAGAAAGTTTTGAGCTAGATACTAAGCTTCCCAGAAAGAAAAAAGAGTTTTCAACCTCTGTTTTAAGGCCCAGTTTCCATTACTCTGTTTTCATATGTCTCCCTTTTATCATAAAATTTTCATATTTTCTTGAACACATTACTCAGGGTCACCCTGTTTTGGTCAAAACAATAAAATGGGGATTTCCATTACTATACTTTTATCCCTTCTCATTTCCTGTTTGAGCTCTTTGTGTAACTTAGATTGAATGACTTCATTTTCAGATGCCTCTGGCTTTCCTGTTCCCTATAAAACAAAGTGTATTAAAATGATGCGGTTCAAAATGACTCCACTTTGAACATCATTTTTGAATGGCTTCGGTTTGGTATCAAATGACTCTGTTTTTGTGCGTATCAGTGGAACTTAAAATCTAAACAGATTAATGGCAACAGTACCTAAAATGAAAACCTTATACGCTTGTTCAAACAATGTTACACACCTTCTAATACATATATGACAATTGAAAGGCTATTAAGTCTTCATAAAAATCGTAAGATCCCCATTTTATGGATCGCATGCCATTGCCCGTCTAAGCTTTTTTAAGGTGTGCCATTACCAGCATTCCAACAAATTTCATATTACCAGGACTGGTTTCTTATGATGTTTTCTTTATTGTTTCAGTGACTTCCACAAGTCAATCAGTTATCAATTTTTGTCCCCTGTCAATAAAACAGAAATAATTCTCAAACAATTTTTGGTGATACAAGTTGAATGTTCCAACATTTTGTACTCTAAAGGATGTCAGAAAAAAGCTTTAGTATTTTTAAAAATTCCCTTATTTCATTATACTGAATTGAAAGAAAGAAGTTCACAAGAAGTTAATGATTTGGGAAGAAGCTTACATCATAGGAGCTCTTTAGATTTGTTGTTGCTCTGTCTCTTGTGGATCTTTAAAGGGGAACTGAAGTGAAAAATGAAAATCAATTATTTAGTAGTTTTCATCGTGCTGATTTCGAATATCGACACGAAATTAATGTTTTTCTTTTCGTTTTCCTGCATTCACCACGCGAAGTGTGAAATTTCTCCATTTCGGTGGCGGAGAGGTCTGGAGACAAGTTTCAGGCGCTGACGTAAAGTCGTGGACACGTGCCCCGATCGCAACGAAAACAACATTGTAGTAGGTAGTAGAGTGAATCGGAGGGAGGGAATTTGGTTAGTGGTTAGAATTTCAGTTCGCAATTTTCACGACAGCTCTTCAGGAATGACAACAGACTTAAGATCGAGCGACGATGAATTTGGAGCATGTGGTGGTGAAGTACTTGCCCTACCAAGGGCGAACGGGAACTGCGAAAGTGGCGATGAAGATTAGCCTAGGCCCGATGAGATCCCAGAGGCTGAGGATGAATTATCTCCCGCGACGTGCTCGTTTTGTCGGTAGAAATGAGGAAGTAAATCAATGGTACGTCGATCTTTGTTTCTTTTCTGACAATGAAGGCAAGAACAACTCAAACACCATTTCCTTATTTCCTTATAAAAAGTAAGATACAACTGAGAATGTAGGCTACATATTATAATCTTTCCATTTCTAAAATCTGAAATAATAAGGATTATTACATGTTACAATTTAATAAATATTTGCTTTGATATAAAACGTTTATACATAGTTTGATGTGTAGCACGGAACTGGTCGACCTAATCCACTTTGGTTTAAAAACTGGCTTGTTTTTTGTACATTGACAAGTATTATTAAATCTTACTGCAATTAAGATTTTTGGACTGATAATTCGAAAATGTCAAATATTTAATAGAATTGCATAAATATGCCTAAAATAGATTAATACCTAAAATTATATCCATTTTGCTAGGTATCTACAAACAGTGGCCGATCAATGGATGGTTTGCTGGTTTTTGGGTATTTGTGCTGGAAAAACTGGACAACTTTAAGTATGAATTTATCACAAAATGTAAAGAAAAGAACTTTAGTCAAAGAAGACAAGGGTTTCAAAATTCTGCAGAGAGACAATAAAAATGCAAAACTCAGCTACCTACTACATATACAGTGGAGTACAGGGTTATATACAGGGGTTATTCAAAGGGACCAGACTTTCAGTTCATAATAGCAAGAAGAGAAATTTAGAACCAGTGGGGTCATGTTATAAGTTAGAAATTTGTTAAAACTAGTGGAGATTGAGCAAGGCTTGATATTTTCAAGATTCCTAAGGTATATTTTTCAAGATATTTTACTCACATCAAAATGTGTAGAATAGTTTGGATTTGATAAAGTTTTTCTCTTACAATAATGGTCCTGTACCACCTGCTTGGTAACATTTTTTATACATAATCAGAAGAAAATGTTTTACCTTCACAGTACAATGTTCTTTTAATGTATTCTGTCACTGCCTGTTGTTTAGATACACTGTTTTCAAATTTTGAGAATGAAGTTTTTTGGTGCCCAATGGTTATATTTTTCTGAAATTTGCTTCAACTCAACATTTTTCATAGAACAGTTATGAGATAGAAACCCTGACATATATTTTGTTAAGATCAGGTCTTTTAATAAACTTGGAAACATATACATCATTTAATGGTTGTGCTTTAAATCCTTCTCCTTTATGTACATCCTGGTATGAATGTTTTTTGTGCCTGGAGTTATACCAGAAAATGCTTTGATATCATGTTCTATAGACAAAGCATGAGAAATCATGTTTAAAGGGGTATTTCTGAGGTTGGGGACCATTCTTATCATTTTCAGCAAGTCAAATTGTGTCGGTTTGTCAAGTTTCATGGTTGTTTAGTTAACAGAAATAGATTGACCATACTAACGTATTTTGAGTACTGGGCACAAGTACCCCAGTCTAAAAATAACACAAGGGGTATTTCTGAGGATGGGGACCATTCTTATCATTTTCAGCAAGTCAAATTGTGTCGGTTTGCCAAGTTTCATGGCTGTATAGTTAACAGAAATAGATTGACCATACTAACGTATTTTGAGTACTGGGCACAAGTACCCCAGTCTAAAAATAGCACAAGGGGTATTTCTGAGGATGGGGACCATTCTTATCATTTTCAGCAAGTCAAATTGTGTCGGTTTGCCAAGTTTCATGGTTGTATAGTTAACAGAAATAGATTGACCATACTAACGTATTTTGAGTACTGGGCACAAGTACCCCAGTCTAAAAATAGCACAAGGGTTTTTTTCCCAAAATGATTCTATATTCTATTTTGTTGCGCATACCGAATTCTATATTTTCACCAAGTTTCATGCTTTCATCACAATTTTCACGATTGTTATCTGTCATGAACCTTATCAAACTCACTACTACATTACATCAAAACATCTCTTCGTGTCCACCACTTTACGTCACAAGGTCACGTGACACAGTGGTCCGACCGCGTTCTCGCTCCGCCATCGATGAGGGCAAATTTCGACTTTAAAAACTTAATAACTTAAAAACTACATAACGTATTAAAAAAATTCAAACGGTTTTGGAATCAGCACGGGAACCTTTATCAGTGGTAAAAAAATCGTTTTTCACTTCAGTTCCCCTTTAAAAGAGTAATGTCCTTAAAAATTTAATGCTTTCCAATTTTCCATTAGATATTTACAGGTTCATAAAATGTCTGCTTAGTCTTTAGTTTCAGTTGAAGCTTGCCTAGGTTCTGTAGTTGTGTCTTAGGCATGCAATTAATGGTAATCTTAAAGAGGGGGTATCAAATGCTGGCAACAATTGTGTACTAAATCTCAGATGTGGCTGAGGCTTTTAGAAGTATAACTTATTGTGTCATCCCATCGCCATTTCTTCTCAATTGTGGATGGCGTTTTGTGATTCTTGTACTGTTCATTTCAAGAGAAGAACTGTGACTGACAGAGTTTCACTTTAAGCCAAATGCTTGTTAAAAGCCACACTTTTATAAGTTTAAGCTTAGTCTTGTTATTAGACTCTTGATCTATTGCAAGAAACAAACACAATGCAACATAAATCAATGAGGCACCCAGGAAAGAGAAAAGGGTGTACCATCATTGGAACATATGCAATTACATACCTTTTCCACAAAGATTTGCATAGAAAAACAACAATTTTTCTTAGTTGCAATTCCCCTTGTTATTTGGTAGATGCCTTTTTGCATGAGAAAGCAAATGTATATTGTTTTGAATATTTATATTACGTGATTCTTTTTTATTCAAAGGTGCAACATCCCTTGCTCCTCAACCATCAGTTGGTCAGTACATACAGACCTCGTCAGGTGGTTATGGATATTCTAAGCCAGTAACAGAACAAGGTGCTGGGCCAGTTCTTGTCAGGGCTGACACATCTGCCAAGGTAGAGGCTCTGAAGAAATGGACAATATCAGCATACAAATGTACAAAACAGCTTGTATCAGAGAAGCTAGGAAGGAGAGCAAAAACTGTAGATGAAGAGCTAGAGAAGCGAATTGAAAGCCTCAGAGAAACACAAAGAAAGTATGCTAATGTGCTAAAGCTGGCCAGACAATTAACTCAGAATTTCCATGCTATCATCCAAACACAAAAGTTGATGGCTGAAGATTTCATGGACTTGAGTATGAAAGCTCCTGAACTTCAAGATGAATTTACACAAAATGGTGACCTTCAGAAAGTCCTTGTAAAGAATGGTGAAACCCTACTGAATGCACTTGGATTTTTTACAACAAATCTCGCGACCCTTTGTAACAAGACAATAGAAGACACAATTCAAACTGTGAAAGCTTATGAATCATGTAGAATCGAATATGATGCCTATCGGTCAGACATGGAGATATCTGAAACCAGTGGGGTTTCACAGAGGGTAGAAGAGGCCAGAAAAGAATTTTCTTCCCAGAGGGAGAAATATGAAAAAGTTCGCCAGGATTTACAGATCAAAATGAAATTCCTTGAAGAAAATAAGGTAGATCTAAATTTCTAAACATGTTCACCTGCTATCTCTTTTCCACTGTTCAACTTAAGCATTATCTCTGTCCAGTTTCATTAAGATAATGTTAAGTTGACAAAATAACACATTGTATAAATGATAAGGTTTTTAAGTCATATTCAGAATTTTATCTTACATCAGCTAACTTTTGCTAAGTCCTTTCATCTTCATTATTAGAAGAACCATTCATTTAATTTCATACTTAGTTCCTGTGATGTGACTACTTGACCTAATTTTTTGGCTTAACAGTACATATTTCCAATGCCACTCTACACAGTGCTTTTTTACAATAGTCCAGAGTCCAGATCGATAATTTATATCATTTTGTAGTCTCAAGCATTTTTCATGGAAGCCTTTTGCAATATTTATCCATATTTTAGCTCCATGCTAGGGCAGGCCTCTCAGTTTGAGGCAGCGTTTGTGTGACTACACTTCGCACATGCCTAGGCGAGACAAGGTGTGCATTTTGTCACACACCTGCTTCACAAAAAGTAGCGATATTGCGCACCCCTTCCCATTTGCATTTAAAATTACTTTTTATCATAAAAATTGCCTAGTTGCTCCTGAAATCTGTTTTAAAGTACAGCATTCATCATTTAGAGAATTGCATGACACGATATAAACCGTGCCATTTAAACCAGAAGTTATATATAAATCACACTCCTCGATTAAAGTTGTTGCTTAGAGGCACGTCATAAGCCAAGCACCTGCTAAAATCTTTATGGAGAGGCCGGCTAGGGTACACCAATGACCCAAGGTGTTTGAGTAAGGTGCCAGTTTAAAGCAACCCATTTTTTAGTTTTTAGTTCAAAATTTCACTTTTTTCAAGCACTACCCTGAACTAATTCATTACTCAAACAAAATGTTGGCACTTTTTGTATGAGATATCTTTATTTTGTATGAGATAAGTTTATTAATATTCTAATTTGTATAATGCTAGAAATTTGAGTCTGTTGTTGGTTCATCAAGTAAAGAGTAAAATAATGACATTGAAAGTTATTAATATCTTTCAGTAGCTTGTTTTTAAGTTTTTTGGAAATGCTGTAAAAATCATATTCTTCCCATATGGTTATTACCTTGTTATTAATTTACTATTAAATATGTTCATTTTTTTATTGTTATCACTAAAAACTGATGTTTTGAAAGAATCAGTGTCATTTTGGTAGTTGAATTGTTTTTAAGGAGGTGATCTAAAGAAAAGAATGCTCCTAAAAGCCCAGAAATGATGCTAAAAAGTTCCTGAAACTTTTTAACAAAACAGCATGTACTTTAAAAAAGACTTTAGCTCTCGTAAGAGAATAATTGACATTTGTTCTAATTTTCTCTTGTTTCTTTCTTTAAGGTCAAGGTAATGAGAAAGCAGCTTCTGCTGTTCCATAATGCAGTGGCTGCCTACTTCGCAGGAAACAAAAAAGAGCTTGAGAATACAATGAAAGAGTTTCACATCAGAGTGCAAAATAAAGGGGAAGGCTCTTCATTTTTAGAGCAACACTAAGCAGAACTACAGTATTCTTTGTCTAGTGGATGTTTAGATGTTTGAAAGTAAAGTACAGTTCTTTGTTTGTTTTCACAATTCAATTTTCCCATTTGCCAAAGAATCATCTTACAGATATATTTTGATAAGAGCAGTAATCTCCTCCCTATCATATTGATTATATGTTCATTTTGACATTATATAAATTGCATTCAAGACAAAACATTATTTATCATTCCTGGAGTATCTATGGAATAAGAATATATTTTCTTTATCAGTTGTTATTTCTACCTAGTTTGAGCCTTACCTTGAGGTACCAAAAGGTAAGAAGCTAAGGTGATGCTTATAAGATATGTGTATGAATAGCTTAAGTGATGATCTATGACTTCCCTAGCGTACACAGTCTGACAAAGGTGCCAAAGTGTTCACATGGGTCCTCCAGGCATGAAAAGTCAAGATTGGGCTTTCTGTGCAAAAATTAGTAAATCTATTCTCATAACTTAAATTGCTGTTCAAGGCAATGATCAATTGATGAATCTGAATATAGGTAAATGATGTTAACTGACATATTCTATATGACTATTTTAAATTAGATCAGAGGAGAAATCAAATGACAAATAATTTTGACAGAATATGTGAATAACAATTTAATATTTTAAAACTTTGATAAAGGTGAATGAATATTGAATTAATATTGAGCAAGCCAAATCAAAGTCAGAAACTTGTTTAACCTCTTTTTGCCTCTTTTCCTTAACTTTTTAGTTGTAGACAATAGCCATGATAATAAATTTTCCAAGCCAACGTTTGAAATCTGACACCTGATCCTGGATGAAGGTTTCACGTGGCTGCAACCTTAAAGGCCCAACAAATCTTTCAAATTAGTGTTTAGAAAATTCTTGCTTTTTCTTAATGCTTTAGCTCTAAATAGTGAAAGTTTAAACCTTAGATTCAACATAGCCATCAATTGTGCCTAAGATGAAGTATGTTCATAATATGTTAAACTCCGATTCTCCATGTTATTTAAACGCCTCTAAAAAGTATAAATGTAAAGGCGTGAATGTAACTATAAATGGTTGAAATCTGGAAGACAGACTGACAATGAAATATATACCTCTTGCTTTTGAAACATTTTTGGTTGTTTTCTCACCTCTAATGAAACAATTTTTGCACAAGTAAAGAGTTATGAAATTATACAAAATATTAGTTGAGTTTGTACTTGTTGATTTGTAAGCTTATCACAAAGCATAATTGTTTTTGAACATTGACTGCAAACATATCAAGCTTTGCATTTCATACACCAGATTGAAGCTTTTGTATAAACAAAGATTTCTTCACTGTTCTATGTCACTAAAAGTCTGCTGCATTGCAAAGTTGCAAAATTGCTTGTTACAGTCTTTTTAAATTTATTACAAGTAAATATTCCATCAGATGCATTTTATCCAGTGGATATTTTAAATTCTACAATGCTCTAGATGTGTGAGACTTCATAGGATATTGGTAGGTTTTATCAAGATCGACTATCTGAAAATGGGGCATAAGTAAGTTTGGTGAATCAAATCTTGTTGACAAGAGATATCTCTTGTTTTGGCAAAGGGCACATTGGCTAGGAACAGTGAGCTAAAGCCCTAACTAGAGAGCCAAATTTGACGGAAAATTTCGGAAATATTTCCTTCTTTCCGCTTCTCCTCCACCAAAAACTCAACTCCCACTGCGTCCACTGCGCCTCTGGATCTACAAATAAAACGGGAACATCGATTTAACGAAGGAGCCCACAGTAGCCAAGAGCTCCAATACCTCACTGGCCCCAATCCTTTTGATTTGTAACCTCGTTTTCGTTTTGGCGCGAAAATTCTATTCATGTTTAGTTGAAATTTGTCTGGTGTCAAGTTGTCAGACTAACAACGAGGTAAGTTGCCATTTAGCTACTTTATTGTATCTTGCCAAATAATAACATGCTAGTTGCAAGCGTAAGAAACAGAAAAAGTCATGTCTTATTTAAGTTTGAGTATCTTGTTCACCAGCACATTTTGTATGAATGTCCATTGACCCACAAACAGTCTTTCTTTTTATCCGTGCAGCTACTGAATGATTTTGCCACAGGCTTCAAGCCTATGCAAAAATTTAGAAGTATAAGTGTTAGTATTAGTATGTAAAAATTAATATTGATGAATAATAATAAAAAAAGATTTAAAGTTTCTAAAACAGTTAAAAGCTAAATAATTTTTTATTGAATTTTTTATTCAATTAATTTGTATCAACCATTTCCTATTTAAATAGATTGCCATGGCTTTAAAAATATTGGGATTTTATCAACCAGTCAAAATTGTGCCTCTGTGAAATTTGCTCGATTCAGATTCTGAAAAAAGGCCCTATGCCTTGATCAATCTCCTCTGAAATAAACATCAAAATTGATTAGATTCAGAGTGCCAAGCATTAGATGTTCAGTTTTTTACCTTCCCCTTGCTTTCTTTTTTGATTGTTTCTTTCTATCAGAAGGGGTGAAGTTGTTTCCACATGGGATGATGACTTCATGCATGGAGCCAATGCAACAACAGTTATCTCAGATTCTCTTTTGTTTATAGAGAAATCTCACTAAAGTTTAAAAATACTAAAATACTTTTAACTCTTATCAATATTTATAATGACCCTTAGATGGTAGCAATTTACTCCAAAATGTCACACTGTGCACATAAGATGATTTTACATATATTTTCAGCCAGTTCGGAGCTTATTGACATTTTAGTGTTTGCTGAAATAGTAATAAAGCTAAGAGTAAATGAACTTTCTTCATTTACAACAAGATCATGCAGGCCGGGGGCCTATTTTGCATCCAGAATACAAGCTTTGAAGACAATAACACAGACAACAATTTTGCTGGCAACTTTTAGTCTGTTACACCACTGTAACCAAACTTTCTTAGACATTTAGCACCAAAGCTTTGGTGACTCTGTGGAAATGATTCCACTTTCCCTGACTCTCTGGATTTCAAAAATATGCAGGTCCATTTAGAGCGCTAATTTGTGTCAGCCCCTAGCTGTGTCAGCCTTTTATCTGAATACCAAATAACTGGATAGAGTTATCAAAATCAAAATTGTTGCCAGACTTGACTAAATAGCACACAATTACAAGATATAAAAAGTATGCAGCTAGTAAAATAATTATAATACTTTGGGTCTTGTTATGGTTTTAGTACACTTTGGTAGACCACTTATAATACATGGCTCTCATTTGCTTTGCTCTGTTTCATTTCAATCAATTTTCAAAATACTTGTGTTGGTAAAGCAAGTTAGAGATCTTCTTTATCAATGATATTTGATAAATCGGCTTTTAGAACTCTGCAGTTTAACACTGAAAAGTGTAATTTTCAATGGCACATCACTTGCTATAATACATCTACTTGAAATTCCCATAAAAACGTCTGCACCTAAGTAATTATGTGTTTGGAAATATTATGAAAAAAAATGAAAAATTTATCATTTTTAGTAGATACTCTGCTCTTTACCCATTTTATACCTTGCTGTATAATGGAGTAACTATTCTATTGGAAGCTTAAAGCTTCCCATTAATTATTTGCATGCCTTCTTGATTGTGGCTGAAACATTTCAATGTTATCCTGACAAGTAATTTTGCTTGTTTTGCTTCAGGATTTCTGTATGTGAACAATTGCCCTTAAGTTTTTGTAACAAGTCCTTCTTCAAGACACTGGCATATTGTCTCCTTGTTTAGAAACAAAGAATTTGTCCAGAATTTGAATTTTGTGCCGATTCTTTCATTACCCCAAAAAGTTCTGTCACATTTATGTTTATCTGAAAATCCAACCCACTTTTGAAAAGGGTAATTTGAGTTATCAAGAAACTGGTTGTTTATAATACCTGCCGATACAATTATGGAATGGGCTAACAAATTGGTTGGTAAAGTCTCATAAATTGTTATAAAGGTTGATAAGTATCAACTTCCACCAACTTCCATTGCATATTTCATTTTTCTTTCCCCTCTGACTTTCCTTAAACATACTTTCCTGAAACCCTTGCTTCCTGTCTCTACCATTTTCCTTCCTGCTGCTTAATTGCTTGGTTAACATTCTAGAATTTAGCATATTGTTTTGACGTTTTATCTAAACATTAAAGGGACTGGGGTAGAAAGTTGCCATTCTGCTTAAATACAAATTTTATTCACTTCATGCATGCAATTAAAGGATCGTTTTCCCAAAGCCCCTAAGATAAATTATTTGTCATTTGATTTCTCCTCTGATCTAATTTAAAATAGTCATATAGAATATGTCAGTTGATATCATTTACTTATATTCAGATTCATCAATTGATCATTGCCTTGAACAGCAATTTAAGTTATGAGAATAGATATAGCTGTTCTAGGGCCTCAAATATTTTTATGAAGCTGTCTTAACAATATCAATATGTTCAATTCACAAAAACAACAAACATAAGGGATATCATTTGGTCTCAATCAATCACAGGTTACCAGTATCATAAAAGTACCTACTGATTTTCCACTTTTGCTTGCCCCCCAACCCCTCCAGCAGACTCTCATTTGTAGATAATAATCAGAGAATGGCAGACGTAGATTCCAGGGGGGGGGGTAACTCTCATGTATAGCTGAATGGGGTCATTGACGCCCATATGGGTAGGTTTGGAATTCTTCAAAATCACTTAATTTGGGGCTCCAAAATCCATTGATTCCCATAAAAATGGTTTAGCTCCACTGTCAAGTAACCTTAACTTTTGTTTGCACAATATCTTTCCTGACCAAAGCGATATTTGCTACGCAATGTACCATGTTAGTTGAAGTTCGTCGCTTTTCAGTCTCTTCCGTGCTACTTACAGTTGATAACGTTAAAACTGGGTATTTTACACCAAATCCCTAAAAAGGGGAAGTTTTGCTATATTTTGGACGACACACCCCTGTGATTCTTTGGTTCAATTTGGTTCAAGATTTAGATGCAGCTTAACATTATGTTGCATGAAAGAGCTTGTAGGACTCTTGTGTTTACATTTTTCTTCAAACGACTGTGTCAAACAAAACAAAACTAGGGACCCTGTAAGGTATAGATTACTGACATGGTAGAAAAATAAATTTTGTATCCTCCAAAAACAGTTGATATGTTGTCCTATTGTAAGACAGGAAATTCGGTTGAATTGAGAGTTTCTTAAGTAATATGGGCATTCATTCATGGAAAATATTTCATCCATGAAAGGTGGATTCAATCCGTTAAATGTTTGTAAATTTCTATTGCAAGATATTGTAAATTTTTCTTATGAGAAGTTATTGTTTTATTCTTTATTAAAAGTTGTTCAAAAGTTGATTCATAATCATCATGAGCTATTCTCATTGCTCTTTCATGAATCCGGTTTATTCGATTATTACTTTTCCTACTGCAAAACATCCAAATAAGAGGACAATAACTAAAATATGATAATATGAACGTTTTAATTAAAATAATTCGCTTAGATTTGTCCATATACGAAACAATCCTGGCTAGAGCGTTTACCTTGTTCCCAACTTCTTTACAAAAAACTTCAATATGTTCTTCTAATCTAAGTTGGTGGTCTAGTGTTACTCCCAAAAGTTTAACATTCTTACTTTCTATTATAGTAGGACCATTTATTTGAATTTAAGATTCCTCTAAATTGGATCTATTGGCTTTAAATGTTATAAGCTTGCTTTTATCGCCATTGAGCACCAAAAAATTTTCTTAAAACCATTTATTAAGAATAGCGGCTTCCGATTCTAAGTCGTCAGTTAGTTCATTCATATCAGTACTTGACAGTCAAATTGTATTATCAACTGCATAGTTGCATAAGTTGCTTTTGTTCAAGTGCAGAAAAATATCATTTATGTAAATATTGAAAAGCAAAGGGCCTAAGATTGATCCTTGAGGAACTCCTTGCTTTGTTTCCATTCAATCACTAAAGTCTGAGTTTATTTTTACTCGTTGTACTCTTTTATCTAGATAACTATACATAAATTCCATTGCGTTGTCGCTGAAGCCATAAGATTTCAATTTGGCTAGTAGAAGTATATGGAGTAAACAATCAAATGCTTTTGATAAATCCATAAGCACTGCACCAGCCACATCTTTTTTATCCAGGCACTTTTTCAGACCTTTAATAAGTCGTAATAAAGCATGTTGTGTGCTATAACCTTTTCTGAATCCACAAAGCAAAGGGAACAGTTTAACAATGATGTAATTGTAGATTCGATTGAACATTATTCTCTCAAATACCTTTGAAGCTGAGGGGAGCACATTTATTGGTCTATAATTCTCTTTACTAGTTGAATCTCCTTTTTTGAAAATAGGGCACACATTAGCCATTTTCATAACAAAGGGAAACGTTTTATCAGAAATAGATCGATTTAATATTTCAGCTAATGGTCCAGAGACAACGTCTATTGCCATTCTAAGAACTTTTGGGGGGATGTTATCGGCTCCTGTTGATTTGTCGTCCTTCAGGTTGTAAATTAGCTCTCTTACCTCCTTGGAAGTTACATTTTCAAAGTTAAACTTAGGAAATTGATCAAACGTTTCCTTGATTTTTAAAATACTACGGTGGTTCGTCAGACGTATGTTGCACATTATCAGATAAAGGTCGGGCTATATTGGGGCTTTCAGTAATATTTACGAAGTGATTATTCAACGTCTGTGCAACTATTTTGCTGTCAGACAGGATTTCGTCGTTCTCTATCAGTATGATTTTATTTGCTTTTGCATTTTTATCATTTAATAAAGGCTGGATAGTTTTCCAGAATTTTTAAATATCGTTGACGAATTTAACATCTAAATTTTCGAAATATCTTCTTTTAGTGCGTCTAATTAATTTAACACATCTATTTCTGACTTTTTTGTACCTCTCCTTTTTAGAAACTGTTTTATTTTTGTTGAGCTCTCTTTTTGCCTTAGATCTCAGCATTATCAATTTTCTTATATCTTTATTCATTAAAGGCGCATTGTTTGCTCTTACTAATTTTTTCTTCGGAGGGGCATGTTTATCGAGAATTGAAATCAGAGTTTGATTGAAAACATCGTACGATATATTTTCTTTAGGTATTTTAGCTAAATTAAATTGAAGATCCTCGTTAAATTGATCGGTAGAAAAAGTTTTATAGCATCTGTATGAAATAGAAGTGGGTTCAGATTTTACGAATTCAGTTTTTAATACAGTATAGGTTAGCTTATGGTGGTCAGACAAACCTTTCTTATATGTACCTGTATTTATATAGCTGTATTTCTTGATTGTTAAGATCAAGTCATAGCATTTTGGCAGATTACTTTTGTAGCATGTTGGCTCTTTCATCAGATTATATAGATCATAGTTTCCCATACAATTTTCTATGTTAGAAGAACCAGGTTCCATATTAAAGTCCCCAAGTATTAGAATTTATTCATAGCTTCGTGAATAGAAATCCAATAACTTACCTAATTCATCAAGAAAAAAGATGCTATTTTGGTTTGGAGGGTGATAGATTCCAATAACTATCTATTTTGTTTTTTGAAATTATCTTCAACGGAAATAGTTTCTATATCATTTGCTGGGCTGAAATTTCTTAATTCTTTAGCTGGAATGTTTTCATTCACATAAAGTAGTAATCCTCCAGCTCCAATTTTTCTGTCACATCTAAAGGGCTTCCTAGACCCCTCAACAGAAAACTGAGATGTTGGGAACGATTTGTCTATTTTTGTTTCTGAGATAAGAAAAATATCTAATTTTCCTTTTATGATTTCCGTAATACTAGAAAGTTTATTAGGAACAGAATTTATGTTAAGGTGTCCTATAATTATTTTTTTAGGATTTTTTATTCTTATTGAAATGAAATTAGTTAATTCATTTAAAGCGCTATCTATTATTTCGATAGAGCTCTGTTTATTTTGAATATTTTCGTTTAAATCATCATGTTCTCCGTGGGTTATAAATGAATGATTAGCTTTTTGACTATAAGGGCATGAAGGCTCAATCATGGTTAAACTGTGCGTTATCTTACCCATTTGTCATGTTTGTTGCAGATGATTAATAATGTTTCTCGCAAGAAGTATGTTCCCCTGTCTATTTAGATGGAGTCTGCTACCGTTCAAGCTATCAATAGTGATGTTATTGTTGTTTATAAAATCCAGTTGATGTTCTCGGCATAGCGTGTAGAGTTCATCATTCATGATTTGAATATCCTTGTTCATTGTGCAATTTACTATGTGTACCATTTGTAGAAAAATGCTGAATTATGGGTACCATTTGGGAAAATATTGCAAAATTACTTAGCATTAACAAAATGCATTTCCACTTAAAAATGAAAGCATGAAGTATGTGTAATTTGGGCAAAGGACATGCAAAATTCGTTTGACGATTTTGTTGTGCTTTAAGAATTTTATTTGCTTGTGGAATAATGGGTATAGTTTTCATCATGTTTGCGTAATTATGGGTCATTCTTTCATACATATGCTGAATTTTTGGTTGAAATTTTTGAACCAAAATGGCACGTACGCGTCCAAAATTAGGCTTAGTTGCCCCCCGAGCAAAAATGAGCGGGTGATTCGGGGTGAAAGAGCATACTTATCATGGATCGCGAAATGCAAAGCAAAATATGTAAACGAAATATACAAAATTCAACTGGACCATAGCAAATAGATGTAGAACCACTAAAAAGTGAGAAAAAATCAAATGACACTACATTTCGTCGTTGTTATGCAAGATTTCTTTTCACAGATCTATAGTTTTCCATGTCCAATGAATGGGTAAAGTAGCTTATCATTTTGTTTTGAATCTTTCCATCAAACGAGAATAGTCCAAATAATAATGCCCTAACAAATACTTCCTCTTAAAACCTTTTGATTTATCAAACAGCTGCAATTCTTAGATCCTTTTTCAGTAATTCTAGTCTCAAGATCGATTGAAGGATTGATGTTTCCGTTCAATTAGTTTTAAGTAAGAAAGAGGATTTATACGTCTGATGTGAATGATTTCTGACAGGCTAATCCTGCCCTGCCAATGGAATGCGAAACTTCTTATAAACAACGAATTCTGAAAATGGCAACAGATAACATGAACATTGCATATTCTATGTTCCTGTCATTTTTCGTTCCAAAATTTCCGAGTACCGTCAATCCTCAATTTACCCCCCCCCCTTTAATAGACCCCTCGAATAAGCCCCTATAACTAAGACCCCATTATGGAACTAAAAACTTTTAACAAGCCCCAACCACAGAATAATCCCCCACCCAATCGTGAAAACTGTTGCATTATAATAAGCCCCCATGAGGCCTTGATTGAGGTACAATAGAAAGATACACCTTTCAAGTAGCTGATTGATAACACATTCAATTGGCGAATGAAAAATTTAAGAACGAGACATTGACAAAAAGACAATGAAAATATCAATGTTTTGGACTAAAAGTTTTTGTGTCCTTTGATTTAGACGAAAGAGTTAAATTGCAAATGAAATGATCTTGAAAATCTTGAAAAATCTACGAAGCGAGATACTTGTATGACAACTTTTGGATTCAATTAACCCCTCCCTCTCGAATAAGCCCGACTCAAATAAGCCATTATCTAAAAGGGGGCCAAATAAATAAACCTCCAGGGGGGCTTATTCTAGGATTTCTAGCCTGCGCACAAGACTCTGAAGTATCTTACCAGAACTGATATACCAGAACTTACCAGATGCTCCTTATGTATAACTCCTTTTTCATTATTATGTTTGTCTTAAAATGTAGAAACGTCATCATCTTGGTCACAATCGCTCAAAGGTCAAGCCAATCTTAACATGTGATACACGAATAAAGTACTTAACTACCCATTAGCAATCTTACTTATGCTCGAAAGAGACGGAACCAATTATTTCATGTTGAATTTTCTGAAGAAATTTAATTTACTTAGCTTAATTTGCAGTTTGATTTTTTTCTCGTAAGATAGGAAAATTTTAATTGATATCCAAGAGACTAGATAAGATCTAAATCATCTGTCCAGGTATTATGAAAATTTAGCCCTAATTGGTGACTGAATATAGCAGAGTAGAACTCCCATTCACTGTCAGTCAACAACTTCTTTTATATGACTGCAATAATCAAGAATCTGGTCGAGCATGTTTAAAATGATATAGATAAGCAAATGGTCATGCAAGTTACAGTCATAAAATGTTTGCTACATTCTCAACATCATGCAAAGTTTCATTTGGTCTACCACTGATTAAAAGTACAAAATTCGTTTATCACAGGTTGTTTGTATCGACATGTCTAGTTTACGATAGTTTATTAACAACAATTTTAGTTTATTTATTTGATAAGATAACAAGTCAAGGTCGTTCGATGCTTTGATTCTGCAGCAAATAACATAATAAGAACAGCGAATAAAATGCACGAAATTTTTTGAACTAGATATTGAGGATGTTCTTTGCTGATGTTTAAAGAGGTTCAAATGTCCGTAAAATAGTTGCAGGATTGGCCGAAGATGCCGAAAGAGCATCATGCTATGATAGTTTGGCTTTAGATCACAGATTGATGTGTGGTATTTGATATGCTTGCGTTTTACACTCTTTGGTGGTTCATTTCAAAAGTCACAATGCCAGTTCAACGACAAACAGTCTTTTGACGGAAATAGGAAATAGCAAGTAGCAGATCAGGGTGAAATTCTTCCCAGATGAGGTTCTAGATGAGAAAAAAGCTGAAAAGTCTACAAGGTTATTTGTTCGTTGTTCATATTTATTTTCTTTGGTTTGAAGAGCTCAGAATTGAAGGAGCAGCAAGCGGCATTCATGCATTTATATATGTAAAGAATAAGCTTTTGCAAATTTGTGCATAGATAGTTAGCTCAATCGACCTTCTCAAACCTCTCAACATACAGAGCTCTCAGTGTATGTTTGTGCAAGCGGTTGTTTGTGTTGTTTACAGTTTCCACAAACATCTAAATTAATGGGCAGAAGTTGAAATTTGAGAGAATAAATGTACTTCAGAGTATTTTTGCTCGGTCTACATCAAGATGTTATGCTATTCGAGAGAAAACCCGTGTTTTCTTGTACATATTTTTACAAATGTGTAAATGTGTATGCGAATGATCAACTTTAAATCAACCTTGATTTCTAAGACCTTTACTGCGACTGTTTTGGTTAAAATGTTCCCATTTATGCCAATATAGAATCTTTTCAAATCGTTCTAAATTTGTTCAGGTTTGCTACAATGTTGTTTTCCCTAAGGTGATGACATTTTCAAAATCGGACTCAAGACACTCGATTTTTATGTCAATGTCTGTCACCAATAAGTTCTGTTTTGTCATCAGCAAATTGAATTCCCGGGAGCTTTTCATGTGTCCAAAAAGTCATTGTTGACTTTAGTGAACAATATGGGCGCGAGGACAAAGCCTTGAAGAGCACAAGATACTTTCCTTTTACAGTCGCTAAATGTCAGAACCAAATGTTCTTTGTTTGAAAGGTAGCTATGTAGGAGTTCTAGTTTCTTATCACCGAAGCCATATTTGCTGTGGGCAAATCGTGACTTAGCCAGGCGTAAAAGAGCGGAAAGATTTCATTAGATGAAAGAAGATATTAATGTCAGAAAGGAAACTCACTAAAACGCCTCTTCGACGCAGCTGTCCAAGATGTTCTCGATAACAGAACTTTCTTGTCCACATTTTTTGTAGGAATTAAAAATCGTCGCGAGCTGTCTTTAACGATCAAGGATGCATATCCGAACGGAAATTATTTCAATTCCAGCCGTCAGAACGACGATGATAATGATTATTTCAATTCCAGTGGAAACCAGGCTTAATAGTACCCTATCTATTTATAATATATGCAATCTACGGTATCACCCGCTAAGGTTAGCTCAGGATTTGAAGGACAACCACATTCTTAATTCCTTTTTTCATTAATGGCCCTTTTTATTCTCAATTTAAAAACCTAACAATGAAATTGATACTAGTTTTTGGAATGTTCTCTGTTTCTAAAAGCGTTAAAAAGCATTTCAACAGCAGCATAATGTGTCTTTTACGGTGCATCCCCAAACAGGAGTTATCATACTGCATTACTGTAGCTCCATTGTTATGGACAGGTTTATGGAAGTCAGCTCAGTAGCTTGTGCCTAATAACATTACCCTGAAAATTTAAGCAACACTATCGTACAGTTTATCTGACCTCATGCAGTCTTTGTTTCATTTAAGGGTGAAAATTTTGCACCAAGAGATATGTACAAAGTTAAGTCCAGAATGTTGACGAATGAATAATTCGCAGCAGGCTGCTCAAGTTGAAGAGCGCTTCACCAGGATATAACATAGAGGATCAAGCATCGGACTAAGAAGGTAAAGCTTGTTTGCTATTGCCAAAGCTAGGATATTCACGTGAACTCTTCCCGAAATAGACCGTAGGATAATCACCGGCAAACATGTTATCAACATATTCAAGATAATCAGCTGTATCAACCTCAAGCTTGAAGAATGTTTCCTGTATTCACTGCTTCTTTTAAGAATAGCACGGTTGATTTTGCGGTACATAGCTCTGATTTTGAATGAAACGATGATATACAATACCACGACGACAAAAAGCAAGAGTGGGAGTTGAAATCTTATGAAGCTCATCTTCGTATAGACCATAAGGACTGAAACGAATGTTGTGAATAACCATATTGCAAAAACGACAAATAAAGGAGTCTTGTTATACGTTTGCGATGTTGACTGCATCCGGTTGAATGCTCTGGTCTTGTTGATATTTAATGCCTTGTAGCGATTCACTGCTATTGCTAACGAAGACCAGAGTGAAGTAGACGTATTGAAAAAAGCAAAGCCTCTTATTGCCCTCACTAATCGACATGAACTATGTCCTCTGTAAGCGGCAAGTGCCACCAAAGGATGCAGCCCAGCACCAATTATGAAGTCTGTAGAAAGAAGCGAGACTAGATAAATGTTATGATTGAGCCATCGTCTCTTGCTCCTAAGCAACTTCCAGATGCTAATGCCATTTCCAGCGACAGTTGCGATGCTAACCAAAGCCCAAAATACTACTTCAGCGATGCCAAAAGAAATAGAAAAGGGCTCGATGAAACATAAATCTACTTTTTTCTTCCCTGTACTATTCATTCTCATGGATTTTGTGACAGTAGAAGTTACGTCACTTTTTAACTGTGTCACTGAAACTGCCCTCGTTAGATTTCTTTGAAATGTTTTAACTTACCAAAAAGTTGCTATAAACTTCCAAATGTATTCCTCATCTCAGGATTGCATCAATAATTGCATTTTCTTAAATTTTCAGCAATACTTTTCTGTGCAATACTTTCTCTTTAGCTTCAATGTTGCTGAATGTCAAGCAAAGAAATTAATTGTATTTCAATCACTTTGCCAATTATCACCCGATTGCACATTTGTATCTTTTTTTGCGAAAAATGTGTTAACTGCAGTGATATCGCAAAAATTGATACCAGCTAAATGGCCTTGTCACAAGTTAATGGATATCATATTTATAATTTCTCTTTCCACCTTTTGGAAAGTCGCCATTAGATAATAAAAATTCCTCGCCCAATGTAATTGCACAAGATAACAGACTGTCATTACCACTATGTTCTTGCTCGTAAGAATCTCGAACTAGGTTTTTGCTTCATGATTTACACAAAAAATTACGACTTTTTATTTAATAAATCTTTCCAATTTAGGAAAAAAGTTGCCTGTTTAGGAACCAGGCCAGTAAAGTTGGCAGTATGGAGGTAGATTCTCCCGGCCCTGAGTTGAAAGGTCCCTAGATATTTATTGCAATGAGCACGCATTTAGTAGCCTGTACGCAGACCCTGTTGAGAAATTGAAAAGGGCCAACATTTAGCGGCTTTCTTGCAAAAACAGCAACAAAAACAGCATTTTCGGTTTTAATGACGTCATAGCTGGCGTTATTTTTTGTCAGTGGCCTGAAATAGCTATTTTAGGGTCTGTTGACCAGCAACCAATAGGATCAATACAGTTTCCCAGGGTCAAGCCGTTTGACATATATTAATCATCGAAGTCTTTTGATTGGTGTTTGTCAAAGGATGATGTTTTTGCCAACTAAAAGATTTCAAATAGTGTGAAATGTTGACTAGCGAACCGAGGGCAATTGAAAATTACGGTCGAGGTAATGGGCACGCAAAAAGTTTTGGGAAAAGCAATATTGATCTTGCAAAAAGATATTTGTATCAACGCTTTTCATGTTCTTATTTAATAATATCAGGTGAGAAATCATTATTACTAAACAGCAATTTTTCCAAAAGTTGAGAAGAGCAATTATCGCTAATCCGATAGCCATTAACTTGTGACAATGCCATTTTACTGGTATAAAGTATTGCGATATCACTGTACTTAACAAATTTATCGCAAAAATGATGCAAATGTGTGCAGTGGGATGAAAATATCAAAGTGATTGGGAAAGTTCATTTTCCTTGTTTGACAGTCAGTCAAATCAAGTGAGAAAGAGTTCAGCTGCTCCACCTCACTTCAGCCGGTGTTGTATTGTGCCTTTTGGATTTACTTCCAAGGAAAGAGACTTCGAGCATCATACTCCAAACACACGAGGAATCATTAAAACCAACAATGTCAAGAACACCACAGGGGGTTAGCAAAATTACAGGGGGTTAACACTATAGCAGCAGGAAAGCATAAGAAAACGATACAGAACAGTACAGAAAAGTATCCAGAAGGTGGCACGAAAGGAAAAAAATTCAAACCTTGATAGATGAGGTGTTTATTGGAAGAAAGCACTACAGTACGTCTCTGTACATCATCGTCTCTGTACAGTACATCATCTTTCCAGGAAATCTGAAGTAGATATTTTCAGTGACAGGAACTTCATCGATAAAACGCAACTCCCACTGTTACAAAAGGTAGAAAGAATGGAAGAAACAGGGAAGCAAAAAGCAGATGCATGTTACACTGAAGTTCTTGCTGTTTCCTTTGGAATCCCTGAAGTAGTCTTCTGGTTTTTAGTCAGCATCGCAACTGTCGCTGGAAATGGAATTAGCATTTGGAAGTTGCTTAGGAGCAAGAGACGATGGCTCAGCCATAATATTTATCTTGTCTCGCTTCTTTCTACAGACTTCATAATTGGTGCTGGGCTGCATCCTTTGGTGGCACTTGCCTCTTACAGGGGACATAGTTCATGTCAATCAGTAAGAGCAACTAGAGGCTTTGCTTACTTCAACATGTCCATTTCACTCTGGTCTTCGTTAGCAATAGCAGTGAATCGCTACAAGGCATTAAATATCAACAAGACCAGAGCATTCAACCGGATGCAGTCAACGGCGCCAAGGAAAAACAAGACTCCTTTGTTTGTCGTTTTCTCCATATGGTCATTTACAACATTCATTTCCATTCTCATGATCTCAACAAGCATCAGCTTCACAAGATTGCAACTAACAGTCCCACTCTTGCTTTTTGTCGTCGTGGTATTGTATATTATTGTCTCATTCAAAATCAGAGCAATGTACCGCAAAATCAACCGTGCTATTCTTAAAAGAAGCAGTGAATACAGGAAACATTCTTCAAGCCTGAGATTGATACAGCTGATTATCTTGAATATGTTGATGACATGTTTGCCGGTGATTATCCTACGGTCTATTTCCGCAAGGGTTCACGTGAATACCCTAGCTTTGGCAATAGCAAACAAGCTATACCTTCTCAGTCCGATGCTTGATCCTTTATGTTATGTTCTCGTCAAGCACTCTTCAATCTGAACATCTACTTCTAAGAATTATTCATTCGTTCATATTATTGACTTGGTACTTCTAATTGTTGGTTCAAATTTTCACCTTTAGACAAAACAAAGACTACGTGAGAGAAGCTGTAATACAGTGTTGTTTAAACTTTCAAGTAGTGTAATTAAGCACAAAGCTATTGTGCCAACTTCCGTAAACCTGTCCATAAAAATCTGAGCTACAGTAATGCGAAGTTTATAGAAAGATACGGTGCTGTTAAGCCTGGCTTGCATTCACCATTAGCATCGTCAATTTGATAGCTGGAAATGCTCGAACATGAATCCTTGATCGTTCAAGACACTTTTGAACGATATTTGACATCTAGCCAAAAAATGAGCAAAAAGTTCTGGTATCCTGAACATCTTGAACATCTTTGTTGGACAGCAAAGTTGCTTTTGCTTTAATTAGTGAGAATAAAAGCTACAGATTTTCAAGTAGAGAGAAGAACCAAAGTTCAGAAAATAAAGAAGATTTTTTAAAAGAAATTGGGTTCCCTTTCTTTCGTCTTTGCCACAAGGACAGATGAGAACCCAGAAAACTGGACAGATTAAGACCAACGGTTATCGTGCATCGGACTCCTCACCGCCCTGTTTTTCAGTAATAGCTTTCAATCCAATGATGCATAGAATATAGTGACGTACATATACAGCAAGATCAAAGAGCAAAAAGCCCTCTAGGTGACTATCTTCAACTGCTTCAAATGGTTAGATCTCAGGGATAAGGTTACACTGGACGCTGTTAAATCATTTATAAACATTCCAGATTGTCTTTTCTTGGACTGATTGATGTCATTCTTAAAAACTGTATGGATGAGCTTCAACTAGACTAATTGATACGACTTTCCCTTTCAGCTGATAAATTGTACATCGAAGAGGAGGATGAATGGTTGCAATCCTGTTCACTTTTTCCTAAGTCGTTTGATTTAAACCTATGTAAGAGCAAATAGCGTTTTACAGTATAAGGAAATACAATAGCTTCATATGTCTTAACATTGGCAGTGTTTCAGTAATTCTTGTTAAGATGACACAAGTTGATATGCAAAAAAATTGCGGCCGATGATCTGTGTGAGGATGAATACTATCTTTGTCACGGATCCTAATTCCTGCCTTAGAAATGGTTTCTCAAACGGATAAACCGGCAAATTTATGTGACTTTATCTAATTGAGGTTGTATTTTGTGTTACCAAACGAACAACTTGGTTTTAGATTTAATGACCACCTACAAGATTAACTAAAAACAACGTGCAATTATAGCCTCATTTCTCATTCCAACCATCCAGTGATGTTTCATAATATCATTCTCTGCTAACTAAATTAAACAATTGCTGCTAAATGAGTAACTCTTTTTATTAAATCAGATTTCTCCGGGACAAAACAAAGAAATGCCGCGACGCCTGGCCGAAAATCTCTCCATGGAGGAATAGACCATCCCTACAGCAGGCTTGCTTTTGAAGGCTGTTTGTTTGCCCATTGTAAACACAGGGTTCCATTCTTAGATAACGTTAAATTGACGGATCTAATTGAACTGTTGGACATAGAGGCGTAGCCACTGTCTTATATGTTGCTTATATTCGCAAGTTTCTCGATCCTCTAACGCCTCGACATACTATAATAGCTTTTAACCAATTCCAATAGACACCTCATTTTAAGAAGCAAAGGTTATCTTTACAGTTCTCGAGCTTTCACTATTGATGATTATGGTAGCTCTCTCTCATATGAAAGGTATGACGTACCTACTTAATAGATACCTTTTCGAAGACTAGAAACATTTTAGCCCTTCTACCGTTTATAGATTGCCTTTTCGAAACAACGCTGTTGAAACAGTTTATTCGCCGTCACTCTAGCAGTTAATGAGCTGCGGTGAGATGCGAGAAGTTATGTTGGACAGAGAGGCACTGTGGAGGCCCTTTATATACATGTATGAAGGATCTTTTTGTAAGAAAACGTTTTATAAGAACACCCAGGCTTGTTTGGCCAAAATAAGAACAATATAAAACCACGCCAAGTTTCAAATAAAAAGTTATTTAAAAAATAAAAAGCAGTATGTTAACAATGAAAATTACCTCGCATGTTAACAAAACACAAGAGAGCTTTTCAGCTAGTAAATCTTACGTGTCATGCAAAAATTTTATTTAATTGTCTTTGGAACAACTTATGATATCTAGTAAAAAAACTGATGTTAAAACGAAGACAATATTTAAGAAAGCAAACTAACCTTGCATTATCCAAAAACTGAGAACATCAAGTTTTGGCAAAGCTCTCTGGTTCCATGAAGAAAGTGTAGGTGTAAAGAGAATAGGTAAGAAACTGCGAAAGAGAGAAAAGACATCTCAGTTAAAAACCATGGCAATGAAAGGACAATGTTTATCAGATTAACCTAAAACCAACAAAACAGTATAAATTTGTCAATAAAGCACAGAGTCGTAATACGATTGGCAAAAAATTTAGCTTTTTGCACGTTTGCAACAACTTTCTTGATGTTATTAAAAGTTACACAAGAGGTTTTATGCTCAAAATCATCTAGTACATTTCATCAATTTATGTTTTTAATAACAGAGGGAATGTTTTTAAGAATTTGAAAGATAACTTTATACAACTGCTAAATACATCTATAATGGATAGATTATAATTCCTCTTTTTCAAACTAAATTGCATAGCCTAATATTTATTACATGTCGAAGTGTTTACTTCGATTTTCTTGTCAACACTTGTAATTAATTATCGTGATACTGAAGTTATAGCAAAAAAATAGCAAGTCACCTTTTTGCCACTGTGAATGGGGAAGAATTACACATGTTTCCTGTCGAGCTGGCTGTGGTCTGATCTTAATATGACTCAACAAGCAGCTTAATTGCACAAGGTTTAGGGGATCAGAAGTTCACAAATCCTATTTATTTTTTCTTGACAATTCGTGTAAAAGCAATCTGAAAAATTTCAATCTTTACTCATCTTCTGAATTCACTGGGTATGTTGTAGGCATATCATTCTTTGGTAGAATAGAAAGGTCGCTTTCAGATTTTTAGTCACTTTGTGCATTGGTCAGAATATATCAATAACTCTAGAAATATCTATGACGTGACAAGAAATTTTTATTTTAAAGAAGTTTTTTTCAGCACAATAATCAGAAAAATGCAGATGTTGTCGATTGAAGTTAATTACTTTGACAGTAATTCTTAACTTTTTCCCACGGCAAGTTAATTCCCTATCACCATTTAAGAAGAGTCGCTGCTTCTCGTGTTTCGTAGTTATTGAATAAGTGGAAAAGCTATTATGCCCAACGTTTATAAAATCATATGCAGCCTTGTTCTTTTGAGTATTACCTGCATCATGTTGAATAGCAAATTTTCACAGATAAGTTTTCGATTTTCCGTGTGATCATAATCGACACTTTTCCGCTTTCCTTTAACTTATACTAAAAATCATTTTCTGCTCTCGATGGCAATTTTTGTATACTTTACTGTTGCCAATACAGGATCCATTGAATAACTATCAGCTTGTGAGGAATAAAGAAATCAAGTTTGTAGCTTACGAAACATTCTTTTTGCTCTTTCAAACTTTCTTACCACCGGTAGGAGGTAATTGAAATATTTTTCGACAGACCTGTTTTGATAATGATGTACCATGTCTCTTGGAATGATGTTGAATTCGAGGGGCAAACCACTTCATCTTAACCTCGTATACCTTGTCTACAAATTCCAAGGAAATCCTTCGCATTTGTGGAAATCTCGCTTACTATTAACAATAGTGGATTACCACACAGCTTATAACTTAGCATGAAATTAAAAATTTATTTCATTGAAAGAGTTACCTCAAATCAAACGAGATTTTTTTAATGGACATTCATTTGGTAAAATGACGTACTTTTCAAACAATTTGCTAAAGCGATATTACTATTTAAATACGTTGGTTACGGTTGATAATAAGTTTTAGTAAAATAATTAATTAGAGTTGCTACATGAGTCAGATAGGGAATTTTTTATCGTCCTTGCCAAGATTTTTAAAGCAGATTAACATAACCTCACTTCCTCTGCATTCCTCTATTTAGGAACATTTTGTTAAATCTGACCATCTCATTAAAATGTCACATTTTTTCTTCCTCTTTAACTGACCCAATGTTGTCCAAAACGTATCCCTTCCCATAGTCATTGGGGCTTGGAGGGCTGGATCCCTCCTAACAAGGCTGAATTCATGCATTTCAGGGCTTATTGGGGCAGCTTTATCTAAATAACGTCATAAGATTCGGGCAAGATCAATACAAAGCCCCCTGAACATTTAGCATCTGCTACGCTCATATTTTTTCCCGTTTCAAAACAGTCTGTTAAACAATATATTAAACAGCATACTTACACCTTAAAACATGTATGTATCATGAAAAGAAATGAAGTAAAAATCTTACAAGGTAGTTTTATCCACAAAAAGTTTCATAAGGTAGTTTTACCCAGATAAGTTTATTTCTCATTTTTTTTCATGATTAACACGAGACTTCTAGTAGGAACGTCAGGCAAATTTTTTCAATTAAGGTTTCCCCGATGGTGTTCTAAGACTGTTTGATAACGTCCGTAGGCACAGTCTTCAGAGTGTGCACAAGGTCCAAGGAACATTGGAACATCGTTTCTGAATTGATGAAAACAGTTACAGAAGCAAAGAAGTGTATATTGCAATGCATTTACAGCACCTCTTAAGGATCTGAGTAGCTCAAAGGTATAGGACTACCAAAAGAGATCTTGTTTTAATTTCTTGCAGGGGAAGTCTATGAGTTTACCACCAGAAATAACTATTTTTATTTCTTGCACTAGAAGTTTAGGAAATTTTTTCAATGTTGAGTAAAAGAAGTGGGACATACATCTAACTAGGTTGGGGGGGGGGCGACCAGTATTGACAACAACAGGAGCAGTAACTGTTAAAATCTTTTATCCTTCTTTAGTATTCATATGAAATACAAATTCTTAAGAAGTCAGTTTTGAATGGACAATAGGTGTAAGAAGCAATGTAGTTTATAGGAGAGAATTTAAAACATTCTTTCAAAACTTATATAAGTAAGCTTTAGTTCAAGGTCCTAATTGTTTCTAAGAACGAAAATTGTGCTACCATGTCAACATAACTTTTGTTATTTCTTTAAAGCTCAGAGAAGTTGTAACATTTGCAGACTGTAAGGACACACTGTTTCCCTTGAGAAATTATGAGGTTTGTGACTGTCGTAGAGTTTGTCAATTTGTAAGTCTAGACTCATCCAAGCTGGCGTCTGTATTATAGCTTAACTCTAAAATGATGAACATGCGGTTTTGTAACTACGAATTGATTAGTACAAGGTTATTAATTCGCTATTAGCATTTCACTGATTAGCACTACTCTGCGTCAGTTTGACAATGATTGTCAATAGCTTAACCAACTGATAAAATTCTTGCGTTTAGTTTCGTGATCTTCTTCACAGACAGTTTCCAAACTGGCTGAGTGTATCGTAGGTTCTTAAGTGCTAAGCTGAATAAATTCTATTAAGGCAAGGTTGATATTAGCGCAGTAATTTATATGGCAACCTAATGGAAAATGTTCTTTTTTAGTTTTTTGCATCCTTTTTCAATTTTGTAGTAATCATGCAGAAATTAACATTGTTTTATCCAGATGCCATTCAATATAAGTTCTGAAAATCATTTCCCTGATCTTTTAATGAAGGTGAACATTTCTTCTGAAAGGATGACGCTGTCTTAGTAAGGTTTTAGAGCAAAGACGTTTATTTACAGATAGACAGTCATGTCTAATGCTCTTTAGTCAATATCTCACTTGTAAGTAGGAATGATTTCACCAAGACATGAAATTAACAGCCGATTTGATTCGGTAGGTCTATGGAATAACTGTATCATCTTTCTTAAGTAAATTGCCTGTTTGAGGAAAAGAATTCAAGACATCAAGGCCTCACGTGTCCGAGGGTCGTGGCACCAGTTGCTCGTGACGTCACATTTGAACAGGTAAATTAAATATTTTGAAGATTACCAGGCTTACTGTGATCACCAAAACGTGACAAACAGCCTTCAATCTTGCGTCATGGAAGCAAAACTGTTTCCTTTTTCCGGGAATTAGCCTATAGTCGTAATTTTTCCCTGAAGGACTGAACTGAGGTAAACCCTTGATATGATAGAATTTGTAAAGATGCACGAGCGAACGCATGGTCAATCCACGAATGAAACTTTCCATAGGATAAACATACGTCTTACTTGGCATGTCTCTTTAGACGATTACCGTATTTCCTTTAATGAAAGCCGTCCTCTATTGAACGCCGCACCTTGGAATGCGGCGTTCATTAGAAAACTATACACACCATACGCTTGCTATTCGAAAGCTCTTAAAGTTGTCATGTCATATAGAAGAGGGCACTGATGAAGACAGGGATATTGACATTCTTTGACATTTCCATATTGTGAACTTAAAAAAAAATTCACACAATCTTTATTACATGTTTTTAGGGAAAGAAAACATTGTTCAGAGTCTGTCTTTTTTTCATCGCACTTTTTTGTGATTTTCACAGTTTTTTCACAGTTTTTGTGTAACATTGTTCATAGTGAACAAGATCATGGCAATTAATAGTAAATTAAGGTCAAATTGATATCATGCTTAGAAATCTTGTTTGATTGGTAACCCAATCTTTTTATGAGTACACACATTAAGACAGGAAGTCTGATCGTGTAACATTTCTTGCGTAATATAGTTTGAAAGCTCGAAACAAATTTTCTTACTTTTTGTCTCTGTCATCTAAAACATCAAGCAAAACGAAGAAGGATTGTAAAAGAAACGGAACAAAGTAGGTGAAAGATGCTTAGGCATGACGAAATCTTTTGCTAGTGCTAAGGAAAGGCAATGAAGGGAAAACAGTTAAGTCACCTGGGCCTCAGCCAGTTTACTAGCTTTTCCAGGTGACCGCTAGTTTGTTTTATGTGCCAACGATTTAATCTAAATTTTGGGGAAAAGTACAATTGTGTTCATTTTTAAGTCTCTTCCATCCTCTTTAATGAAATTGGTATCTGTTTATCTACTTTTTTGCTGCCATTTAGCTACATGGCTTGCCCATTCACCACTCATATTTCGCTGAGTTTTCTGCTCTACCAATTTATGCCAGTGTCCATGTTTTCACACCGACTGTTGTTGCTAGTATTATTACTCCATTCTTTACTTTCTTCTTCAAATTTAAAGCATTTATTTTTTCTCATATTATCCAAATCTTTGCTCTCCTGCAGCTATTCTTCTGTCATTTTTCTCCTTTCTTTCATTTTCGGATATTAGTAGATGACCTGGGTAGCCATATTCATTTACTTCTTCTATGATATTTCTCTCTATTCTGACCAATAAACAATATCCTGTCTACGGTACTGCGTACAACCACGAACAAAGGACCTCCGAACTACGCATGCCCAGTTTTCATGAGCAAATGTCCATAATGCAATTGCGATATCTTCATGTGACTTTAATCACCCGAACGTTGGTTGAGACAAGTATTCAAAGCCTAACCAATTTATTTGCAATATTGTCTAATCAAAGATAGCTTGGTTTTTTCGTACTAATATCTAGTATGATATTGTTATTTAAGAAGCATAAAACTACTGTTTGCTTGTTTAGAAACGCTGCAGCCCAAAAATTTCCCTCCATACATCACTGCTTTTGTACACCAGGCAATGATTTTGTTTTAGAATGTGTCGTATAATCTCATTTTTGATAATTAATTCTTTTTAATTCACATAGATAGAAATTCATTTAGTGTAAAAAGTCACGAAAAAGGAGGAAATCATTAAAATCATGAGCAATAATAACACGTAGATCCATTTAGAATTTGAAAATGGTTAGAAATACTTATCCTCATAACAATATCAAAACACAATTATTAACAAAAATCAAAGAGGGTATTAGTATCAATGAATTCTAATAAATAATTTAAAAATGAGAATAAAAAATTTCCACAAGGGGCCTCTTAAGACTTCTGAAACACTGAAGGGTGATGCTTTTATGTTTTGTGAAATTTTAATTTCTTCAATATGATAGAAAATTTGTTTTACATACTGTAGAAAAGGAGTAAATTTAGGTCTAAGTATGTTTTTAATGTAGGAAAGGAGTAAATTTAGGTCTAAGCATGTTTTTAATGTAGGAAAGGAGTAAATTTAGGTCTAAGCATGTTTTTAATGTAGGAAAGGAGTAAATTTAGGTCTAAGCATGCTTTTTATGTACGAATGAAGTAAATTTAGGTCTAAGTATGTTTTTAAGCCCCTCTTTTACTGCAAATATATCGGATATTTTTATAGCATGTTAAAATGCCCATATCTCTATAATGCATTTGTTGTTTATGTTTTTGTTTTAAATTTCCTGACAATGTTGCAAGTTTTATTGGTAATTTGTAATTTGTTACAACTTTTTATTGCTGAATTTTATAAAACATCCAGGCTTTTCTCGATTAATTTGCCTTGTGAAAGAGTTTGAAAGCCAGTCTGATTAAATGAGACTTTGAAGCTAGGTGTCGCCTCAGGCATGCTAAAGTGAAACCTCATGGCAAATATACTCAGATTTTTACATTTTGTGTTGGGTGGTTTCATTTACTGTATCTTATCTGAGTGATTGCTAATGCCAGTGTTTGTTATATAGGCATATTTGTGAAGACACAAGCACTTGGGGCATCTCCAGCCGATTTTTGATGAGCTGAGTCATTTTGGCATAGGACGCTGATTTTATCCAAGTCGTCGACCTAAAGCAATATACTACGCATATTGTTTTAATTCAATTTCAAAGAGATGAGAGCCAGTGACCTCTGAACGGTACAGTCATATTCGTCTCTGTTCATCCGCAGCAAATGTGGTTTGTAGCGTTAATTTAAGACTTCTTTTCTATCATGTTTTTCTAAAGAAAGTTGCATGTTTTTTGCTTTTGGAGTAAATGGCTTTATTAACGTAACTGTATTACTGTGTTCAGAGAAAGCTCTCTCAGCGTCATTTCCTGAGATTTAATTTAATGATTTTATCATTCCAATAATACCTTTTGAGGAAATTTTTATATTTGTATCTTGACCACAATCGTGGTCATTTGATTTATCGGGAAATTGCATCTATTCTAGTGGCTTTCTAAAATTCTTTATAAGCATAATCTTTTCCAAGCTTGGAGCTGTGTCTTTAAAATAGCACTTTTCTTTCATGCAAGTAAAAAGTAGAATGATATTGTAGCACTAGATTGCATCACATTGGCAAAGCTTTTTACAGCTTGTGTATTTACATTCTTGTGCACCAATGACGCCCATCACTGATGGTCCCTCCCTTCACGATTTTGAAATGAAGTAGTCTTTCAAAGGGGCCTGGGCAAATTGGCCCGAATCCTACACCTAGTTTTAGAGTGAAATTCTGTATTTAGCTCTCAATACCTGTCATTTTTCTAGATAAACAAAGTAGAGTGCCTCTGAAAATTTTTCTTTTTAAATGCTTGTTTCCTTAAACCGTCTTGTCAATCTCCAAGATAAATTTTATCCAACGCTATCCCTAATTCATCACTCGTATCACACCTTGTATGTTTGCCATGAATGCTACATCTAGTTTCCTTCACATCTGCGATAAAAAATCAAAAAGGAAACAAGTTATCTTAGCACTTTTCAAGAGACGAAATAAGAAAGGCCCAGGAATCAACCTTAAGGAACTCCGCGAATAATTTTCTATTTGCTTTTGCTTCCTGTTTCTTAGATAAGATTCAATTCACGATAAACGTTAGTAATGGTAAAAACTTCATCTTTGTAGATCTAAGTTGATCTCGTCTAATCGTATTTTTTAACTGTACAAAATTAACAATGTTATGTTTATCTGAATAAAAGAAAATTTCAGGATAGGCTACTTTGAAATCCTAGATTCCTTGTTGAATGGACAACAACGACCATTCAAAGTAAAATTGGCGTTTCATATACAGTATTCTCTCCAATAAACGGACACTTTAAAAAGGCGGACATCTTTGATCAGCGGACAGATGTTTTTCCCCCGATCATTTTCTGGTCAAAGTCTCATAAAATCTTTCTAAAAAGCGGACACTTAATTAGCGGACACTCTAATTGACGGACAATATTTTTTGCACAAAATAGTCAATTTGGCTTTTTTTTCCAACTAGCGGACATTAAAAAAAGTTCGGAGCCAACAAAATAAAATAGAAATAAAATAAAAAACTGAGACGAATGAATATTTGTTCAAATATCTATTTCAAACACTTTGACTTTTGACAATCTAGTTGGTTTTTTACAACTTTGAGCTTCTTTACAGCCCAGTTTACTAACTTTTCTTGCCCATGAAAGTGGTAAATTACTGGAATCTCCAGACCATAGCCACCTCCACGATTCAACCTCTTTCCAATAACTTCCTCAGATGGGGGGCTAGATGCTTCCAGCAGAGGGGCTGTAGCCCTCACCTGGCGCCACCACTGATTACACCTTTTAAATACAAAAATCGGGTCTATTTTCAAATTTGGGACTTTCATTGCAAAACTTTACAAAAGGCGGACACTTCCAATTAGCGGACACCTTGCTCGTGCCCCGACGGTGTCTGCTAATTGGAGAGAATACTGTACAGATCCTTTCAAGAACTGACAATTGGAAGACTGGAGTTGCTCTTTGTTAGAAAATATGTCACTCTCTAGGAGCCAAAATTTTGTCCATTGTCCCGTTCAAATGCTCCATGGTAATTGCGTTCAGAAGGAATACATAGCAGTTGAACGCACAAAGTAGGCTAGGCTCCTTCACAGCTACGCAGACCAAAATGTAAAAGTCAGTGTGTTTTGCTCCCTGGTATAGGCCAATTAACTGTCATGCTCGAAAGCTACAATATTTATAGGATAAATCAGTTAGTGACGCGAGCAGAACAATGCTATCGTTTAATCACAGAATAAACGTCGAAAGTCTTAAAGAATTAGTCCTGAAAGGTTTATCGTGAAGCGTATCTGCCGCCTGCATTGATTGCGCTGTAGCTCCTCCTTAAGCGAAGTATTTAAAGAGACACTCATAGGTGGATTAGAAAAAGAATCAGATACGTTTTATAGATCTTTGTAGTCTGAGGAGGGTCTTACATTAAATATGATAGACGCTGCGGCAGTCAAGAATTTTGAAGATCCTCCGGTCAATGCAGTTATTCATGGTAACCATCAAATACACAGCCGAGTTATTTCTGCCCAAATGAATCCGCTCGTTTGGTTTCATGTCAGTAGAAAGAAACATTGAATTTGGTGTAGGGTTGAGGAGACGGTAGAATCATCAAGTGGCCCAATTATCGCTGATTATAACTGACAAACTGTGTAAGAGAATATTGCAAAAACAAGTAAGAATTTCCTGATCTGCTGGTTGAACTCTTTTAGGTTAGCCAAGTAAATGCAATAACAATTTTTTGCTAGAGAGGCATTTCAACTATCTGTTTACAGGGCAATAGAAGTGGCTGTTTCAGGCGCCGAAGATTCAGGCAGTTCCAGTGACAGAAGATACACCGGAAGGAAACCTGTCTTAAAAGATAACTTGTAGATTTTATTGCATATCGATTGCTAAGAATATCTTGAATAAGCCTTGTTAATGGGAAATAGCCGATAGTTCTGGATAGAAACAAAGAGATTCTGTACAAAACGGCTAAAGAGACTTAAAAGCATTTCAGTCTGACGTCAACCTTCACAGAATATGCTGAAGTCTACATAAAGCGAACACCTGAGGCCAGTAGGAGCTATAAAAGATTTTAAGCCATGCCCTTTTTGCATCATTGCCGTGTTATATGTTTCTTTTTTACTTGGAAAACCCCAGGGAAATTATGACCCTATCCTACCAAGTAAACTGTTATAAATTTTTTAGAATTATGTGGAATTTTTTTTGTATTTTTTTTTAATTACTGTCAACACCAAGGGTTTTGTCACTTTTTCACAATCCTGCAATTTCTAAATAGAACTAGAAAAAGGCATCTGCTTTTGCTGACGGCATTACGCATTTAGAGTCCAAGCAATGTCCTGTTTCTTCCTTTCGATGTGACTACATCTCATGACTTCTATATGTGGATTAATAAAGATTTGGTGACCTACTCACTCCAAGTGAAAGTTTGGTCTCCGCAAGGATTGTAACCTTAGACCCTTAGGTCTGCTGTCCGTGACCCTAATCACTGAGCCATCTTCACGTATTAAGAATGTTACTGTCAAAATGTTTCATTAAATATTCCAAAATTTCCTGTGCCAATTTCTTGTGCTTACACTAAATATTTAGAAATGGTATTTTCTCCAAGTTCTTCTATTTGAGTTTTAATAGTTTTTGTTAGTACCAACAAAGAATTCCATACTTTAGAAAGATTTGAATTTTTTTGCAGTTTAGTTATGTGTACGAGACCGAAGTACTCTAAATCAGGGGCAACAGGGGCATCAGCTTTGGAAAAGTTCTTCCTTTCTTGACAGAGTCATCTTTCAATCTTGTAAAAAGGTATTCTCTTTTGAAACTTTCAATTTTCCTGTAGATGACAGTATCTTTCCTCATATAATGCTTTGAATATATCGCTTGCTCGCGCTTTTTATAACTCGGATTGACTATTGTATAGCTGGGAAATGTGGTGTATTCTTCTCTCCGGCCCTTCATGTCTGTCTCTTTCTGTTGACCTCAAAGCGCTGGAACCCTTCCATAGCATTTGGGTCAAATGTGAAAAACGAAGTCTCGTTCGACTTTTATTGCACGAAAATGGTATTTGGCTTAATTTTATTCGAAAAATCATGTCGGAAATATTATTGGTCAATCATTTTGTTACCAGAAGTTTCGTGATATTTTAAACCATTTCAAATTAAGATTAAATAGAAATCTTGATCGATTTTTGATTGCATGTTAAAATTTAGATGGTTTTCTTTTTAGTATTTACAAACGCGAGTAAAAGAGACCTATATTGGTTACATGCCCTGGGCATAATATACATTAGCCGAAGGATATTGTCTATCACAATGTATGTCTGAGGGTTTTTCTCGACTTCTTCAGCAGGCTCAGAGGAAAACTTGCGTGGCCTTTTGACATTGCTCACATTCATAGTATTTTATGGTGATGTTTTAAAGATTGAAGTGTTGGGTGATGTAGTGAATCCCTTTACCGCGTCTCTTACGGAGGAGGATAAAAAATATAGTAATGTTATAAAATGTCCAAGTAATGCTTTTTACAAGATCTTTTTGCAATTTCAAAATTTTAGATTTAGTTACATTTTTTGGGGGAGTGGTCTCAAAATGGTTTACAAACGTTTTAGATACTTGCAAGTTCCTCTTTAAAGTTTAGAAACAACTGACGATTAAGGATGGGCCTAATTTTCAGTGCAAGAATGTACCACTTTTCGTTACGATTTTACCCTGCAAATAAATATTCCCTATAAAGCAAATATGTTTAATATATGAGGTTTTCTATTTGTAATAGAAATCTTGTTCATTGCAGATCCTAGCAATCGGAAAAGAGCACAAGGTGCAGCCCATGTTCATTTCATATTTTAGACCAAGCCCTTTTGCTTATTTTCTGTTGATATAGTTCATATGGATTTTTTTTATAATGTCTAATTTTAATCATCGTTGGCTATTTTTCAAGGTCTTTTTTACATTGAGAAGTATTCAATTTTTTTTTGCTTTATTTCCAAGCATTTCTTTTCTGCTACGACCAGCCTGGAATATCCAGGGAATTTGGTGCAAGGAGGAGTCTGCGTGTGGAAACAATTGAAGGTGGAATCCTTATTATAGGCTCACACTGTGTTGTTATGCTGAGGTTGGAACTTATAATTCCATTCGGAAGATCTCCAATGTTACTCGACACACAAATTGAATTTACGCGGGAAATGTCGTTGAAAAGTCCTTGAAATCTGCATGTTTATTTGCTAGTGAAAGATCGACTGAGATATATCTGCGTCGATGACGCAAGAATAATGGACATGACAGCAGGACTCGATGAGGTGTGAAAACGTTCCTTACATTGAGATTTCTGTCTCATAGCCTCGATCCTAATACAAAGATCCGCAACTGTTATAAGTGACGTACATAGGACGTGCTTTTCGTTTGTCTTTTGGCTTGTTCAAATTGTGGTGTAAGATCTTTGCCATAAAAACCCGAATATTCATTGTGTGTCATGGTTTTTATGTCGTTTCAGCGTATCGTAGAAGTGTTGTTTTCCTATGAATTGGACTAGCGGCTGCCCAAGACTCGATAAATTCTTTTCATGCATTTTGACTTATTGTGTTGACAGTGTTAGGAGACAGATCTTGTGTCCATAAATAAAAGGATGGAGACCTGTGAACCAGTTCAGCATTAATCTGTCGCACGGTTGACACTGGAGCTAGTGAATCGACGGAGCTCTCTCCAAAATATACGAGAAAGAGAAATGTTTTCATTCACGATATCGTTTTACGTTATTCTAGCAACAATCAGTAATATTGGAGTTGAGGCACATTTTTGGGACCCATGCAAAGCTGGTGAGTTGGTTATATTTCTTCCCGTTTCACGTTTCAAGTTTTCAATTTGAACTCAAGTACAAATCTGTTCTCAGAAAGAAAGCGAGTAAGCAAAGCTTGGATTTTCTAATTGATTGAAGGATTTTAAGCTATGTGAGGCCTTTCTTTCGCGGACCTTCGTGGTTTCAGATTCAGGTTTTGAAATTTGACTTTGTTATCACCGTAGCCGTGAGTGAGTAGAAATAACCTTATTGAGTCAATAACCCATTTTGTACACAGCGGAAAGTAAATTTACAAAAACATGCCCGTCAAATGTTCATCAATTCTACTCGATTTTACGATAAATGTATGTTATCTAATCGGATTTTGTAAAGGGTTCGTTTTCCAGCAATTTAATCACTTATGGTTCGTATTGTCACGATTAAAATGATCCCTTTTATATAACCTTTCCAACGATTTTGAAACACGTGTTTGGGTCTTAAGAATCATTTTCCGTTTCTTGTCTGAAGATGGAAAGTTTATTTGTGCTTCCACTCCCAGTCCGGATATCTACCTATTTGCTTTAGTTTTTTCGCAAATTTTAGGTGGTTACCAGGGAGATGTTGCGTTATCTGACGAGGATTTAAAATACATCACATCAAGAAGGAGCAGGCGAGCAGTAACAAATGAGCTTGAACGGAAGTGGCCAAATGGGATTGTACCATACGAAATTTCGAAAAAGTTCAACGGTGAGTTACTAAAAGTTTTATCAGCCAAGTTATCTCACCAAGCTTTTGTCAATATATTTTCATAATACATGGAAACTTCCGGAATATTTGCAAAGGGGTAAGCGAAATTGTATTGTCGATGTTAAGGTAATAGATCATGTCTTGTTGACAAATAAAACTGGAAGGCAAACAGAGCGAATTCGAACAATCAACCTGCGGTTAGCAAACACATCTCGATAGTAGTGCAAATTAATCCGAAATTCGCACGATTATCATCATTTTAATGTTCTCGTTCATCACTGTCCTGAGCTATTTCGATACATTTTTACACCCTGCTTTGGTTGTTACCTCGTGCTGTGACAAGCGAACAGTTTTCTAGGCAGCACGCGACAGGAAACATTGATAAACCCACATGGACTGGTGTTATTTATTTGTTATTTGCGGTTATGTTCATCTAGGAGAGCGTAAAGAAAATTTCTTTCCTAATTGGGTGAGGATATACATAATTTTGCCTAAAGTGACGTATTTTCCCCTAACTGTCAAGCAATTTCGTAATATTAAAACGGTTTTGCTTATCATCGAGTTTCACCAGTCTAGCTAGCCTGAAAAACCATCCGTTTTCATTTTCGTAATAAGCATTCCTTACAATTAGACAATTTCTTGTTTTCTGTAGTCAAGTTTTCTGCAACATTGGGTTGACAGATTCTACCAAATCATAGTATGTCTGTTAATTAACACCATTATCAAATATGCATATTCATGAAAATATTTGAAAGGACTCACGCAAAATGAATCTTATAAATTATACATATTGATCCCGTCAAAACATCTTTTGCTTATCGGTTTTAAATTGTTTCGAGGCGATATCTTTCGAAAAAATCTAACCTTATTGAACTCTAAACTTCACCAGCCTTGAGAAATCGGACAACAGAGAGAACAACAAGTCTCGGGCTAGCAATGTGTTAAAAATGGTTCCTTCTCGTTTACTTCTCGTTATAACTGTCTTATAACTTCAGATTTGAGAAACTGGATTCTGAGACAGAAAGGTGTGTTTTATTGTGGCCGTTCAAAAATACAGGGTCTCTAAACCTTAACTGCGAACTGGATGGTAAGTTCCATCAAGAATGAATTGGTGTTTCCCCCGTCCAAATTAGGATATGGTGTCAGGGTTCCAAGGGTTTACAACCAACGATCTACAGATAAACAATTTGTCAGTCACTGTTGTTGTTTCGCATTTGTCGTTAAATACTCTGGTAAAAATTGATTTTTTTGCCTGGAGAGTCAGCCTAAATGATAATTTTAGGTCAGACAATTTTTTAGTCTCTCCTGGCTAAATTCTTGCAATCAATTTGCCAAAAGGTTCTTGAGTGTTATGTATCAATTGCTGCAAAAAATAAATTTTGCTTCAATAGTATCGACTTCCAAACGTCGATTCGACGTTATCAGAATCAATAGACAGGGCCCACGCCACAGGGGGGGGGGTATGGACATGCCGCCCAACATTTTTGCGAGGCAAGTAGTTTTAAAGCTGCATTATAAGGAAAAGAAGCCTTGGCCCCCTACTTTTGCTAGCCTTGGTCTCCCCTTCCCCCACTATCAAATTTGTGGCGTGGGTCCTGGTAGAGAGAGGATTTTTTCCGAAAGGTGCAAAATTGAATGTTTTTGTATTGGACGTGGCTTGTGATATTTTTGACATGTCATTCCGGTCATTGCTTCCAACGAGCTTAAATGTATGAACAATCAAACAGGGAAAGGGGGAGTAATATAGAGCATTTAGTTATTCTCACAAAATAATATCGTAAAAATGTTACCGGGAGGTGTGACCGCACTCATGCAACCCATATGCTTTTGCCACTACAATATGAGCATACGGTACTGTAAACTGATCATTGAATCCGTACCCCAGCTATCATCAAAAGATACACAGTCGTGTAGCAGCAAGCCTTTTGAAATCAAGTCTCCTTTAGAGGGTTCTTGATGTGAGTTAGCCACAATATCAAATTTCCCAACTATTCTTTTGTTCTCATATTTGTTCTCAAGAAGCTTCTCCATCGTTCTTGTAAGAACAGGAACAACGTTTGGAGAAATCTCTGCCCGAAGGGTGTTGAACTTGCGATTTTGATATTAAAAATGAGCTATATGGTTTTCATATGTTGGAAAGCTGAAATACCCTCATTTTTCATAAGAAACTGGCTATAAGAAACAAGTGCTGGACAGTCAGAAAAAATTAAGAAACTTCAGTACTCGAAGCAACAACATTACGAAACTTTTAAATTGCGATAAAATTGAGAACAACAAAATTTTGTAAAATCCAAGAACATGATTGGCCCTTTGGCCTAGAAATTAAGACACAAGGGATAAAAATATACTTCCCACATCTAATACAGCATCAGAACGGAAGCGAATCTCTTGATGTGATACAAAAGGTCAAGAAACAATGAGTATTGGAATTTCTAGAACATTAAGAAACTGGAGTACTCAACATCGACCTTTGTTTCTTATAAAAAAATAAGTGTAGTCGGGGGAGATCACGAGTTCCTCCAGCTGTTCCTCCAGCCTTTAAAGCTATGTCGTAGTTTTAGATGACATATTTTCTAATAACTGTCACAGGACTCTTGTAGCTAAACCTATCAAGCCCCCTCGCACCAGTCCCATTTTTGATTTCTTGTTTTGCATCAAACAGATGTAAACCTTCAGTTGAAGAAGATATCTGTAACAAAGAATCTCTTTAAATATATTTTCCTTGTACCATAAATCTTTCTGTTACTCAGATTTGATGTTTGATGTTTGCATGGTGCTGCCCCCCTTCCCCTATCCCTGGGATCATTTTCAATTTTCGAGTCACACATCGATTATATTTGGACAAGCTGCTTCCGTTTGAAAACCTTTCTATTTTGTAAGGATTATGACAATTTTTATGGAATCGAAAATGGATAATTTCTCCACAGTTTGTATTGCGTTCATTGTCTTTTGATTCAAGGTCATTACAGGAAAAGTAGGTTCTTAAAAACGTTTCCCTTGAAATCGCTTTGCTATTTGTCTTTTTGTAGTCCAAAAGGCTGAATAGATGTTTTGTAGGTATTCGATAAATATTTGCCATTTTGTAAGATTATTGGTTCAAAACAAATTTCAAAATAAATGTAAAGTAGTCTTTTACCGTTAAAACTGCTGGCAAAATTGTGCATGGAAATATGTGGTAAAATAAAGCCCCCGAAAAGTATGATTAATTAAAATTCAGGGATCATATTTAACAGTTATTGAAGTTTGCATGCCATAATTGAAAAATAAACACATGAAAGCAACATCACAAGGTCTATTATGTTTGACATTGAATTGATCTTACATTGAAAAAGTTTTCATAAACACTAAACCTCAGAGAGAAACAATCCCTTCTATACAAAAATACAGCAAAGACGACTTATTTTTAGCTTAGCTGCACAAGATCCCGAAAGACTACTAATACGTCCCTATCAGATTATGTTAATTTGTGTTCAAAAACAAAAATTAACATTTAGCTAGCCACGAAATTGCGAAATATCAACTGACAAAATACTTTGACCTGGTGTGTAAAAACCTTAGCGAGATCAAAGCAATTTTGTGTCAAAGATTGAACCTCTACCTAGGCCTGAGGATTAAATAAAAGCAGCCTTTCTGACCGAAGGTGACCTCATTTGTTTTTTGTTGGGGGTAGGGTAGCCTTAATCCCAATCTTTTGACACAACGTTTGGCAAAACGTATCTTCTTTCGAAAGCCATTTTAGATTCGCTTCTTTTAGCAGAATTAGCCCGATTCTAGTAAACGTTTATTTGAATTATACTGCACAAAAACCAAGCTTGAAAAGGCAAATAGTTTTCACTGGCAGTGTGCTTTGAATTCCCTTCTTATTTAGCAACATGGTATGGTGGTGCTTAGCTTGACCACCTACCTTCTGCCTTGCAGAAAATGAATGTATATTTCAGATTCTCTGTTTTCTATATAAAATCATTCAAACTAATCACCGACTCAAAAAGACTGATAAGAACTCTACAGCGTTATAAGATTGCCAACAAAGAATTTTCCAACCAAACATGTGATTGCTTGTCCCTCTGAATTTGAATTGAGCCGCAAGCCTAATGATAAAAAACGTATTAATTTACGGTAGATTATGGCTTAAAACATCTTCGGAAATTTAAAGACAATAAACCATTTTGAATTATATCGACAAGTTCTCGATATAGTCATTAAATTATTAGTGGTAATTATTCAGTAAATCAAATGAGGCGTTCGTTGCAGTGATGAGTTCAAGTGATTTTCTTTATCAGTTTATCGAAGTTAAAAGATTCTAAATTATTTTCCCAGCCAACTTGTTTGCGTCAAATCAGTCATTGCGATTAGAGCCATCAAGGCTATATGTTAACAGCACTGTTGTCGCTGATTGCCATTTCCAATATAGTCCTAAAATTTTAAGTACATACAAACCTACCTTGTTGATCAAGAAAATTTCATATTAAACTTATTTCAGCTTTTCCTAAATATATAAGATGGTCTCTCAAAGGGGCTGTCTTTTTTCCATCTCCAAGATAGCAAAAAAGCAGAGAAGTTCAGCATCATATACGTAGGAACTACTCATCTGATGCCAAACAAATAACATTACAAGTCGAATAAAGATCAAAGGCACAAACGAATGCACTTGCATTTGCGGATCGAAATACCCTCTCAACTAGCATTTCAAAGCGCCGTATGTGCAGAATTTTTTTAACAATTTAAAGTAGATTTCTGGTTAGTGCCATAACCTCTTGAACTTAACAAATAAAAAACAACTGATTTTACGGATAAATGGAGAGGAAAACACTGATAGTAAAGGCTTTGACATGATGTCTCGGTAAGATAGCTAACCCGCATCCAAGTAACCATAGCTTTAGAAGCCTTGATGACGTCACTATTTACCGATGTATCATCGTTATCCTTTACGGTAACCAAAATTCATATTAGTGGTAACTCTTAGGACATAATTTTCAAGTTACTACAGCATAACGACTGTT